CATCTTTCTCATTGATCCGGATGATGGCATCGGCCGTGTGATGATAGCCGAGACCAATGTGTAGATCGGTGCTGACCTATCTCTTCACAACAGGATTGCCAATATTGGTTGCGTTATTTGAGTCAACAGTGCACTCTCCATGGTGAGTTTACCTATCTCCCAGAATATGGGAATACCCGCTTTCCGAGCGATTGGGTGCAACATGGGCGAAAATGAGCAGAACTAACCGCATCAACGCACAGAGATCCGACACAAGCGCCGAATCACCGTTGCTGCCGCTTCCAAAATCCTCGCCAACTTGACCTACGCTTACAAGGGCTACGGTCTCAGCATGGGAACCATGCTTGCTGGTGTACGTTTTCCACCTCTCCCAACATCCAGATCCCATCTACCGAACCATCTACATCCCAAAAGTATTCCTCCCAAACTGACACTCCCGCCCAGGTAACCCCGCAAGAAGGACCCGCCCTTTACTACATCGACTCAGACGGCACCCGCCTCCCCGGCAACCTATTCTGCGTCGGATCAGGACAAACATTCGCCTACGGTGTTCTGGACGCCAACTACAAGTACGAGATGTCAGAGCAAGACGCGCTGGCTCTGGGCCGTCGCGCCATTCTCGCCGCTATGCACCGTGATGCCTACTCTGGTGGTTTCATTAACCTTTACCACGTCAAGGAGGAAGGATGGGTGCACCACGGCTTCGATGATATGAACCCCATCTTCTGGAAGACTAAGCTTGATAATGGCGAGTTCTCGAATGTTACGTCTGAGTTGTAAGTTGTGGGGGGACTTTTTATGAGGATAGGATAGGATAGAATCTTGTATTATTGATTGCAATTGAGATTCTCTTTCTGTTAATGGGATTATATTGTTGCGGTTTTCTTTTCTGGGGTTGTTTGGGTCATATTCTCGAGACGTAGATATAGTGTTGGGCCAGTAGCTTGGAAGTCTGCTTTCAGTTTCCTCTTGCAGAGTCGCCCTTTGATGCCCAGGTTCCCTTTTACTGGAAAGCCGAATACTTCTACTGTAATATGCACATTCCATGCATGGATATTACGGCAGCCCCACAATCAGTCCAATTTGCCCTGACCACACTCTAGGTCTGTGTTGGTGTATCAATCATGTGAACAAATATCAATTAATGCATTGGCATTCTAGTAATCCCTTTGCCTAGAAATGTTACTACTTTATTTAAAGTACCATAATTACTTAAGGCTGCCACGGTCTATTGTCGTCCAGTGTGGCAAGTCTAGTGAATGCTACCTGATCAAAAGCCCATGGCTTCCGCCGGTTGCCCTGCGAGATTTCTTCCCATCAACAACCCTCTAATACATACCGTTTTTTCTTGCAGCTGTCCTCACGCTGTTTCTATCTTCAGCAATCTTGCGCTCAGATGTGTCGAAGTGGCTCAGCCGTCCTGGCCTTCTCCGAGACCCCAAAGACAGGACTGTACACAACTCAACCCTCTTCACGGTGTTGATGGGATATGGTTCGAACCTTCACATCATTTCCTATCTGATATGCTTTCATTTTTGGGTGACCATGGACCTTGGAAATTGCCAGATGTTGAAAAAGAGGATTGCAGTCTCAGCGAAGAAAAGTTGGGACAAATATCTCTAAAGGTCTGCATTCCGTGACAGTCGTCTTCCTTGATGGCTATTCTTTCGTTTGCAACTAACCTTCCCAACAGAGTTTTGGACTCGGCGTGGCAAACTTCGCAGAGCACTGCGAGCTCTGGCTTGGCTTTCATGTCCTTGAATACTATGGCTTCACGTATAGCCTGGATAAGGATCTCACCTGCGGCTCAGAGGATGCTGGCCATTTCTGAGACAGCGTCGTCAGAATTCATCTCAGCACCAAGCGATCGCATCCACAGGGCTCAAACTCGGTTTGAGCAGAAAGACATCTGAAGAGATCAAATTCAATATCTTTGGTGATGGAAACCTGTCACTTTGCACGATTGTGAAAATATCCCAGGCTTCGATTGTCGCCGCTGGCAACGCTCGGGATTTAGTCGCTCGTTTCAAAAAAAGATGCTTGTTTATAGGTTGAACCCTACTTTGTTCTATCTTTACTGCTTCTTCTTCTTCCTTTTCCTGCTAGAACGAGTACTTATGTGACGTCTTTGTAGGTATAGACGTGATCTTATCTTCCGACTCTACCCAACCTCATACCGGCGTATAATCTATTTCTTGAAACATCTCTTCGGCGCTATATCTGTTCCAATCTCAACCCACCAGTTCCAGCACACTAGAAATATTGACGACTTTCTTCAGCCTTGTGTAGTTTACAATTCTCAAGCTGTTTCCCCTTATATCTTGTAAGTACTAGTAGTGACCTAGGGTACCTTAAGCTCGAAACTACCTTACTCCCAATTGGAAAGAGTAGATGTCCGCTAACAGGAAAGGCACGACCAAATGCCCTCGTTAGACTTGGTGCTATTTGCGAGGCATTTGGCAGTCTACTACTAGTATATTGTACTACTGGCTCATCTCCTCCCATCTTTATATGCCCTTCGACCATTTTGACTCTACGCTATCTCAGCCATCACTGCCAGCCAGTGAGTAAGCCACCATCACCCACGGAAAGCTGTAGCTCACCATTGTTAGGTCCCCATCCAAGGCCCTGCCGTCCCTCGAAGGACTTCCAGCAGAGCTTTTTCTCATAATCGGAGACGACCTTCAACAAAGCGACCTTTTCAGTCTCCTGCATGTGAATAGTCGATTCGCAAATCTGTTTATCAACTACCTCTACCGTCGAAACTTTATCCTTATTTGAGGTATAGATTCTAATCAACAGTAATGCCTAATGCCTGCCTTTCTAGCCGTCGGCCTGTGGAAGGAAACCATTCCCTGGCTTTCCTGGCAAGGCAATTATTGGTTGTATCGTCTGCCTGCTCTAGGTGTTTTGTTCAAATTTTCAAGTTGATCTAACCTTTTACTGGGTACTATGAGATTTGTGCTTTGTGCTATATTTACTTATTCTAGCTTTTTTCTCTTTCTGGTTTAATATCCCTTAGTATATTTCTTGCCTCGTCTACCATTCTTATGGTTCTCACCATTTGACAGATTCATATATCATAAATATCAATCAACACCGCGTGTGAATTGTTTGGGAATTGGAATGGGCCGATGTTCCCTGATATGGAAGGAGCGATGCTAATTCTATTGCTAGTCAGGGCAAGTGTGTAGTATGCAGAATCGCTCCTTCTCTTACTACCATTGAGTGTCCGCTTAAGGTCAAGTTTTTCAGCATCTCAGGTTGTCTTTGACTTGAGTCTACCTCACTATCTCTAGCTTTGCTCAACTGATACATTGCTTACAACCAACGCAAAGCCAATTTCTTCGTAAGTAGTAGGCTACTCCTATCGACAGAGATCTCTCACTCATCACTTTTATATCTAGAAGATGGCGTCGCTTGAAGCACTTCCGCCAGAGCTCCTCCTGTGTATAGCGGACCACCTCCAAGAGAGGCATATCCACACCATGCTACTGGTTAACCGGCGATTCCACAGCGTTTTTGCGGAACACATATACAGCAATAACCGCATCTACCACAATTCTTCCGCCCTAATTTGGGGGATGTACTACGGAAACGAGGTTGTGGTGGCACGCGCCTTGCTTCAACGCCCAAGCTGGCGCCCTAATACAGAGATGGGCGCTCACTTTCGGAGCGCCTTTATCCTTTGTGCCGGCTCAGGTCGCAGTGGAATTGTTGGGATGGTGCTAGGTCACGAAGTTTGCCGTTTTTTACCACCATGCCTTGAACGGGCTGCAAACTTCGCCAGTGACCGCGGCTACCATGAACTGGCCGAAGAAATAATCAGGCACCGCATCATTGAGCGTCGGAACTCCTTCCCATGAAGGTACCAATAGGTGGGGGAAGTCCCCAGGAGCGCCATTCTCCTGCTATGTTCAAGTTTGTTCTTATTTCTCGTTTTCATCTTTGCGGATCGGTCCACCTCTGCTTGCCCAGGTGGGCATCTCGTTTTTTTTTTTTTTTTTTTTTTTTTTTAGCAATTCTCTCAATACAAATACTCCACTCTTTTATCTTTCTTGCCAGCATTTCATTGACTTCATTGCTTGATTATCCGGTGGCATCTTCATTTGCCTTTGCCAATATCGTATTATCCAGTACTTAGAGGACTGGACTGCCAATTTCTAGGCCTGTTCCCTGACTACCTCTACCTATAAGTCGACTGTTGAGACCTCAAATCTCCTCTTCAGCAAGTATCTCACGAAGGAGAACACTACACCGGAGATACTGGAAGACTATCGCTGAATATATCGCCGGATAAGCTGGCGAATGCAACAATGGCAGATGGAGCAGGAAAATGCGCGGTTCGGCTGGCCCGTCTGGTACCTGATAAGTACGGCATCGACCCGTGCGAGGAAGTGATGCGAGCCACAAAACTAATTGAAGGATGTGGATAGGTGAAGCTATGAGCTGATTAACAGACGCCGATAAGCAAAGTGAAAGGCTTTTCCTCCTTTTCCGATTCCCTTTTGCCACGCCAAATGCCTTTCATCTTCAGCAAAGCTGGCCATGATATTCTCGCGAATGAGATTATCGAGCTGCGGATTCTCGCAGCTATGGTTCCTGCGTTTTACTGAGATCGTTCCAAGCCCTGTTGGCGTCTGTAGTACCCGGGGTGCCTACGACTTGAACTTGAATCAGACTTCAGGCGGGCTGCAGTAAGTAGTACTAGCAGTAGTAGGGAGCTAAACTTGGATCCTTGGAAATTCATAATTTTGAAGACATGATATTGACCTCGTAGAACATATGATAATATAAACAACATGGAAAATCACACCAGACGCTCCATCTATGACATAAACAGTGAACCAGAGAAAATATAAACAAGCACAACACAACTTGCCACTGGCCCAAAGGGGGAAAAGAAATCCAAAAAAGAGCAAATTTTTTACAGGTCAACAACTTGAACTCAGCATCACTCACACCCAGTAGGAACAGCGGAGTGGAGTATTTGTCTCAGTTCAGTTATCAACCCAGAACTTCATGCGAATACCCATAGCGGCAAGTTCAACATCCAAGTACCGCAACACACCAGGCACAGCAACGACCGTAACATCATCACCACCAACATACCGCAACCCATCCCCATCCTCCCAAGCCTCAGCCCTAGAATCATTAAAGCCCGCCTCGCGCGCACAACGACGACAACGCACGATACCAGTAACACCACCCAGCGCACCACCACCCATACCCATACCCACACCACCAGGACCAGCAGAGGAGGGCTGTTGATTAGGCGCAGCCTTAGCAGCAGCAGCGATCGCGCCAGCATTAACAGCAGCCCGACGCGAAGCGCCCGACCCAGCGACGGCAACTTGAGTCGAAAGGAAAGATCCGCACCCGCGGCAGATCCAGGCGAGTTGGGAATCGGAGCAATTCATCAGACGATCTTGGAGGAGGAATGCGGCTCCGTGAGCGATGAGAGAGTCGCGCTCCATTTCTCCGACTCGGATACCACCGCCCTTGGCGCGACCTTTGACGGGTTGGCCGGTTAGACCGTTTACGGGTCCTGTTGTGCGGACTTGGAATTTGTCGTTTACCATGTGACGCAGTCTTTGGTAGTAGACTAGACCCATGTAGATGTCTGCGGCGAATTCTTTACCCGTGATTCCGGAGTAGAGGGGTTCGTTGCCGTAGTAGTTGTAGCCGGCCTTTTTGAGTTGGTGGCCGAAGTAGTCGGTTGCTGTATTTTCTTCGCTGAATTTGAAGGGTGTTGAGTCTTGTGGGTGGCCGTGGAGGGCGCCGGCTTTTCCGGCCATTGATTCGATCATTTGGGCGATTGTCATACCTGGGAGGGGAGGTTGTTAGTGTGGAATTCGGAGAGTGGTCTTTGTGGGAAAAACTTACGAGATGGGAAAGCGTGAGGGTTGATGATTAGATCGGGTTGCATGCCGCTCTCGGAGAATGGCATGTCGACTGCTGGCCACAGTTGGGAGCAAACACCCTTCTGTCCGTGACGAGAGGAGAACTTGTCACCAATAATCGGCTTACGCGGGATGCGGTACTTGACGCTGATCGATTGGATGGGCTCGTTGCCGTTCTCTGAGCCCATGAGGCGGATGCTCTCGATGTAACCGACCTCGGAATCCTTGTACTTCAGGAAGTGAGTGATGCCGTCGACATTAATGTAGGAGTCGGAGGCGGCGTCGTAGCGGACATTGTGCCAGGCGGCAATCTTGTCACCCTCCTTGACGCGGATGCCGATGTGGGGAAGACCGTCTTCATCGATGATGTTCTTGGCTTCGCCGCGGATCTCGTCACCGGGGGCGAAACCGAACAGCTTGCTCACGTCACGCTTGGACTTGCTGCGGCGAGAATCACGCTCCGCCAGGGTGTGAACCTTTGTCTTGTAGATGGTTCCGTGACCGAAGCCGCGTTCGTGAGCGGACTTGTTGATGATCATGGCGTCGTCCATGTCGTAACCGGTGTAGGAAATAATGGCCACGACGGCGTTCATGCCGTTGGGGAAGTTATCCAGACCGTAGGCGTTGTAAAGAGGAGGTCGGACAATGGGAGTCTGACCAGTTTGAATGCGGTACAGCTTGTTGTCTGTACGGTAAGCGATCGATGTACCGGGGGTACCCATTGTCTGCTTGCTCATCTGGCACTGGTACATGTTACGGGGCGATTGGTTGTAATCGGAGAAGGGAGTCATGTTGGCGACGATCGAGAGGATGTTGGTAGGAGTGAACTCAATGTGAGTGGACAGGCCGGAGATGAGATCGGATTCCAGGCAGGCAATCTCCATGAAGGGCTGCTCGAAGGGGCCGACGTAGTCCATCTTGTCCAGGGCAAGATACTTGACAGGACGGTACATCCTGGCGGATTGGGAGAAGAGATAGACACCAGGATACTGGCCGCCGTTCGAGTTGGGGACGTAGCCAATCTCAAGTCCGAGGGGAACGTTGTTGATTCCGGCGACCTTCCAGTAGCGGAGTGTGTCGTGGACCTTGCGGGCTTGGTCGGGGGAGCAGAAACCAACAATTCGGCCGTCAAGCTGGACAACAACGCTGTCATCGACGGCGACAGAAGACTCGGGCCGGACACCGAGCTGAACGAGAAGCTTTGGAATGTGGGATACTTGAAGGTTGTCTGTGGAAATCAGACACTTATGCGCCAAGTGGTTCAGCAGACCGCAAGGAGAACCATCAGGAGTGTGAACAGGGCAGAGGAAACCCCAGCTCTCGGGCAACAGTTTACGGACGGTGGTGGTTTTCAATTGAGCGAAGAAACTACCACGATGAATCATGCGGAAGTGACTGATGAATCGGTAGAAGTTGATCTTCTCGGCCATGACGGTGTAACCGGAGGTTTGTTGCAGATCGAGACCGGTAGGACTGACCAAATTACCAGTGGAGAGGAAGTACTCCAGGGCGTGACCGATATTCTCGTTGGATCGCTTCACGATTTTCGACAGGAAATCGCGTTCAAATGAGGGATCTGTGAATTTGGCACCACCATTGCGGATGCTCCAGTCACGGGCGATGGGGCCGAAGGAGCGGAGCCACTCCTCGATACGCTCCTTAAGGATCATACCGTAGAGGAAACCACCGAGCAGAATCTCTTGGTTTGAGACGGCATCGGGGTTGTCAGGCGCACAGTCGCCGGACACCAGAGCATACAGTTTGCGAATCATGAAGATGATCATCTTGAACTTGTCGTAGTCTTGGGACTCGGTGACGTTTTGGAAGCCCAGGTGAGGCAGGACAACTCTGCGCAGGAACTCGGTTCCCACCTCCTCGTCGGGCATATCGGCGGGAACACCAAGAACCGGACGGAAGCTCTTACCAAAGTGAGCTCGGCAGTCTGACTTACTGTGCTTACCGTAGGCCTGATAGGTTCGTAGGAGAAGCTCCACACGGTCTGTGACGAAGGTGTTCTGCATGCCCTTGGAAGAAGCGCTGCCCACAATACCCTCGAAGATCTCGCGGTCGTTGGTCTCGACCAGGGCCTTGAGGATCATCATGACGGGAATCAGGAACTCATTCTTGCGCCATGAGAAACGGAAAGTGACGTTTCCGTCGGAGAGGTAGTGTAGGACGTTGGTCTGCGAGGTTTGATCAGGTCGAACGGATCGTATTTGCACACCGAACTTGGTGTAAGTGTGACCACGCTTGACGAAGGAACCACGAATGATGGACATGGGGTAGTTGCGCTTGCCGACGATCAGCATACGAATGAGCTTCTCGTTACCGTTGACAATGAAGTAACCACCCAGCTCTTCGGACTCCTCCTTGCGGGTGACCAATTCCTCGGGGGTGGCCTTCTCCAGGTGGCACCGGTTGGTGCGCATCATGATGGGGACCTGGCCCAACTCGCGGACCGACTCCATCCAGTCTCCATTGTTGACCTGGTACTCGAGACGGGCGCGCAGCTTTCCACGGTAGGTTGCGTGGCGCTCACGGCATTCTGAGGGGTAGATGTTGCGGTTCTTCAGGCTGTGCTTGTTGGTAGGCGGGAGGGACCGGCTTTTCGAGGAAAACTTCCTTCACGCGGACACTCAGGCGGTTGCGCTTGGGAGCGCGAAGACCCTGAGATATACGGGCCTTCTTTTGTTCGGAAGTCTCGAGCTCGCCATCCAGGAAGGACTTGACGCCGATATCCTTCAGACCAGCCTCGAGGATCTTGCTATCGTCGAAGATGGCATTGAAGGAGTCGATATGAGGGCGAATGGAGTCGGCCAGGGAAGGAAAGGCCGTGTGATCCTTGGGAGGGTTCTTGTAGAGATTCTCGCGCCTCAGGGTGTCGAAATCGACGGACCACTGGGTGTCGGTGGGCGCGGGCGCCATTGTGAAATGAAGCTGTCGGATTAACCGGTATAGAGCCGAGAAAAGCTGACGGTCAATGGGGAGGGGAAAATAAGGGAAATTGAATGGCGGGTAATTGATGACAGACCCTCAGCCTCAGCCTGCCAGGGGATATGCAAACAAGCAAGAGGAGTGAGCCAGCAATGGCAGCTTGGATGAAGAACTGAACTACCTGAGGTTTCTCTTTCTCGCTGGGCCGTCGGGGAAATTTTCGAGAGTGGATCCTTATCGGCACGTGGTGATAGTGGCAGTGGGCGGTGTATCAAAAGTGGCAGAATACGCAGTGTAGTGAAAGGAACATGACTAATCACATAAACTATGCAACATACATGTAAATGCAAGTAGAAATACATGAAGATATACAGATAGATATGTTTGCTTTTCAGAAGATGATATGGAAAAACAGGTTACATAAGGGATGAATACATACAGAATTGAGAACAATGAATCACTTTGTTAAGTGTTCTCCAGTGGAAATGCAGCACACTACGTCAGCCTCATTCCCAGCGAGAGTAAGCGCCCCTCTCCAACGGGGAGTCATGTGGGCGTAGATCTATTCAACACTGCCTAAAGGCTTGCCCTGCTTTTGTGCTTTGTTTTTATTCTTATTTCTATGCTTCCTGATTTTATGATATTTACAAGATTTTAGTTTAGTTTATTTTAATTTAGTCTCTTTCTTTTCTTTTCACTATTGTCCTGTGGGTACTTTACTTTTTGCTTCTTCCACTTCTTCCACTTCTCTTCACTCTTCACTCTTCACTCCCCTCGACCCCACTCTTCTCTCCCACAACCCAATCCAACCCAATCCAATCTATTCCATTTTAATCCAATCCGCTTGCTTTCCAGCTCTGCTCTGGCCTGCTCACCTATATCATAACTGGTCACGCTCCCACTTACCCTCCCCTCTGCCTCTAATCCTGGTCTTGATTCTGATTCCGGTTCCGATCTACGCGCCTTGGTCTACATCCAGTTTTGCTCTTCGTCTTCCTCTTCTCGACTCGGATTCTTCTCATCTTTCTCATCTTCCATTCCTCAACCCCCCATCACCATGGCTGGTATCTTTCGCAGCATCTATGACTGGCTTCTGAGGATGTTCTGGTAAGAGTGGGCCGTCGAGGCGTCCGGGAAGGGACCCCCCGGCCCGTCCCCCGTCTCCCCCGCAGATGAAGCCTGGCTATGGCTAACCTTGAGAACCCCTGCAGGGCAACCGAAATGGATGTCACCATGATCGGCCTGCAAAATGCAGGAAAGTCCTCCTTACTGCGTGTCTTAGCAGTATGTCCTCTTCTCTCCTTTCCTCTCCTTTCCTTTCCCCCGTTGTCTGCTGTTGCTGTTGCTGTCCCACTTTCACTGTCGCCGTCGCTGTCGCTGTTCCATCACTGACTGATTCTCGCAGGGTGGGGAATTCACTATCGAGTAAGTTGATCGTCCAAGCGTACGAGTATCCAAGCGTATCAAATCCCATCGCTTTCCTCCGCTCCCGCTCACGAGGTGACAGCTCCATCCCGACTATCGGGTTCAACACCAAACGAGTCCAAAAGGGCCATGTGACTTTAAAATGGTACCCCCCTTCCCCTTCTCTTCCCCTTGCTGCCCCCACTGGTCTGTCCGTTGTTTCTAACCCCGCACAGCTGGGATCTGGGCGGCCAACCTCGCTTTCGCCCCATGTGGGAGCGATATTGTCGGGGCGTCAACGCCATCGTGTAAGCTAAGCCGTTTCGTTTCATCGTCCCGCTGTTCCCTCGGGGACCGCACCATATACCATCACATCTGCTGACCCGTCAAAAAAGATATATTGTAGATGCCGCCGATCAAGGCGCTCTACCCGCCGCCACGGAGGAGTTGCATGAGTTGATAAACAAGCCCACCCTGGACGGGATCCCACTGCTCGTATTGGGTAATAAGTCCGATTTGCCGGTCAAGTTGTCTGTTGATGAGTTGATCGATGCGATGGACCTTAAGTCCATTACGCACCGCGAAGTCAGCTGTTACGGGATCAGCGCGAAAGAAGAGACTAACCTTGACGCGGTGCTGCACTGGCTGATTGCACGGGCGAGTCGATGAGGTAAGGTGAAGGCGAAGGCGAAGCGCCCTCTCTCCTCGCTTTAACCGTCCCCTTTTCATTCATGCTGATCATATTCTGTCCACTGTATCTGCGACTTTTGATTATCTGCGATCATCATCTGCGATTCAAGTTCGTTTAGCTCGACGCATTTCGTGGCACTATATCCCTGTTTTCAAGTTTTTCGTGCTTTGGTTCTTTCTGTCGGATTGCGTTTTTCCTGCTTTTGTTTTCTTTACCTTGGCCCTGCAGATAGGGTTCTGTTCTGTTCCAGTAGACGGTTAGGCTCACAGCCTTTGACGATGCAACGAATTATGTGATAACATTTGGTCTTGCGGTAGTGGTGTATGTATGAGTTCCAGTGATCATGATAAAGTACTAGGATCCAATATCAAAATTCCCAGCTCGATTATTCCCGGGAGACGGCGAGTATAAATAAGGCGAGCACACACGGACCAAGTGATGCGCTGGCAATGCAGCAAGTGGCCACCTGCCAAGCGCGAACATGTGGATACTTGGGATAATTACTTCATGATAATGTAGTACTGCTAGTACTGCTAGTCAGACTAGATGCATACAGTTGACTATTATCCAGAGTATACTAGTAGGTAGTAGTTAGTCTAGCTCATAAAATACTAGAGAGTACGCAAGCATCGCCAGTATACTAGTACTACTCCGTACACCGTATTCGTACTGTAGTCATCATCATCGACCGCGCCTCACTCCACTGTGGCGTGATTGGCCCGGGGAAGAACTGCGCCTCGATGGCGATCATTGTGAAAAAGAATAACTATTCACCGTCAGCCACTTATTACCTTGTGTATTTCCTATTTATTCTTTCTTCTTTATTCGTCATTTAATTTGTTATTTTTTCCACTTCAACTAGCCACTGCTGGTCTACTAGTACTAGTATTACTACATCGTACTGGTAATACTGTATAGTAACTGCTCCTTGACTGCAGCCTAGTGCCAAGCCTCCCCAGCCCCGGCAACCTTCACCTTCACATTCACCTTCCAACTTCATTTCTTCTGCAACTTTGCTTTCGCACCTTATCACTCATCATGCCCATCGTTCCTCGTTTGTACAGTGATTGGTACAGTTCTTCCACTCCATTATCTTTACTTCGCTAATACCCACTTCCACAGCTATGGTGACGACTGCTACTACGGCTCCAACTGGGACCGCTGGGGTCGCTGGGTAGCCTTCGCCGTAATCGTCGGCTGCGCATTCCTCCTATTCTTCGGCTTCGCGTGAGTCCCTCCCTTCCCTTTACTCTTTTATCTTTCCTTTATTGTTTTAGCCCGCAGCGCTTGTCCTCTCCTGACCGATCGCTAACTCTCCCTCCTAGTTGCTTCAACGCCCGTCGCCGCCGCTCCCACGGCCGCAGACCAATGGCCGGAACAGCCTGGATGGCACCACCACCAGGTCCCCCTCCTCCAAACCAACCATACTACCAACAACCCTACGGCGGAGACCCCTACGCCCAACAACCACCCCCGCCCCAATACTCCGCCAACCCGGCCCAGTACGGCTACTTCGGCGCCGCCCCTAACCAGGGCCCTGGTCCCCACCCGCAACAAAATGGAATCGAGCTTCAGTCCCCGCCGAATGCGTATGGACAGGGTGCGCGCGAGTATGCGCCTCCTGAGGGTCCTCCTCCTGCGAAGGTCTAGATGTTGGGGTTGGGCATGTGCTAGGCTAAGATGCGATTGAGTCTGGTTGGGCTGGTTTGGGTCGGAAAGTGAAGTAAAAGGGCCTGTTGCTCTGCTTTCTTTTCGGCCCCCACCTGACAGCCCCTTCCCGCTAGGCTCGCGCGCTGCCTGCTCATGTTTATACTCAAGCGCGGTGGACCCGATCGGATCGGACTTCCCACGGACCCCGTCTCGATAAAGGGGCTGCTGGTCTAGTCTGGTCCGGTCCGGTCCGGTCGACACTTGATAATGATGCAGAATTACTTGCTTGCACGGGAAATCTGGCGTTCTTTTATTCTGATGGTCTTTTTTTAAATTCCCCCCCTTTCGATCGGTTTGGAATTACGTGCGAGATGAGATGGGGGGGTGTGATATCTATTTTCTCTTTGGTTTCGCACTGATTTCACGTCTGCGCGATTTGTTTCTGTTTCTGCGAAAAGACCTGCGTTGGTTTTTAAACCCCTCTTCGGCATACTACGGGAGATAACTCCCTAATACTCTTTACGCCATCACACTCCGCTCTGCTGTTCTGTTCTGTCGCTTCTTACGCGTGGCTAAGGTAGCGTGTAGGGATACAGATAGAGCGCCAGTGGACCTTCCGCTCCTACATGATTATTCCTACTATAATGACATATTCTATTCAAAAGCGAACTTGAAGTACCGTGACCCACATTCCTCCCCTAGTACCTAGGTACAGTACCTTCAACTATACTCGAGAGACCCTGGTCCTCCGAGTCCGAGCTATTCATAGACTCAGGCTGAAACATGTTCACGGATATAATCCTGTACAACGTAATCTCGAGTCCAAAGATAGAATTTCTATACCTAGCAGGCGGATGACGTGTTTATCTTGGTTTAACATGGCTCCTTTTCCCTACACCCTTGTACTTCAACCTGGAAATTCAAGTTCCCGGTTAAATGGTGAGAGTGACAATTACAATCGCTACTAGCAGTTATTGGTACCAAAAGGACCTCAATTATCGCGTCACCTCCAGTATAGTGGGAACCTCCAGTACGCCGTACTAGCAATAGTGATGCAATTCTGAAACGAGTGGAATTCCAGCCGCATAGTCGCAGTTCCAGCGGCAATGCCTTCGAGAAATCATTGTCTCGGCCAATCAGATATCCCATTCAGCTCCGTAGATAAATGTGACGATCTCCGGCGGCTAATGATTTGATTGACATGATGCGCCAAGCGAGGAATTTGTTTCAAAGACCTGGTCGCCCAGGTGTCCACTCTAAAATTCAGGGTCTACATGTGCTAGTACTAGGTACTAGTAGTACCTGAAAGTATTATCTTATCCCTCCTATTTCCAAGGTTGGAATTTGGGGGTTGAACTTGAACTTGAACTTGAACTTGAACTTGAACTTGAAGTTTGTGGTGCATGTCGAACCTTGGAAGTGACCCGATGCTGAGAACAGCCCTGGAGGAGACCACTGGCACGCTTTTGCTTCCAAGTTCCAGTTCCCAAATTTTGCTTCGTGCTGAGCTCACGATGTGCTCTGCTCATTTGGGCCTGATGCATCGACTCGGCACGAACTCCGGGCTTCAAACTCCACAGACAGCGGCACTATCCGGCGCCAGGAAGGGGGTATTTGATTGGGCCGAGACATAAACACGACCATAGACTCAATTCACGCGAATATCCATCTTAGCTGCCCCCGAAGTTCATGGTCAGAGGTTCGTCCATCTACCATATTACTACCGCGATTGATTGGCTGGCTAGATATTCCCTATATGCGATGGGTTTTCGTATCGTGTCCACGTCAGGAGCAGCAGGTGGGGGGTGCCGCCAGGCCCGACGTGCTAGCGCGCGAACAAAAACGACTCAGTATTGCAGATGGCTACATGAATCATGCAGGAAAGCGCCTAGCTTGCCTTCTGTCTTGCTCGGCCAGCTGAAGAGGCGTCGTCGCCATATTTTTTATTTGCTGAGCTGTGGACCTAATATGTAAGAATCGTGCCTTGTCACAGATTGGCCTTGTGGTTCGTACTTTGGGTAAGCGTGGTCGGAACTTTTCGTCTCGCTTCTTTTCGTGATCTTTTCACCCTTGGAGACTTTGACTTTGGAGATTACCCTGGCCATCCAGCTCTATCTGGTGGTTGATATATCGATTTTGATTCGAAATCATGTCGGAGAACAATGACGGTATGTAACCCCCCTGCACAGCCTTCACGCCCTTTTCTGACCATAGCAGGCTCGGGAGGGTCTTCCGATGAAATGAATCGCGTGGAGGAAGCTGGAGATCTTTCCGCTATTCACAACATCGTCGGGCCTCAAGACGACAATGGAGAAAACCCCGACGCCTCAGCTCAAGCTACCCATGAGGACGAAAGCGGACAAGACTCTACCATTGAAAAATATGGCACCGCTGAAGATGATCGGACAGTTGCTGAAAGACTGAAAAAAGCTATTGTCGACGATAATGAGGATGAACTTGTCTCAATCCTCCAGAGTAACCCAGATGTCCTCGAAGCGAGACTTGATTTCACCTTTAAGCCCGACGATCTTACAGTGAAAGAACTAACCCCCTTAATTTTGGCGGCAGGATTGGGTCAACGTAACATCGTGGAGATTCTTATGGACCGAGGTGCCGATTTTGACGCACGTAAGTTCTCCTTTTTTCGTGGCAACTCACTTCGACCATCGAAACACCGCCACCCAAATTCTCGAGAAAGGAGGGAATGATCTACTCGATTCTAAGAACAGCTGGGGAGTAACTCCTTTCTTCGATGCGGTCTTTGGGGTGCGGCATGAAACAGTTGCATATCTTCTTCACAAGGGCGCGAAGTTCACCTTCAGCGACCTAACGGATTCGCTTCGGAGATTTTCGAGTCAAATCTCGGACAAAGCAGAGCTTCCTGCCGCTCTCTGTGGATGCTGGATTGCTTTTGAAGATTTTTTTCATTCCAATGTGTCATGGACCACCAACAATCAGGGAAATACAGCACTGCATCTCGCATGCATGGGAATTTTGAGGGGCAGACTTGATATTAAAAGGCTCGAATACATGCGAATTATTGATGTATTGTGGAAGGCACATGGCAGCCTCCTGGAGAAATCGAATAAGGCTGGGGAAACACCACTTCTGACTGCAGCTTGTTGGGGATACTGGAAGGCATTTGAATATCTGGCTAAGAAGGGTGCCAATCTTTCTGCCCAGAACTCTAACCAGGACACTGCATTGCACCTCGCCTGTCAAGGAACTATGGGAAGCCTGTCTTGCATTCCTGCTCCTCAACATACGCAAATCATCGAAATGCTAATACAAGATAAACTCGATCTTCTGGAGCGGCCAAACAAATCCGGGGAAACACCGCTCCTTGTTGCGGCTCGTTGTGGCCAATTCAAGATTGTGAAGCTTCTCTTGGAGAAGGAAGCATACCATCTCGCGTCAGATAATGAGGGAAACACAGTGGTTCATTTATGTTGTCGGTTCCAAGAGGAGGAAACTAACTCCCCTACCAATCCGCAAGGTTGTTTGAACTTGGTCAAAAGAATCGTGAAGGACCACCCTGAGCTTTTAGACAAAAAGAATAATGACGATGAGACCCCGGTTCTTATTGCAGCTATGAAGGATCATTTGGGTCTCGTTGAATTTTTCCACAAGCAGAATGCTAATATGGAAAGCAGGGATGTGTGGGGATTTACCCCTCTACTCAACTCTACTTTCAGCAGTTCAACCTCCGTCATGAGATACCTTTTGAACGATAATGCAGATGTGACGGCGATAACAAACTCTCAAAACAATGTTCTCGAGATTGCTTGCCAAGAACCCAATCCTGACGTTCTTCAAATAATTCTCAGACTCCAGCGCGATCAATTGAGACCACTTGCGAATGGAACTAATAAGTCGGGGCAGACGCCATTGATGACGCTTATCGAGTCTGGAGATCAGGAATGTATAGTTCAACTATTGGAATCACACATCTACGTTCCTAAAGATCCGTGTCTGGATGAAATACATTACTCACCGGAGTCTGAACGAACCGTTGTCTCGTCGTGGCTTTCAGAGGGACTTGACGAGAAATACGAAGACACAACCAGATATTCAACCCTCAAAGCCAAAATTGTCTTTGTTATCTACTGGGCCCTTTCAAATGGTGACAATAACCTGCTCAAGGCTGCCATGAAGCACGTCACATCCATTGAACTCGAAAAAGGAAACACATGGCTCCATTTTCTGGCACGTGTTGGTGATATCCAGAGCCTGGATTTATTGAAGGACTGGGAGTCCTACGTCTTGAAAGTGGGAACTAGAAAAATGACACCACTTCATCTCGCAGCAAGTAGAGAAACCTCCGATCTCGCTGAAAGGTTTCTAGATTCACTTCATACTGAAGGGAATTTGGCGAGATATCAACCAGAAGATGCAAGAGATCATGCAGCGAAATCAGCGTCGCTAAAGATACTGGATGCCATTCTCCAGGAGACAGAGGATCTCGATACCGTGATATCACTGGCAGTTCGGCAGCAAAACTCGACCCTGGAGAGAAGCTTGTGGAGTAGAGCCCTCAAATTGGTCCAAAGTCATAAAATCTTCTCACGAAGTTCACTCGAAGAAAGGCGAATCGCCGAGTTCGTCATGGGAGTGGCAGCTTGGCGCTACACTACAGGCGAGCCGAAGTATCTGTACGGCTTCATGAACGTGGTCAGAAGTCTACCCTCTAATCAGCCCGGTGAACAACCTTCGCCTTTGAAATTCATTGTGGAGCATAATTTCCCAGTTGCTCTTTGGTGGTTACTATCCAGCGGCCGCTATCTCGGTGAAACGGATATAAAGGAGTGCGAGGAACTGACCCGCAACAAAAAATCGCTAGAAGACAGCCGTCCAGATGACGAGGTCCAACGGATTCTCAAGAATCCCCCTCCGACGCGCGCCCAGGTATATGACGGAGGTCGTCCTCAATTCAAACATGACCCGCCAGTAAAGGGTTCGCTGATTGCAACGCTCCTCGACTTCTCTGTAAAACCCCACCAGGTGAATCTCAAGCTCAGACGAGCCGACATTTATGATTTGATCCGAGCTCAAGGACCAGAGTCTATCATGGCAGATAACGAATTCCATAAGTTTCAAGACTACAAAAATAGCCTCTGGCCTTCTACGGGGACAGCGCCCGAAACAGAGCAACAGGCACACGCAAAAGAAACCAAAAAGACTGGGAATGCAACAAAACGGAAGGCGTTTGGGGATAAGAATGATTCCAAAAATGAGAAGAAGGGCAAGTCTTCCGATTTTGAGCAAAGTTCTGCCAGCGGGGTGAAACAAAAATTCCGCTGGGTTCATCTACCAAGAAACGACGTGAGTTGAATCAAAGCGCTTGCATGCCTTTACTAGTCGAATCACTAATGTTGGATTAGCTGCAATATGTTGAGGTATGAAAGTTTCGAGCTTCAATACATAATATACTAATACCATCTAGGATCTCATGGTTCGATTGTCGGTTGACAGAGGCAGGAGTAATAGCGAACATTTCCACTTAGCTGGGCTGGTGGAAAAAAGCTGGATGGAGATCCCTTCAGGCGGCAAGACCTTCTACATGAGACCGAATTGCCAGATTGAAAAGTCCGACAAGGTTAAGATGCTGAGTCTTTATGTCAGTCCTTTCGCCATTTGAGCTCATCTAAGTTCGAATGCTGTATTTGAGGCTAAATGAATATTCTTCACAGGTGCCATACATATTCTGGAGAGACGCGCCTGCAAGGAATGAACTTGTCAAGCCCAGCATCCGCACAGGAAAACCCGACCACCCTCAGGCTGATAATGGACCAACCTCAAGCTTCAAATCTACATCCCAAGCTACAGATACTAAAGATACAGAAAAGAGCACTGGGAATACAACACTCGAACCCTCAACAGATCTGCCCCAGGGCCCTCGGAATGGTACCAATCATGATCGTAAGCCCAACCAACAAGATCTCGATAACGCCGTTCAGCTAGATCAATATTGGCCACAATCCGAGGAAAGCATTGGAAAGCGAGTCATTCACAAAGATCTCACTCTCGATCAATACTACTACGAGTCGCTCCAAGACACAAACACCCGGGATTGTTCTCAGGTTCTCGGACGGCTGTTTGATCGTGAATCGCCCAAGACAGACAACAAAGGGGATCGAGCCGGCCAGTCTGGGCGGAGTGGAGATGCCAAAAATAAATTGAAAGCTCAAATTCTAACGGTCAATCAACTTTGGCTATGGATTCTAGATGATGGCATGCCTTACCTTTCCCATCTCTTGGCTAATATTATATGCTAACTCCCGCATTTTCCAGACACCATTATCACCAGCACCACAGAGGAGAGCAAGGACATCAAGAAGACATTCTTTCAACGTGCCTTTGACAATATCCATCAGACTGATCTGGACAAGCTTTACGAGGACGATAAATACGCACCTGTGATATATCACCTTGCTGATATTATCATGGACACGGCTAGAGGGTTGTTCGATGCTCGGGATATTGAGCTCAATAACTCGGAGGATAGCGGGATATCGCCTTTTGATGCTTACCGAAAAACAATACAGAGAATGGTAGGTACAAATACCAACGCTAGACCGTACTGGCGACGAGACAACAAAGCTAACGTGTCTCAATCAAGCGCGACTATGAGATCAAGCTGTTTACCAAATTCCGCGAAGCCTTGGACAAGACCAATTCAAAGAAGTCGCAAACTATTCATCAGCAGCTCCTTGCATTTTGGGGGAGTTCCCGAACACCCAATAGGTCAAGAGAAGGGAGAGACACGATGCAGGTAGGGGGGGAAATTGAAGGCAATTCAGACATCGCGGAGGATTTCGGAAACCCATATGAGAATATATTGGACGAGACCCGGCTATTGGAGGAGATCAAAGATGTCTTGGATGAGTTGAATATACTGAAAGCCCTAGCGCAGGACCAAGAACGTGTGGATAATGCCTGGAAAAGAGTCGCAACCAAAGTGAAGATCAGTCGAGCAGTCAGCGCATCTGAGATCAAAACCGAAGTTGAGAGCATGATTGAGGATGCAAAGAGTGTTCAGGGTGATATCAACTCATTGCTAGATCTAAAGCAAAAGGAAGCTGGCATTGTCGAGGCACAGGCTACACGCAGGCAGAGTGATACCGTAATGACATTCACGATTGTCACCATAATTTTTGTATGTGATCATTCTTCCGTTGCTGAATCAAGAGCTAATGTATACAGTTACCCGCGTCGTTCCTGACGAGTCTTTTTGCCTTGAATGTTTCCGATTTCCCTCATCAGAACGGTAGCGTTGAGTACAAAGGATCGTGGATATTTCCAATTATCTGTGAGTTAGCAGCCATCTTCCATATTTAAAGACTGGCGTTCTAACATATTCTGTGTTCGTCCGACTTAGTTGGCGTATCTACTGCCGTATCTGCAATCTTCATAGCTCTTGCGTTTAACACAAATTGGCTGAAGAGGTATACGCATATCTCGAAGGAGAACATGAAGGAGTCTTCGCGGGCCCGGATAAAAAGAATCTTTGGGGTACGAGGTGATGGCACTGGAGAACAACGAAGCCAGGTGTAACGCCCCTTGCGGACGAATGAGAACAAAGCCACTTTTACTCTACCTTGCAAGTCAGGCATAAAGTCTAAATTAATATACTCCAAACACGGGCATATTAGTTTGTAGAGAGTTGGGGGCCGTAGTCAATACAGGTTGGTTCTGATGCTCATTTCGTCCATACTAGCTTGGCCAGTCGTCAATCATTGAAATCGGAGGCATTGAAAGGAAGTCCATATTCTCAATCTCCGCCATCATTGAAGGCAGATCATCGAAGAAAGAGGTATCACTGTAAAAAGCGACATGGTCACTCTCGAACCTATCTGTGGACGGGCGCAAATGAATTTAGTTACATCTGAATCGAATCTGGGGATCGCTGATTCTCACCTCCGACCGTTTGAGGCGGCGCCGTCGCTTCTATTGTACTGTGTTCAGCAGCCTCATTGGGGCTTTCGAGTACGAGCCTCAGAGCCGTGACTACTCTGCTTTCTTCTCTCGACAAGTCGGGTTTGCGGGTCCAGATAGCCAAGCTCCTCTCGAGAAGTGTTCGCACTTCGGAAAGATACCCCTGTGGGAGCATATTTTTGCGATGCCGAACCAGAAAGCATATGATACTTGCGGCTAGAAAGTACCCGTTATTTATGAAGCAGGAGTCCACCATACCGGGAGGACAAAATGCGTCCAAAACATGGGACTCCTCGGCCATGCGGTGCTGTAATCGCATGATATCCGAGGATGCTTCGATCACGATGTTCCAAGGCTGATCGGTCTGAGTCGTATCCTTCGAGGTTCGGAGAAATTTCCAATTTAGCCGGATTCGGGATCTTTGATAATGCATGTAAATGTTCATACGCTAATAGAGATGACGATGTTAGCAGTCGCTCAATTATTTGATATTTCTTTGTGATCAGGGCCAGAACACTGACCTGAAATACGACGCTTGGGGGATCCAGCAGAGATTCCAGTACAGGCCGTAACTTGCAAGGCTCGGGAATCGTTGCATGTATCAAGTCCAACCTTGAATTGGCCGCCTCGAGGTCCTCGTGTGATAATGGGTTAGGACTACAAATTATATCCGATACCAGGGCTAAGCTGGTGGCCACATGGAGCTTCGACAGAATCACGGTGCTTGAAGTAAGTTCATTCATAGGTCTTGCGGGTGGAAGCTCAATTGAGTCGGCGTCAAAATCACGATCCTGAAGGTTCCGTGGTGGCAGGGTATCGATGATGGAAGTCTTAATACTACTCGGTAGGCCCATCTGCGCTGCGAAACCTATGTCGAGCGAGTATATCATGGCCCACATGCGGCGCCTGATCTCGCCTTCGTAGGGAGATAGGGACTTGAAGTGCTGCGGGTCTCGATGGTAGCCCATTCGAATAGCTGCGCAGACTTATCAGCAGGCGAAGCGTTGACTTTTAGAATCGTAAACACGTACCTATTTGGACAATGTTACCCATCAAAAGCCAGACCTCGATGTTGGAGTCCTTGTTCATGTAGCTCTCAATCAACAAATAGTGAACCATAGTTTCCAGAATGTCAGGACCGCCTTTGGCAAACTGACCCCGGACGAGGCATTGCACGGTCTTCTCTCGGTAGTTCAAAATCTTAGTCGAGGCTGCAGGTGACCAAGCATATGAAGCAGTATCCTGGAGGGGCGAGGGACGGCCATCCTGCCTCTGGCCATGAATGGTGAAGCAGAAGATACTGTACAAAAGGCCAAGCCAAGAGACAGTAGCTGCGCTGGGGCTCTCCCAAAAGAGGTTATACTAAGTTAAAACGGTTAGCTGTCAACCCTTTCGTGTCATGTGTGAGTACCTACCCTTTTTAAGAACTCGGCGGGGTGCATCACAGCTGTCGAAATATAACGTCAGCAAGGACAGACTTATGGCTCACTATTGCTCGCGCCCAGGGCAACTAACATCGATATTCCTGAGCACGAAAGTAGAGTGCAATTAAACGGTCGCATTCTCCTTTGGGCGGCATCGAATCGAGGATTTCTTGATCAGTGGCATGTTTGCATCCCTGGAAGAGGAGCACATTCTGGCTGGGGGCTAACGAATCCTGTTCCAAAGTGATCCCCAATTGAAATGTGGATGATGAATTATCCTGGCCATTCGTATCTGATACGCCGTCCAAAACCGAGGTCCAGTGAGTAGAATCTTTAAAGCCAGTCCCGGACTTGGTCAATTCCAAATCCGTGGCCCCTGGGGATGGAATGGAAGCTGAACTGTTTGGTGTAGCTAATCCATGTATCTCACTGTTGGTTTTCTTGCTATTTCCTGGAGCGAAATTTCTTGGTGAGGTTGAGGTGTAAGGGGTTGACGAATCGGCGTAGATGCACGTCGGCGCGAGGTGATGTTTCTGATCCACATTGTATGGCGTTGTCAGCTGCACCACCCTTGACCTGTCGTTCCTCGCAATTCGGAGTTAGGGAGCTTACAATGCAATAGGAACATGGCTTTTCGCGGTCACACTTCCGTCTATTCGCTGCGTCAGCTCGTTCTCCGTTTCTATCGATGGCAAAGCGGACGAAACATACTTCCGCTGACGGCAGTGATTGCAAGAAAGCTGCAGTTTATCACGCCGATAGGTTGAACGTGGGCGGAGATAGACTGGAGATCCACCAGGAAGACTCATTATGATTGTGCGTGGGGGCGGTCGAAGATTTAAGAGAGATGGAGAAAGAGAGACGGACTCATCGCTATAGTATATTCTTATGTCCGCGATGGTTGTTATCTCCTCCTCCTCCTCCTCCGCCGCAATGCACCAATCACGGATCATCCCACCCTCCGCAGAGCCCCGCCCATCCTCCGCCTCCGAGCCTCCTGGGTATACTACAGGCATATTGATAAGAAATTTGACTCCCGGATCAATTAATTTGAGAAAATACTATTGAGTCCTCTGCTCCTATAATTCCTCGACGAGTTGAATGATTTATTTTCTTGATTAATTGTGAAATTGGTTATTTCCCCCTCTTGTATTGCAACTATGAGTCTCAAGGTCGATCCCGAGAATGGTGTGCGACAAGATTCCGCTCTCGATGAGTCGGTTGGAGGATTCAAGCACGAAGGAGACTCAACAGATGACGTTGCTAAAGTTGAAGAGGATGGCCCACCCGATGGTGGTGCCGTTGCATGGTTGGTTGTCCTGGGAGCCTGGTGCTGCTCCTTCACGAGCCCGGGCTGGATCAACAGTGCGTATTATGAAATTGCCTCTTTCCAGTGGCCGGATGCAACAAACTGACAGTCATTCTATTTCACTAGGTATGGGTAGCTTTCAGGCATATTATGAAGTTGGCCCTCTGCGAAACTATTCTAGTAGCACCATTTCCTGGATCCCGTCCCTCCAAATATTCTTCGTTTTTGCCCTCGGTCCAGTCGTTGGTATAGTCTTCGATAAATATGGCCCTAGGCCCCTGATAACTGCTGGGACCGTCTTTCATGTTTTTGGTTTGATGATGGCTTCGCTGGCGAAAACATGCTATCAATTCATACTGTCACAAGGTGTTTGCAGTGCGATCGGCGTTGCTTGTCTATACTCGCCGGGTAACTAAGTCTAAGCCACATTTCTCCAATGGGTATTCAAGCTAACCTTTTCCCGCTATTAAGCACTTGCCTGCGTGGCAACCTGGTTTTCCAAAAAGCGTGGCGCAGCTATGGGGATCATGGCTACTGGCGGATCACTCGGCGGCGTCATATTCCCAATTATGATCAGCCGCATGATCCAAAGCACTGGATACCCCTGGGCCATGAGGACGGCAGCCTTTCTCATTCTGGGCCTGCAGCTGATTGCAATTCTCACGATCCGGCCGAGAACAAAGGCTGTCCCTAAAAAGATGCCTCTAGGCCGTTTGACTGCCCCCTTTAAAGAGCTCCCGTTTGTCATGTTGCTGCTCGGAGCCTTCATCCTGACCTATGGCATCCTTATTCCCGTTGACTACATGGCCGTACAGGCTTCTCAAGAGGCGCATATGTCTGAGCAAATGTCTCAATACTTGGTCTCCATCTTCAATGCGGCAAGGTAGGTATAAAGTCAGCCCTATTTTAGCATTATCCCAGCTCCCGATTATTGCAGAAGGCTAACCGCTATACCCAAGTCTCTTCGGCCGCCTTGCGTCCGGTTATGGGGCCGATAAAATCGGAAGATGGAACATTTTCATCGTCGCCTGTAGTATTTCCGGAATCACGCAGCTCGCAGTTTGGATCCCGGCCACGCACGCTTCCATCGTAATCGGCTTCGCCATCATGTTTGGCTTTTTTTTCGGGAGCCTTTATCGGTCTTTCTGGCGCCCTTCCCGCGTCGGTGTCACCACTGCCCGAGATCGGCTACCGGCTGGGCATTATGTTTCTCTCCATCTCTATTCCCGCCCTGACCATGGCACCTGTCGGTGGAGCTATCTTGCAAAATGCGGCTGGTGGTTGGTTGGATGTGAAGATCTTTGCCGGTGTCATGTCCTTGGGAGGGTCGGCGATTGTTCTTTATTCGCGGATGCTTTATACTGAAAATAAGATCCTGACTGTGTTTTGAGTGTCGAGGTACATAGACACTGGGCATTCATCGGATTAAGTTGCGGAAACATGAGAAAGATACAGCAGAATGACTTTCTCCTGCTCGAGTCGCGCAAGCATATCGGGGATATGATGGTATGCTTCTCTGGCAAATTTTCCACTGAGGCTGGTCGGCCTCGGCCTAGCGGCATGCCAGCTCACACTTCATGCACCATGCATGCAGGACCAAGGTACTACTATCCTTGTCTGCATTGCATATTCCTCACTGTTGTCGTTGCACCCATTGCACGCCGTTTGTCATTAGGTTGGTCGATATAGCGTGAGGGTTCCCTCCATCGCATAGACCTCCCATCATAATCTTTCATCTCATCCCTTCGCCTCTCTCAGTAGTTTGTGACGCAGTTTGCTTGCTTGTTCTTCCAGCGTTTTATCAACAGCACCGACTTCACATATACATTGCGGATGCACCAAAGGAGGTGTTCTACAGAAGGATTCTCCATGGGAGAATATCCTTCTGTACGCGATTTCTCTCTTTTTTCGATAGATGAGGTATTTATGTCCATTTTTCTCTGGCCGCGGCTGTCAACTGTGGTAGCGGCAAACTTTTGTCACTCATCCAATCCCTGCTTTTTTCGTTGTCTGCATCTCTTTTCTCGTCTGTTGCTCTGCCAGATATGTTTTGGCCTGAACAGGGAAGGTGGGACTTTGAAACATCTCCTGGGGAATTTCTTGGTTGTGTCATCGGGGCCGGTTGGTTCGTAACTATATTGTCGCCAATTCAGATTCTAGCTTGATGGTTAGCATTGAAATGTCAATAAGGCGTGAAAGGACTAACTTTTTCGTGAGGTCGCCGGGGAAAGTTTGGATTCCGTGAGTGCGACGATCTCGCTTTTCTGGGTGGCAATGACACTCTGCCGACTGTCAAGTCACGAACAGTGACCTGGGCAACAAGAACCGAGTCGATTCTCATATGTCAAAGGCGCAGTGGAAGGAAGCATTTGGAGGGTTCTCTAAATCTTTCTTCACGGCTCTCACGCAAGGGTGTGAAGGGAACGGGCTCATGGTCTTCCTTTTGCAGTTCACGGGCAAGCTGGATTTTCCCGTCGTACATGGTTCCATTCTTCTTGGTACTCCGCTGGAGGAGATGCTCGTCAGATTCCTGGTCCTCCTCTATTTGCATTTGCATCCTCCAGCCGGCTCGTCCTCCTCGCAGCCCCAGGATTATCCTGGGCTCCCTTCCTTTTTAGTGCAGGCACCAGTATCAACCCACTCCACGGATTTGAGTGCCTTGATTGTTGAGCGTTCCATCCTGTTGGCCAGGGTTTTACTGCAGCTTGGACGCCTGCAGAAACCCAGAAACTTGAGGTACTCATCAACTCATATCACAAACCCTGGGCATTCCAAGGTTTTAGCGCATCGGGGCTTCTCCATTGTACTCTGGATCCGATCATTAAGCACCGCATAGCGTCCGTAATAATTATTGCACTGTAAATCGACCGGGTTAGAACCTTGGAAGTCGTAATTCGGACATTGGATTTTCGCGATGATGACATTGGGAGATACCCACTGGCAAAATGGCACCAACCCAGATAGCAAACTTACCTCAATTATGACATAGTCAGAATAACGACCGATGATGGGTGGCTGCTCACTGGCAGGTACTATAACAGCACCGTGACCGGGTATGCAGCATCTGGGTCACTATATATGTATATTCATCGTACCTGTAGTTGATCTTCCGAGGTTGTTCATCATAACCGGCTAGGAGCCAAGGCAACCTGCCTAGGTGGGCATAACGCAGCGGGCGTTGTAGGAGAGCATTGCCAACTGCCCGATTTCTCTCTCACAGCGGCACGGCTCTGCGTTGAATCCACCCCTTCCGGGCTCTTCAGTTTTTCATTCCATTTCGTGACCCTAAACGAAACTGTCGGATGCTTTTCTCTCCAAGAGGGAACGGATGGACTGGGGCATATTTTTAAATCGAAATATGACCATGGGGTTCTGATAAGGTGCTCTTTCAGGCACGCAATGGAGCGAAGCATTTCTGTCTATAGGATCTTGGTGTATCAGCAAGACTCAGATAGAAGAACAGCCTTGCCAAGTTGCTATATTGATGGACTTTGCCGTTGTGGTCTTGGGATGCGACTTACCTAGACGCGAGTGTTTTTGAAAGAAATAGGACTCCTTGCTTTTCAGTGACATCGAGGATGTCGTCTTGGCTTGAATTTGCAAATTTCCGCCAATTTGCCGGCCACTGCAGAAACTGCAACGGAAAAGATTGAAGATCCGCAACCTCAAGCCGGAGAGCGAAGGAAAGGAGGAGGATTCGGATCAGTTGTGAAAATTTTCATCTCGGCGAGAGGGAGTTTCGATAGATCGTACTCTTGAGTAGCGAGCGCAAAGACTATTGGTAATCTGAGGAGGTGGTGTCAGTGGTGTGGTGGTAAAGAAGCTGGCTTGGCTTCAACCTTGGATGCTTTTGTTAACCTCGCTTCGAATTGGGCAAGGTGCACTCCAGATCATAGCACCACACAGCCTACTACCTTGGAAATTTAAAATCCTAAAACCAAGCATCGGTTCAGGTATTCGCTGGAGCTGATGGTAGCGAAGTGTGGGGGAGTGGTCCACGGGTGGGGAGGTGGAGGTGGAAGCTTTGTTTGTGGAGTTGGCAATCTTTATATAGACCTGTATCTTGCCCTTTGTTTCAATTCACTGAGGTTATACTAATGTCGTCACGTCCTGTTTGCTCTTATGGAGGGCTTAAGCTTGTATTGAATGATTACTATTGTTTACCCCGAACGAGTTCCCTCGCTCCTGGGTAATTCAATGACCAGATCTTACTATACATAATGCGGGCATATTGAGAGTTGAGATCATTGATTGATTGAGGACTAACTAGTTTATGCCTTCTATTTCATAAGATACCCCTTAAACTTATGTGCCGTTGTAAATTTCCGCCATTCTCCTCGACCATTAAGTTGCCCCATAGCTCACTGTGCTTTTCGTTGCCTTTGAAATGGGAAATACGACCTGGGCATCCAACGGGCAAAGCATAGCGGCATCCTACATTGCGGGGCAGTTGCCTGGCATTGGGTTACTGAAAGGGTCTCGTGGCATCGGAATACCGTGTTTTTCATTGTTGCGAAGGATAGTACCCCACTTTTCGCGGACAAAATCGAGGGCCCTCGGGGTCGAGAGCCAGGCGTCGATATTCATCTTCACGAGAGCTTCAGCCATCTCCGGGCTGTTTGATTTCCAGGATTTATCGATACACGAGTCCATTTGAAGACGTTGCTTGCTGTAGTCCAGAGCAGAAGGAGAGGTCAAAGCGGCCCAAAAGTGAGGGTTCTCGGAGTGAACCATGAGCATGAGAAATGAGAGTTGCACTAGCAATATGCCAATGAGTGCCGTTCCATCTGCTTTGTGATCATTCGCCTCAACGATCTCGGGTTTGCTCGCAATTATGGAAGTTTGGAGTACGTATGGCTTGATCTAAGCGACGATGTTACGAGGCAATCGGGTACCAACCGCCTCAGAAAGGCTGTGCAGTGCCTCCACATCAAGACAAAGTCGGACTTTGACCAAGGCTTGATGGATCTTGAGGTCGAGCTCGGATTGGCCTCCGATGGCAATCCTGTCCGGCTGAAAGGGATCGGCATCTTTGACGGTCACGCCTAGGCTAGTCTCGGTGGCCCAGTCCTCATCTGGAATATCAATGGCCGCTCTGAACCACTTGATCAAATCGTAGCATTCCTGATCCTTCCCCAGTCGAATCATGAGTGCCGGCAGATAGTATCGGGCGAATAGAACATGGTGTGGTCCGAGAAGAAACAGACGGTGCAAATCGTCGAGCTGGGCTTGGAGCGACGCCTTGGTGTCGATTGAGGTCAACGCTTGGAATAGTAAAGCCCTGGCGGTATAGAGGCTTTTTGCGTATTTGTAAGTTGCGAAGGAAAGAGCAACAGCGCAGTCCAGTTCAGTTTTCCGAAGGCGCGCTTCCTCAGTTTCCACGAGCTGCTTTGCCTTCTTTATTGTATTGCATGCTGCTTTGTGACCTGGGCGATGTTTGATCTGGTGGTCGGAAGAGCAGTAGTGAATGACTCGACATGCGGAGCATAGCAAGAGACTTTGCTTCTTGCCACAGACAGCGCAACTGGCTGGCGGCGGCTCGGACATTATCAAATGAGATAGAACTATGATTGGAGGAACGAAGGAGTAAAATTCTTTGGCTGGAGGGATGTGGTCAGAGAATGGTGGGAGTGTGCGTAGGAGAGAGGGAGAGAGTGAGTCAGGAAGCGAGAGAAGAAAAAGTGAAAAAGTGAAAGAGTGAGAAGAAGGGCAACTGCGCTAGGCAGCATAGCAATTCATTCCCAAGACAGCATCCCTCATATTCAATACTGTCATCGCCGAGATACCGTTGAAGTTGCGAATACTGTATTCTGGGACCGTTGGCGGTTAGCAAACAAAGTTGCTTTCCTGGCCATCACGAATTGCAAGAGAGTCAAGGTCTTGGTACTACTAGTACTAGCATTAGAATCTCTGGTCTGGTTGGCCATGTAATCCAGGGCTAGTAGTGTTTTTTTCAAGTTCTTTTGCTGTACAGTCCTGCTAGTCCTATAGTTACTAGACATATTATCATACTACTAATACTACTACTACTTCCACTTAGAGGTTCGAATCACGAGGCAGGAATATAATACTGGTAATACTATCAGTAGTATGCAAGCAGTAAATACCTGCTACTAGTAGTACCGGTACTATCTGACAGCCTCCAAATAATCGTAAAATACTAGTAGCTAGTCATGAAGTAAATAATCTTCATGTTGTCGTACTAATGGCTGATTCTGTCTGTCATCTTCAACTTCAACTTCAACCTCCGCAATTAAATCAGCAATTGAACATATCTTTTAATCTCAATTATTATGGAGTAAAATATAACCACTAGAAGTACTCACTACTATACTAGTACCAAGGTAGTATAAATGTAGTTCTGTAATTAAGGTATGCACGGGACCATCGGGGACCCACCGCCATCTCCGCCCTCCGCAATTTTCGCGTCGCGATCCCCCTCCACTTCAACCTCAACTTCCAATTCACTTCAATTCAGCCCAACCCACCATGGACATCGACGACATCCTCGCCTCCGTCGATCACGGCCCAGGCGCAAGCCCCGAATCCACATCCCTAGACCACCAATCCCTCACACGCTTCTGGGTCTCCGAACGCGCCGTCTCAGAAGTCCTCCCCTGGCCAACAGCTCTAATGGACCGAATGATGGATCGCGTCCGCATGCAGGTACGCCAATTGCAGCAGAAGCAACAGCACCCAGATTCGACACTAATAAACCCATACAGATCGAATCAATCGAAGACATCGCCGCCTCATCAGCAGACGCACCCCCGCCAACAACCCACAACCAGAACGCAAACGCAAACCACAACCCAAACCTAAACCTCCGCCTCTCAATCCTCCAAACAGACCTCGCCCGAACCCAATATATAATCCGCAGCCTCCTCCGCACACGTTTAGCAAAACTCACAAAATACAGCATGCACTACCTCGTCAAACTCTCCTCCACAAACCAGAATCTCTCGCAATCACAGTCCCAATCGCAGTCGCAGTCACAGTCACAACCAACGCCCGAAGACTCGGTACCCGACATCTCGGCCATCGCGTCCTTCGACCCGCTCTCTGAGAGCGAGGCCAGTTTCGTGCATGCGCATCAGAAATTACTCGCCAGCCATTATAGTGGGTCGTTTATGGGGGCTTTTCCGAGGCAGTTGAGACGGTTGGATGATAATGCTGGTGGGACTAGTATGATTCAGGGACCTGAGACGAGAGAGGTCGTTTTTGTGAGATGTCTTGGTGCGGCGGTGCCGGTTCTTGTTGTGGGTGAGGGGGAGCAGGAGGAGGATATTGGGGTTACGATGCGCATGGGTGATGTTTGGGTTGTGAGGTGGGAGGGGGTTAAGGCTGCTTGGTTGAAGGGGGAGGTTGAGTTGTTGTGAAGCAGCAGGAACAGCTGCAGCTGCAGCAATGGCTGCGCTTATATCTTTTTTCCATGTTTATGCTTATGTTTACTTGCATGGGTTATGTTTACTTTTACTGCTTGGCTGGACCTGCTTGGAGGGGGAACCTTGGAGAGCAAAGTCGCCAGGTCGCATTTATGGCGTTGTTGGGGTTTCTTGTGATGTACTGCATTATTTTGGATCATCATGGCTTGCCATTTATTTCATTTGAATTATGGCTGGGGATTTCAGGACATCCCTGGCTGAGACCTTTGGTCGTCATCTATGAACATTCAATCGTCGCCTTCCGTAGGCGTAACGCCCTCCGCTAATATCAGAACACCGGTTATGCGATGTGAAGGAAGAAAAAAAGAAGAAAAAACCGAAGTAAATAAATGCCAAGGCAAATAATGGAAATCGGCGAGCAAAAAGAAACATAAACACCGGGATGTCATTATCGTCATCGTCGTACCCTTTGAAAATCATTCAGGCAACGTAGCCGTACGTGGGTGGTTCTTCGCCGACTCGCTCCAGATACTCGCGGTCAATTAAGCTCTCAATTCGACGCTTGACCATGTTGACGTCTGGGACAAAGCGAGCGGATAATTGCGCAAGGACCTCTGTCATGAGCTGAGAGTGAATCAACTTTTTGCGTTGTCTGGGAGAGGTTAGCAAAAGATTGACTAGAAATGGGATAGGGTCAACGAACTTCATGATTCGAACGAGGGCCGCCTCAATTGTACTGCCACGCTCCTCGTTGAGCTTCTTTTCGGTATCCTTGCGCTGGTCCTGGTTCTCCGCTTTATTGGAGCCGCCACTGACGACGCCAATCCGCACTTTGACGAACTGGCTCTGGAACTCGTTGTTGAAGAAGAACCGATCTGTAGGTTTAACATCCTTGCTCATCGGCTCTTTCTTAAGAACTCTTGTCTTCGGCGCCACAGCGAGTGACTGGAGATTGCGAATGAGGTCATTTCCGGGAATGCTGGTACGACCCTGGATTTCTTCGTAGGTGTAAGATTCACTATCCGGTAGATCGTTGAAGAGTGAGAGAATGATCAGGGCATATGTTGATACGTTCAGCTCGTATCGCTGGGTCTTGCCGCTCGCCCGTCGGAACGTAGCACGGATGTCAGCGGTACCCATTCCAGCCTGCCAAGAGAGTTTTCGTCCACTGTGTTTGCCGAGATAGAACTTCTCAAAGCTCTGTTTCAAGCTCTCGATCTCTTTAGGGAAAGTGCATGGCAATTGGACGTGGCCATCTCTGCTGGCCATCATCTCCATGGGCCACATCGTGCTTGTAAGAACATTGATCTCTAGGTCGATGCGCTTTTGGTCGGGTTCCGCACTCTGGGTAATATGCGCTTTGTAGCTTGCTGATAGATCCTCGGAGACGGTCATATCCTTGAACATGTGTTCAATGCGCTGGGTGAACTGGTTCCCAACCTCCAGCTTCATCTTAGAAATCATTTGCCGCTCAGCATCCATGCTGGAGGCGCGCTTCATCAACAAGCGACGCGACAAATGTTTTTTATAATATGTCTCGAAGAGATCCTTATCCTTGATGTATCGAAGTAGAGTGATGCCGTTATCAAGCAAAGCGTCGACTTCAATCTCGGTCTTGCCCTTGATACCCTTTTTCAAGTTCTCGTCGAAAAATAGCGAGAGATACTCTGAGCTTCGTGGGTTAATGTTGATAAAATCGGAGAAGCTGCCCATGATCGAGCTTTCTAGACCTTGGTCAGACGAGAAAGCCTTCTCCCAGATGGTATCAAACTGTCGCTTCAAGGCCAGGATATCATCCACCCATTGAATCGCAGATACTGTTTGTTGGTTGACTGGCTTTTCTTTCGACTTCTCTGCCTTCTTCGGCTCCTCTGTGCTTTTCCCAGACAACGCCTGGCCTTGTGAAGATGTGAGAGCCGAAGCATTGATCTCTTTGCCAAGCTCAACAATCCGCTTGTTGATCGCTCTAACGAGAGCATCTTTCTTCGGGTCCACTCGAGCATTGAGCTGATAAACATTGCGAAGACCATCCAATTGGTTGTGGTCCAGCATATGTCGAACCCCGGTACCCTCTAGCTTCACGACCTCCTCAATGTTCTTTCTGATTAACTCATCGTCCAAAATATGGAGAATTTTGGATTCAGTCGCCGATGCCAAGACATAACGACATCTTTCTTGTTCTTCCGCAATCCGCTGGGAGGTAATGCGGCAGAAGGTGCTTGCATCTCCGATGTCAAGGAGGCGTTTTCCTTCGCCTTGGTAGAACTCCGTACTTGTGCGCAAAAAGGCAGGCTCAAACATCGAGTGATAAAGCTTAGCACCCTCTTCATCATCCATGTTCTCATAGAGTCCTTCGAGCATCTGGACGCAATGTCGAATCAAAGGCCGCTCAATGATATGACCGTTCCGTTCCAACTGGACCATGAAGAGTATTGTCGATTCGAGTATATCGTATACGGTAATTTCTGACTCGGCACGTGCGGCGGCACGGAGGACGTGATCTCGGAAGAGGGCCATGGCGACAACATAGATAGAAGGCTTCGTTCGGTCTGCGGAAATGATTCGATCCTGGGAGGGGCTATTAGATCTTCCCCCTGAGTATGCGGCGACGGAACCACTAACCATATACATCAAGACGTCGGTGATCATGCCCATGCAGAGCTGATGGTCTTCCCACCTCTCCTTCAGCACGCCCAAGAACTTCTCCCCCGCAGCTCGGCGTTCGTTCGACTGGTCTTGCATTTCCACCACGCCTTGGGGACGTATCAGACTTGCTGAGATCGATTCAGTTACCTGATGTTGAATGTTGTTGCGAAGCCAATCCTCCTCGAGGCCCTTGACCTTTTCGTAAAGATCGTCCCCCCCGCATCATCAACACAATTCTGTAGGCACTCCGATAGATCTCCTCGAAGGACAGGGCAGAGGCATTTTTGGTATTTATTTCGGTTAGAGAAGCTGAGAGGACCTTCCAGCTGGAATCGAAATCGTCTGTTTTAGCAGAAGGAAAGCCCTGTTTAGTAAATATCAGTGTCGGGTTCCCATACAAAAAGAGGGGAGGGGAGGGCAGAATAGTAAGGCGTACCCGACGAGGAGCTCGTATTTTGTTGCGAGCCCTCATGGCGGCCATCTTGAAGATGGAATAGATGAGAGGAAGCTGAGAAGGAAATAGGGCCAAAAAGATAGCAGTCGAGAGTAGAAGTAGTCGGTAGAAGTTGAAAGGAAAGAAAGAAGAGCTGCTTTGCTCTCCGCGGAGGAGCCACCGGAAGATTGTTGATCCGCCACCGCCTTGGTTTGACGTTGACGTCGTTGCTCAGGCTCTTTTCTTTTCTTCATCACACTCCCTCATTCAATCACTCCCAATCCTTACAATCAAGCGAGGGGAAGAAAACTCAATAATACAACATGCGCCCCTTCTCATCACAGGGCCTCCGCCCTTTGCGCTCGCTCATCTCCGCGCCAACCTCCGCCCTCGCATCGAGTCGCGCACCTGTCTCCCGATTCTACTCTTCACGACTACTCCAGCAAAAGCGGCGCCTACCATCACCCGTCATTCTTCGATCTCAGCGCGGAGTTCTTCCGTCATTATACCGATATAACTCCACCGCGCCCCGGCCTCTCACCGAATCCCCGGCTCAAACTGAGACCGACGCTGAGCGCGAGCAAAAGAACGAGGAGCGTCGCAAAGAAGAGGAAGCCTATCGCATCACTTTTACTTGCAAGCCATGTGGCGAGCGCTCTTCTCACCGCATGTCTAAACAAGGCTACCACCGCGGCACCGTGCTCATCCAATGCCCCTCTTGCCAGAACCGTCACGTCATGAGCGATCACCTCGGCATCTTCTTCGATAAGGGTACTACACTGGAAGATCTTCTCAGCGAGAAGGGTCAAACGTTGCAGCATGGTCGCACAGATGGTGATCTGGAATTCTGGGACGATGGCACAGTAAAGAGCTTCACTTTGGAAGGTGATCAGGTTATGGAACCCGCCAAGCCTGGGTCTTCATCTTAAAGTCCGGACGGACGGGACGGATCTGCACGTATCCATTTCTCGGTGCATGGTGTCGGTGGTGGATTCGAGCCAACCATCGATACCTTCGCGCAAAATTGTATATTATTTATGACTCTCCACTCTCTGCATGGCGGGTTCCAGGCATCGAATGAGAAGAAGGGGCGGTCTGGGGGGGGGGAAGAGGAGGGTGTCTACCTGTCGGACATATTTTCATGTAACAACAACACATTGTATAATAGATTTGGATGTCTGTGGGTGTCCAGTTGAGGAATTCTGGGGTATTCTGTGGAGCATCAAATGTCAAAACGAAACCAACGTATTGGCAGTCAAACTATAGTAACTTGAAGCTGTAAAGTCAAGCGTGACCAACTAACAGGTTGAAGTCCAATACAAACCTTGGAACTAGGATATGCTTGAAGTGTGCCTGGGTAAATATACTGTTAGCAAGACGTCTATACATCCCGTAGAATGGGATGTATAATTCAATGGGTTCATCTTTCATTAATTCGGCAACAATTAATGATATCTTGTGCTACAAAATGGGCCATGGAATACACCAGTTGACTGGGACTATGGCAACATTCTGAACTTGGCTCATTTGCACATCCAGTCCCCTTCCTTTCTCTTTCCCAGCCTTGGGACTAGACTCAGTACTTTCGCTCATTCTCCCTCTTCCTCCTCAATGGCCCCCACCTTTGAGATTTAATTGTCGCCGAAATTCAGCAGCATGGATCTTCCCCGGCTAAACCTCGGTCCCCTGACCACGCCCTTTGTATACCCGTTGTCTTGTACCCCAGCCTATCTAGCCTGCGAGGTTTGCACGGTGGCTGTACAAGCACAAGCTTGCGGAGAGCGATCATTTTCCAATGACATAGAATGCTGGCCTTCTCCATCACTCGAAGTCGATTCAACTCGATTGCTTTCGGGCTTCTACTCACCAGGAATCTCTTGCCCAGTTGGCTACACGAGTGCATGCTGGTCCACAAACGGTGGGCATGCGGAATTCATATTCGATGCTACGCCAACTGCATCAGAGACGGCTGTGGGATGTTGTCCAAGGTATGTGCTGAAAGGTTTCTTGCACTCCGAGCAGAGGAAATCGTACAGCAAGAGCTAGTGTTAACAATATACAGTGGCTTCAAATGTACCCATTTAACTTCCAAGGACGTCTGCAATGGCATTGGCTGTACCTCAATCGCAACCGACGGCGACTCCTCTCTCCAAAAATTCGTCTCCATCGCACGATCCACGGAATACAATGCTCGTCTGTGCATTACAGGAGCGATCACCCCAGCCGAGAGAACCCTTCCTGGGAACGTCACGGTCACGACTACTTATCCTACGAAGAGCACGATACTCGTGACTGTGAGAATTGCAGAAAACGACGACTCCACCTCTACGATTGTTTCGACACTTGTGAAAGGCCCATACATTACATCTACCCAGATGACCGCTTCGATACCCAGCATATCGATATTTGCACCTTTAATCCAGCTCGTTCATCAGCCTTCCGATCTAAGCAATGGAACTTCAATAATTACAACCGGGGTGGAAACGATAACTGCAATGCAGGATTCTCATTCTAGCTCTTCGCTTTCCACGGGTGCAAAAGCTGGAATCGGGGTGGCTTCTGCTGTCCTGGCACTTGCACTCATCGGGGCTGCCTTTTTCTTTCTTTCGCGGAAACGAAGTAGGATTAAGCTGCCAGAGCCGGTGGGGGAAAGCTCATACGCCAATCCTCATGACGGGGCTTATGAACTTGCGTCAAGCGGACAAAAAGTGGAACTTCCGGCGTCAAATGAGACTGGAACAATCATTGGGACAAATCAGCCGGAACAAGAAAGTGATAGCATCTTTGAACTTCCGGGATGAAGGCCATGATGTCCTTTCCGCAGTAATACCAACCCTTGTAGTTGAATTTGTAGCTGTGATATTGAATACTGTACACTATTTCTATGGTGATTTCTTCTCTTAATACACCTATTTTTTCACATTTCTTTGAGGGTGTGATCTTTTCTCGGTGATTTTTTCTCATATTCCAAGTCTACTACGTATGTGCCGGTCATGTCCAAGCTTTGCCATTGTAATCAACTTCATAATTGAGAATGTAGCTTTGTGTGGTATTCAAAGCAGAAGTGAGCGACGAATGGAGAGATGAAGAGAATATGTGTAGTAGCCATGTCCAAATTTGTAGGGGAATAGTAGGCGCAGGGATCGTTAAGAATGCGAAACAAGTCTCTCTGGCCACCAAACCCCCGAATAGTCTAGAGGAATTGGCACAAATAAAGGCTCAGCAGAGAAGCCTTGGGGCCTGAGCCACTGTTATTCTAGAAACTCAAATCCTGGACAGGAACAATGGCGATCTATCATATTTGTGGCGAGCGTAGTCTTGTTACGCACGATTTCTTGGCTTTCGCCTAGGTGATCACCCAGGTGGCTGCATTCAAACGAAATGAGGCGAGCTAGCAGGGGTTTAGTACATATAAAGAGTGAGGCAAATTTGTCTTCGGGTTTTCTACTCTAATCAGACAGCCCCCAATCTTCGTTTATTGAAATATTAAAGGTTCTTGAACGTATCAAATTTAAATTCGGCGTAATATTACTAGTATTTCTACTCTGTCTTCTCTGAATTATTCTCCCCTTTCTGATCAAGTCCGATCTCGTGGATGATCTCATCGGCCACTAATCCATCTATATTGTGGCCGTGAACAAGCTCCAGCTTAGGAGGTCGATAGGTCTTGCGAGCACTGAGGACCCAGTTTGACGCAGCGATCACGAGAATCACTCCAAAAGCGGCAATGCAGTAGTTCATGTTGCTTGGAGTAGTCGGATTAGATGTTGGCCAAACGAAGAGAACAGTCGTGAGCAAAGCCCAAGCAACATCTGCCGCATTGCAAATATACCCAATAGTGTTGGGCAATTTGAAACTGCGGTTTTCGGGGAGCATGCGACGACCACGCAGCATATTGATTCCTGGCGGGATAGCGTAGGTGATAGTGAAAGAGACCACAGCAGCGGAAATGATAGCGTTGAAAGCGTTGTCGGAGCCGAGGAAGATAAGGCCAAGAACAATAACCCAGCCGAAGCACCATACGAGTCCGGCCACGGGGAGGCCGAACTTTGGGCTCACACGTTCAAAATGACGATTGAATGGCATTCCACCATCCCGCGCCAAGGCATATGCCATGCGGGCGGCAGTGGCCATATCATCGATGGCGCATAGAACAAAGGATAGCAGAGGAAACATCATCAAGCATATACTACCGGCCTTGCTTGATGTGGCCTGGTAGTAAATTTCCAGCAAAGGTTCAGAGGCTGAAATAGCTGATGGGATATCCGTCATGACGGCGAGCACGGCGGCAATGTACCCGAATCCAGTGATTACGGCCATTACAATAGCGGATATCATCAGCTTGGGGCCTTGGGTTGTGGGGTTTGGCATCTCTTCAATCATATGGATGGTCGAGTCGTAGGCAGTCACGGAGAAAGCACTTGAGCATATCGTTAGCTTTGAATTTAGAATTGAAGGCTTGAAACATACCCCTGCAGTAGACCCAATTGCCAGGCCCAGCCATCTGGCCAGCCTGATTCATTGATGAAACCCCCAAACACGAATTTCGCACTCTGGAAATCCGGAGCCGCGCACGCCAGAATAACGATCAAACTGATTATGAAGCCCGCGAGCGTGAAGAACATGTTGTACTTGTTCAGATGAGAGAGGAAGCGATTGGCGAACAAGTTGTAGCTGAACGCAATAGCACCGATGGCGATATACAAAAGGAATCGCTGCCATGGCTTCGGCTCAAAAGTAGGGTTCACCAGCTCAGCATAACTCATGATGATTCCACTCACAAGCAAGCAATTGGCTGCTGCCAGGCAAACCCACGCAGCGAGGTTGATCCAACCAGTGATATAGCTGACTGCGCGTCTTGTCGATTTCCAGCTGGCAACAGCTGCCCAATGATACTGGCCACCGGCAGTCGGGTATGCAGATAGAAACTCGGCAAGCGACACGCCACAGCATAGGTTGAAGATTCCTGCGATCAGGATACCCCAAACAGCGCTGCTGGGCCCACCGGATGGCAGGGAAGCATTGACGGTGGTTCCGATGGCACACCATGAGTTGACGATAGCAAACGCCATTCCAAGCATTGACATGCTAGAGAACGAATTTCGCTCTAAATCAGATTTGATGCCCATCCGCTCAAGGGAGGCATCAGCCTCTGCGGTGGCATTGGTATGGCGCTTTCGGGTGGTGCCACCTTCTTCCATGTTGGAGGCGAATGATTGAAAAAGGGCTGTTGAAAGGGATTGTAGCAAGAGAGGCGGGAAAAGGAGCAGGAGCAGGATACAAATAGCCTTTCAATCCTCACAATAACATGCGGCGACCAGACTATGTCTCTCTTAAAGGCGGGTCAGACGGTGGCGCGCTAGTCTAGGGGAGTCCATTCCTTCGCGGATCCTTCGAAACAGGCAATTATTAGCAAAGGAAAACGACAATCTTAGACCGCGGTGTGGGTCTCTCTTGTCAAATGGCCAAGATAACGTGATAAGGGCTCCACTAAGCTTTTTTCCCGCGCGGTCCTCCATCCCATGAGATCCCCCGAGGCCGTGGTTATACTCCACAATCACGCCCCCCAGCCATGCGACAACCTCAACACGCGACAGCCTCGACACATCCCAGATGAATTCAACGACAAGAAAGACAATCACTCGGTCGCGCAATGGATGCGCAACTTGCAAATCAAAGAGGGTAAGTACATCCTGCAGTCAAGATCACCCTAGTTCTCCAATCGCCAACCACTCTATGTTGTAGTTGAAATGCGACGAAACCAGACCCAGTTGCTCACGCTGTACGAGACTCGGTATCCCGTGTCCAGGCTATCAAAAGGACCTCAAATGGTCCACTCACCAAAGAATACCCACAAAAAAAGCAAGGGGTTCTAGCAGCGCTGAACCTGGCTCCCTCACGGATTGGACCAACTACACCTTCAGTCGGGCAGGGTCTTCTACGCCTCATCAATCGGCGGTAGACCTATTCTGCTCCGGAATATTTGATGAAGCTCCAAGCTCCTATGGAGCTAGTCAGATTGACACGGTGGACGATGTCAGTCTTACATCGCCACTCTCATTTGATGATCTTTCTCGGGAGATGGATCTTCAGTCCCGACAAACGCCACGGAAAGCGATATTTTCCAAGAGCCAGACGCCCAAAAATGATTCTCTATGGCCATCATCCTATACCACAATCTCGGACTTGCAATTTGATGGCTCTTCGAGCTTGGGGTCCCCGAACCCAATATCGCAGTCTTGCCAAACGCCACTCGCACAATCACTCCAAGATCATTCGTCTATACTGGTGGAGTACTATTTCAAGGAGGTCTGTGGAATGATGTCCTGCTACGACGGTCAATTAAATCCATACAGAACCACAATATCCGACGCCTGGTCTGGTTCTCCGTCCCTCTACTATATCACCCAGAGCATGGCAGCTGCATGTTTATCTGAAGTTTTGCCCAAGTTCTCTTCTATTGGCCTGCAGCTTCAAAAACAAGCATCTATATTCTTGTCTGAAGAAATTCAAGAAGATCAGATACAAACGTCGTCCTTGTTGGCCTTGGTTATGCTCGGGATGAGTCGCTCCTGGCACAACCCTGGCGAAGTGGGCCAGTCAGAGTTCGAAATACTTGCCACGACTCTTCTTTCTTCCAAGGCTTGCCAAACCAACACAAGTCCATCTGATGAACAAAAGATGTCTTTTTTTCAAAACTCCCTTGTCTACTGGCAGTTACTACTTGCCTTTGTTTCTGACAGGGAGCCGAATATCCAGGGAATCAGGCAAAAGTGGGCACAGCCAGCCCAACCAGACGGGCACAGGTTGGATGAACCACTTATGCCCCATCCCCAAACTGGCGTTGGAATTGAAATCCAGATGCTCGTTTCTAAAGTTGGATGTCTCGTACGAAAGGAACGAAAGCGTATTCGCTCTCGTCGGTTCGCCTCAAGAAACGACATCGACCAAGCCCACAAGGCCATTCTTGAGGCAGAACAGTTACAATCTCTGCTCTGTGCAATTCAGCTCCCGCATAAGGATACGATCGCGGACTCCGGGGATGAAATGACACCACCAGATCACTTACTCAAAATCGCCGAAGCATATAGATGTACGGGCTTACTGCAACTTTACCGAAATTTCCCCGATCTTCTGTTGCCATATGCATCACTTAATGACCCAACGCACGAATTCATCACGTTCAGCCCGGAACGCGAGGCATCCTCTACCCCGGATACTGGATTTCCAGAAAATGCATGGCTGATTTACCTGGCCTTGCATATTCTCGACTTGGTACAGGACATTCCTGTGTCATCGACAAGTCGATCAATTCAACCATTTCTACTTGTGAGTATTTGCAGTGAGTTGGCTCTGGACCGTGCAGGCTGCTCAGCTGCCAGTGCACAGCAACTCCCTCTGGCAAGTCTCGCGTCTAGCCCAAGGTTGAGGGCTCCGGTCACCCAAATCGATATTTTGCGAGCGAGGAAGTCCATGATCTCTCGCCTTTCATGTTTTGAAAACATGCTAGCTGCGAAGCCTATACGGCAAATGCTGCTCCTTGTAAAGGAGACGTGGGCTTGTATGGAAACGGACCAATCGGATGTCTACTGGATGGATGTCATGGTTGAAAAGGGATACACCACTCTTATGGGGTAACTTTAAGGACCGTAGTCTGCAAGTTTTTCCCTTGTTATATCTGCTCCAGGTTATCTGTATAAAGGACAAGACTTCCAAGGTTATAAATAGTTATATGCGACGGACTTGAACAAATAATAATGTGAATTCACCTGGATATTAATATTGAATCCGAGCCCAACCTTCGGAGATGTGCTAGTTGTTCCGGAGTTTCAAAATAGTACTCTCTCTTCGTTGAAGCTTCCGAAGTGCTATCGCCCCTTTCAATTTATGAGACACTACTCCGTAAATTGAATTTTAATGTTATCATGATAATTGCTAATTAGTATTTCACTATCGAGAGGCGACGCGAACCTTAGGAAGCATAAAGTCGGATAAGCCACGCCACACCAACTTGGGTGGCCAACCAATCGGGAGACTCAAATTGGCGCCGCTAGGCCTAATGGGGTTATTAAAAGCTAAGCATCTTGAAACTCCAAATGGAATCTGTTTAGCCTTTATTACAAGACAAACGAAACGTAAAAGCTCCAACAAGATAAAAGAAACTTGGTTGCTTTTTGATCTGGTTTTTCGAAACCTCGGTAGCCAGTCTGCTGAAGGAATTTTCTCGATAACAATTTTCTTTTTTTTCCTTCGGAGTTTCAAGTCACTCGCTATGGCCACGGTTAAGGCGGATGCTTCCTTCAAGGTCGCTCTAATCCAAAGCAGGGCAAAGGTAATTTACATCGTGATCTTTGGTTATCGGACCATAACACTAATACTTACAAGCCCCTAGATGCCGATTACAACTTTTCCCGTGCTGCTGAGCAGATTCGCGCCGCTGCTAGCGAAGGCGCATCGCTAGCTGTTTTACCAGAGTATCATTTAACAGGCTGGGTTCCTGAAGAGTCATCATTTGCCTTGACTGCCGAAAAAGCTCTACAGTTCCGCCAGAAATATCAAGACTTGGCTGCGGAGCTTCACATCAATATATGCACCGGCACTGTTGTCTCCGAGGCACCAAATCAAACCCCATCTCACAATCATCTCAAGGATGCTGGGCGCACACTCCTCAATACATCCGACTTTATCGATCACAATGGTAACTTCTTGGGATCTTACACGAAAACAAATCTGTGGATCCCCGAGCGGCGGACCTTGACATCATTTATCGAACATGCACGTGGGGCAGCGAAAGAAGGGCAATCAACCCCAAACCCTCATACGGTTATAGATACCCCCCTCGGCCCTGTTGGCATTCTGGTATGCTGGGATCTTGCTTTCCCAGAAGCATTCCGACAGCTTGTTTTAGCCGGCGCTAAAATCATCATCATCCCTTCATACTGGACATCGTCAGATATGTGCAGTGAAGGACTTGCATACAACCAAGAATGCGAGAAAATGTTTGTTCAAAATACACTAGTTACTCGAGCATTTGAGAACACGGCTGCAGTGATCTACTGTAATTCCGGTGGTCCCGCGCAAGAGGGTTTCTTCGGCTGCAGTCAAGTTGTGTTACCTATCTTGGGAACTGTGCCTGGAAGCTTCACTGACGGGAAGGAGGGAATGCGCACCTTAGAAGTTGATATGCGGTTGGTGGATATCGCCGAAAAGAACTATCAGATTCGGAAGGACTTGGCGGGGGAGAATTGGCATTACGGATATTCAAAGGCCAATTTGTAGCCTTTTTCCATGTTTCTGTTGTGACTAGCTGGTTGAAGAATCATAGCCAGCTAGTATTTCTCTGAAATGATAACTAGAGTTTGATAGTTTCAAATCCCCCTAAAATCTCATTCTTTGAGTCGGGATTTTCTCTGTCAGCCACCTTGTGAGGTATCTCTAGACGTGCAGCTGAATTTGCATTAACTGGACTTAGATCTCGCTCGGTCTCTCTGTATGCGAGCGGGCTAGGCAAAAGGCGCCAAGCCGGTCCCCCGCAGAGTGTTGTCCAATAAACACCCTAAAGCCCCTCTCGACCACGAGGGCCATAGCAAATGAGTTTAGGGGGAAAAAAAGGGTAGAGGAGAGTGCGAGCATTTGAGCGTATGGCACAATTTATGTCGACGGGAGCTGGCTAAGCCAGCACAAATTCCCAGCACGATCAAATAATTCGTATAATTAAATGTCGCTAAGGAACTACGAGGCTTGCACGTAGCACATAATGGAAGTTTAATTTATAATAGCATCCGAGTCACCATAACATCATTTTTATGTCAGTCTGTCACTAATCAGTTAATAATTCAACTTAGAAGCTGATTCCTATTATGGATAGCTCCATAGTAGTCTCTTGATTCATCAAATGGACTTGGTCGCTGCATATTGCCTGATATGATCGAGGCGGATCATATTCTAATGCCGCTGTGACATCATTAAGAGCCCGGAAGGAAAGCCATTGGCTGAGAGAAGTTTTCCAAACTAGAAGGATTACAGCTCCCAGGAATCACAGAAGCGAAAACAAGAGAGTAAAAAATATAAGCAGGCTAAAGAGTACTACTCTGTTCAGATATTCTTCTTTTACAGTCAATCATGACTCTACTTCATTGGATATTTTGACTTCTAAAGAGCTCAGCCAACTTTTGTTCATTGGCTAAACAAAAGTTTTGCGAGTAGAGAAAAATATTCCCATGAACTTCTTTGCGGTCTTCAGGTGCAAATCACTTGGCATTGGGGGCTGCCATGTAGATCGCTTGGCATTGGAGGCCTAGATATCAATTACTTGGTATTTTTGTTCTCATGGGCTCTTTCAAAGGTTGTTTTTATACGAATTTCGCCCCGGGGCTATACTTGAGTCCGATCATAACCTTTTATGGATCATCACACGGTTCTTTAGATGTAACAGCATAGCTTTACATTGCACTTCATTACTATTTTCGATGCTCACGTCACTTTCTTTGTGATCCGCGAACCAAAGCGCATATCCTTAGCAGAGTAGATATATGTGCATCTTTGTATGTTTATAAGCTCCCAGTACTACTAGTACTAGCACATGAAAAAGCTATTTAAGCAGGGAAGAATTCCCTCTCTTCTACTAGAATTTCATCCATCTACCAGCTGCCTCTTCTCTATATTTACACTTAAATTTCTACAATAACCTTGGAACTTCTATTATGAGACTCTCCACAATCCTTGCTGTCGTTCTCTCGACGGTCTCTGTGGCTCATGCTGCTGCTATAGATCAGCGAAATGCCGGCCTTGAAGCGCGAGGCTGCAGCTATGACAGCTGCGACGCTTGCCATCGCAAGGACCAATACTGCGTTCACTGTGATACTGGGGGTGGAATTGGCGTCTCTTGTGCCGTCTGGTTCGTCTTCACTTAACCCTCACCCATTACTAGTAAATGGTACCTCTAATCGAAAGATATTATAGCTTGGCACATTGCGACCCCTGCTGCTAATGGGGGCTACTGATGTGGGAGATTTCTGGATACCTTGCGATCTATGTGTGAGAAAATATGTACGAAGCTCCCAGAGCGCATTTTCTAAGACACTCGAGACTCTAACATAATTCAAGTTCTCTATACGAGATGATGTGGAACTAGTATGATCTTTGCGGTTATATAACCGGCACAACGCTCCCTTCTCTGACAGATTATCAAATCTAGCTTTCATCGTCTATTTTCTCTGGCATTGAAAATCCATACCGACCTGATGTTACTACTGAAGAGCAAACATTTTCCTTTATAGCAGAAAGTTAAACATCAAGACGTTCATTGAAGCTTCAATATATTCTTTCGAGCAATGCTTACACAAACGTAGTAAAATTTCCCTTGTAAAAGGACTTAAAAGCAGGAGTCAAGACTAGTAATATTAGCTACTAGTGCTACTAAGACAGCCGCCTCAGGAATCCATCAGCTCACACTATGCACCCCTGGCGGCTCCTTGTGTTTGAGCGCCACTAAAGACGTTTCCGCGGCGAAAGAAAATTATGAGAATATAGTCGACCAGCAAGGCGAGTGCCGCCTCTCATATCAAATGAGACAAATCTGAGAGACTAGAGGCTTCTGGATCTTGAAGAATTCTAGTTCTAAAATAAGGTCGAAAAAACACGTGGGCAGATTAGAGCGCCGAGCACTCAATAAACCGAATCCTACCATCAACCACAGGATTGACAATAGGCAAGCCATCTGAGGCTGTACCAACGATAGTAACAGCTTGCGCTCGCTTGATACCCATCTCGTAATCGTCACACCTCTCTTCAGCTTTGTATCTAAATATTTGCAACATGAGGCCAGTATCAGTTATAGCAGTTTCCTCGCCGACGATCGCCTCCTCCGCCGGAAACAAGGTATACCCATCAAACCCGTCCCCGATAAACTTAGGCAAGGCAACGGTATATGTGCGAGAGGGCTCTAGTTTCTGTGGAGTTGCACCGGGTCGATCAAGTGAAATTTCCAAGACGCGATTCCCTGGTTCTCGTTGCCAGGTCGCTACCATGCGTAGACCAGCTATCTGAAGGAATCGTCCGTCCATGTGCATATCGCCAATTGAGTTTTCCATAGAATGTATTATAACGCTACCCTTGATTCTTTTTACTACGAGAGGGTTCTCAAAAGGGCAGATGTCTGAATTGTTAGCTGAAGTTGGCTTTCAAAGACGGCGTAACCTACTAATAATGTCTTTTACTAACAAGGGGAAGCCACTCGGTATGGTTGGACCAGAAAGTTAATTGCACCGAATAGACCCACTGTTGAAAAGAGCTATGTCTGTATCATAGAAAGCCTGAACTGCAGTTGCTAACATATTGCCTAGATTCGTCTCTTGGCTGCGAACGACTGAACCACGGCCATTGAGTGAGGTATAGGAGTGCAAGACAGGCTCCTGGACAAGAACATCGACACGACTATGAATTGAGCTCAGCAACTTGTCGATTCCGGGCGTTATAGTAGAGTCGGACAAATTTGCTATATCGATATTGCTCCACTGGCTCCCTGTACAAATCAGGCAAATTAGATGAAGAGCAGATAGATGACCCGAAAGCTAAGGCACTCACCAACTGTGGAGATACCAATACTTCCATCATTATCTTTTCGTATTATCATTCGTACCAATGACAAGCCTGTCCAGTCTGTCCCACTTTTGATAATCCGAATTTCACCCTGAGAATCTCGTATCAAACCTTCAGCAGTAATTTCAGCGTTATCGTGGCCTTGTTCAACATTTGCTGGGTCTGTATCCGTATCACCATTGAACCGTCGAACGACTTCATGGTCATGGCCACCCAAAAGTAAATCGACTCTACTTTGGCCCGTTTTTGTCGCTTCTGCCACTTCCATATCTTCGGCAAGACGCATGTGAGTCAACGCTATTACTAACTTACAATTCTCCCGGGTACGAAGGTGGCATGCCACCCGCTGAGCAGTTTTAACGGGAGATTCGATATGTGAGCGAGGCAGCTTTTCGCAATTGGACGGCCAATCTCTGTCGTGTGTTGTTAGGTTTCGAATTATAGTGCTTCATCATATTCAAAATTTGAACATACGTGCCAGCTAATCCAAAAAATCCAACTCGACACCCGTTGACAATCTTGATTGCGTAGGATTTGGCACAACCGAGTAAACGCGTATTGGGATGCTCATCCTCTTTCAGAGGTAAATTCCATGCATTGGAAAGCACCCAAGGGAAGCTGACTTGAGTAGACAACTCGATGAGCCGCTGGTCACCAAAGTCAAAATCTATCTAATCATCAGCCATTGATATTTTCTCGGGGCAGGAAGCTCGGCTTCAGACCATGGTTCCCATAACACGCGATATCAACACAAACAAAGTCGAGAAGAGGTCCCATATGCTCGCCCTTTAGAATAGTCGCCTCAAGGGATGGCGAAAAAGGCATCTCCGCTGAAAACAGTCAAGCCTCCATCGGCGATAAATGAGGATTTTAATTGCATAAAGCGCGAAAGTCGATCCGCGGAGGGCACATGGTACTATAACCTGTGAGCATGATAATATTCAAGAGAACTACTAGTTCCAAGCTCTCACTTACTACATCATTAAAGTGAGCAAGTCTTATCTCTTTTGACTCCATAGTAGGTGAGAATTCACTTCGACCAAAGTGGTCGAGAACAAGTCCCAATAACATCAAAGATCATGCCAGCCTTATTTTCAGGGTCCGGGCACATATTAACACAATTCCATGAAAAGAATAAGACTGGGCAACCAAAAATTGGGCTCACCTTATTATTGGGTACTTACTCTGTATTGCTTAGGTGGCAATCATCATTCTAAGACAACGTACGACTGCTACCTCATCACCCTCGGCATGCGTAAAAGATGAAAGAAAAAGCCAAGAAAATTGAATCAGGCTAGCCAGTAAGAGTATTTCTGTTGAGGGAGATGTATTTATGTAGCTTGTCAGGCTGTTCACTGTTACATCGTTCCTTGTAGTGTTGGCCTGAGCCACCAGCCCTGGAGCCTTATGAGAAATACCCACTTGCATCCTTTTGGACCCCGACCTTCACCCTGGCCCACTATCCTCAGAGGGGTGAGCTTCAGAACGAGATAGGAACGTCAAGTGTGTATAGACATTGGTCGACAGATGCCCACACACCCCGCAAGGACGTGAGGCGCACTGGCAGCCAGCACAGATTATGGCTCAGCGCTTCCCATCCACCTCACATGGGAGCACAGGAAAAGCATATTGAAACTACTATATGGTAGATTTGTGGAAAAGGCAAATGCCCTTTGGTATGATTGGCTAATACCTGCATCAAAAAATGCTCAGGTCGGAACTCAATTCAATTCAATTCAATTCAAGATTCTATTAACCTAATGGATGCAGCCTAGCTAGTGAGCGCCGTGGCTATGTAGCAGGTCGGAACCCAGCTTGTTCGATTTCCGGTAACTACGACAGGTCCACTATAGTTACTAACTAAGAGGACTTGTATCTAGTAGCAGGCCAGGAAGAGAAAACACATAAGAATTGACTTGAAATTGAAATCTATTTGACATAGGTATATACTTGAATGACCTAGATACCACCCCCAAACGCCAGCTTTTAGGATGCCAGTCAAATCATAAAATATGCAACATGAAAACTAAAACCACCATTCACAACCAACACATCATCTGTATACCCTTTTTACCATCCCCGTCTCTTTCCACGGTGCTCCAGACCCTTCTCCTTTCTCTTCTCTCTCTTGCGATCGTTCCTCCTCTTCTTGTCACGCTCGTGGCGCTCTGGATCGGCGACAGCCTCAATGCGACGCTTAGTCCGTCTACCCTCACGACGCTCCTTGACAGTCTCTTGCACCTTGGTCATCTGGGCAATGTACTCGGAACTTCCGAGCTTCTTTTGCAGCAAGTCCAGGACCTCGTGGCAGTTGGAAACAAGTCCCTTGTAGATATCCTGGAAGGCAGGATCGGCTGAGCGCGGGCCGGGGATAGTCGTGTCGGTCAAATGCTGAAGGGGAAGGAGGATGACCGGAAGCGAGGGTTTAATTTGCTCGGGTTCAAGGTGGCGGATTAACGCAGCGAGCAAAGTGATCGATGCAGTCTTGGGGACCAATGCTGCGGGACGACCTCCGAGGACTTCCCGACGGAGAAGGTATGCGATTTGCCCGAAGATATAGTGGAGAGCAGTCTTGATAGGGGCGGCACCGTTTGTGGCGGCTTCGTTGACAGCCTCGTCGGCATCTTCGTCCTCCTCTTCCTCGTCATCTTCTGACTCGACATCATCTTCGGTCCCGGTCTTCTGGAGCTCGAGACCGTTCTGGGCACAGCAACGGCCAAGGAAGACAATATTGCGCACATTTTGCAGGGCAAGGTCATCGGTGAGACCTGGTGTGCGTAGACAGCGGAGACTGGCTCGGATGAGTTGCAGCATAGCCTCCTTGTCAAGGACGAGGCCGGTGGTACAAGTCAAAGGAAGAGCACTGTAGCCAGCGGCAGCGTGGGTCTTGGCAAGATCGGACAGCCAGGTTCCCACGAGGTTGGCAGCACAGGACTTGACCCAGGTGTGAGGGAAGAACAACGATTCTCGAATGGCGGTCCAAATAGCAGAGCAATCTTGGCTCAGAGCGAGAGATGGAACCGTCTTGCAGAGCTTCGTGAAAAGCTGCAGGGCAAAGTAAAGAGTCTCCCAGTTCCCGTTCTCGTGATCGTCGGCGATTGGCTGGATCAGGTCGGGCAGAATTCCAATCACGAAGCGAGCCTGCTTGTCCTTCTCTGTCTCCTCTGCTTCGAAGTAGATCCGCATGGCCTGCAGGCCGACACTGCTCAGAGCCATGTTATCAGTCTGCTCCAGCCACGAGCGGAGGGGAGTCAACATTGTCTTCATCTGCTCCCGGTCTGCACGGCTATAGAATTGGCTGAGTAGAGCACCAGCCATCTCACGGCACTCGGGCGAATCGTCATTTGCCATGGCAAGCACGACGGGAAGGAAGAAGGTGCTGACAATGTCTTGCGCCAACTCCTGTCCTGTCTTGGAAAGGAGCAGGTGGACTGCCTCCAAGACGGACTGCCGTCCTCTCTTGGTGCTTGTAATCCAAGTTCTTCGCGAGGAAGCCAAGCTGCTTTGTCCAGCGGTTCTTGGCCTGAGGATATTCAGTCAAAAAGTGAATGTACGTACCCCGAGCAAGATCACGGGCAGAGCGGGTCTGGTTTGTGACCATCATGGTTGCGATAGAATCCATCAACTCATACATCTCAGTCACAACGAACTTGCGCGACATGACAGCGCGAATGAAGTTGAACGTGATGCCTTGGCGATCAGGCTCTTCAATGTCGGCCTTGAGACGGTGGAGTAAGTATGCGAGATGTCCATCACGAAGCTTGGTGCTCTTGCGTTCGCGGATCATGGCAGAAATTAGCTTGAGAGACGCCTGGGATGCCTCCGAGTTGGTGGTTGGGGACTCTTTGATCATCTTGACAGCCTCCGTAAGGTAGACATGAGAGTTTTCATCAAGCTCGGGCATTGGAAGCTTAATGATTGTAGACAGCAGGCGAAGAGCAGAGATCTTAACTTCTTCATGAGACTGTACGAGAGCATCGCCAATGATGGGCAGGAAGCCAGAAAGATTGGCCGGTGTCATAAGCGAGCCGAACTTGTTGAGAATAGCGCGAAGGATGTCAAGCGAGAACCTGGTCAATTTATAGGTATGCGAGGACGTGATGCCACGTTTCTCACCCCGCTTGGCACCCTGAAGCCTGACCAGAAAGCGCCGCTCGATTGCGGTTTCTGGGCGCTTCTCTTGTCCCTCTTTGTTGTCGTTGTAAGACTCCTTGATGATTTCGTAGCAGAAAATCAACAATTCTCGGCTTTCAGCACCGGGGTTTCGCAACAGACCAATTCCAATTCTCCTCATGAGCTCGTCAAGCTTCCTAACCATGCTGGAATTAAGCTTCTCCCGCAAAAGAGCCTGGAGAGGGCTAACAAGTTTAGAAAGGTCGACGACCGTGGCGTTCTTAGCGAGGAGCTCCATTGAATCGTAGCTCTTGCTGCTCTTGACTTCCTTCATCTTGCTTACATAGTCCTCGGCTTCCTTTTCTTGTCCAACTGTGCCAAAAGTGTCGTCCATGACGACCGAAACCAGTTCCGGAAGGCAGTAGTCCAAGTCACCCTGGTTGAAGTGATCAGTGGTCACAACCAGTAAGGAGTGAACGGTAAAAGAGAGAACGTGCAACTGGTATCCGCGCAGAAGAGTATGACGCAGCTCCTTCAGGATATAGCCGAAGTAGGGTGGACCAAGAAGAAGTGAGATGTCACTGAGAGTTTTTCGGGCAGTGTCTCTGGCATCTTGCGATTTACTCTTCAAGATACTGCAGACATCGAGAAGAACTGGCGACAAGCGAATGGCCATTTCCTGCTCAGTGAGAATCTTGAGAAGCTTGATCGTGGTGACAGCAGCCGGTAGACGGAGACTCATTTCAGCCTCGTTCTTGTGGTGAATGAAGTGAGTCAGGAAAGGAATGAAGTTGGTGGTCAGCTCGGTTGAAACCTTCGCCAGATCGGGAACAGTTTTCGCGAGCGTGCACTTGACTTCAACAGTATCCATGGCATCGGCATTAACACTGGCCTCGTTGCTGGTCTCCTTCTTCTGGTCCATCGCACTAGACAAAGCATCGGACATTCTGCCCAGAAGTCTGAGAATATTCTTCTCCATTTCTGGCTTGCTCTGCATGTACCCGCGATATCTGCGGAAGTTGTTGCGGAACTGGCTCCAGTCCAGCCACTCGGCGAGGGCACCAATAGTGGCGACAGCTTCGGCAATCAGGTTGTGGCCACTCTCATCCTCAGCGCCCTCAAACGCGAAGTGCTCAATGAGAGGCAGGAAAATGGAGCCCAAGTTGGTGGGCTGGAGATGTCCCTTGGCGGCTTCGCCTGCCAGACGCCGCAATGCACGAAGACGACGGTGCTGCTGGATGTGAAGAATGTTGGTGAAGAAAGATGCCTCTTCATCATCACCCATGAGCAGATCATGCATATCCTGCACGGATGGCCGAGTGGGGTTCAGCTTGATAAAGTAGCCAAGAGCGGCAACAATCTCAGCTCGGATTAATTCGGCCTTGTTTCGAACTCCAAACTTCATCGCGGGGATAAAGACCTCATTCAAAAGAGCTTCAAAGTCATCCGCGCCGGCCTCGGTGGCGGCTCTGTCGATGAAACGTCTGAGACCGAAGGAAGCGCTGGATCGAACAGCTAATTCTTCTTCGTCCTTGACATAGAAAAGCATATTGTAGAGAATAGGCCTCCACTGCTTAGCATTCAGCTTTTGCGACAGATCATCGTTGATCTTTCTGAAGGCCTGAAGACGACGTTCATAATCCGGCTCGAGCTTTTTGGAGGAGCGAGAGTTGAGATCCGCACATAGCTCAGCGACTTCGGTAAGTTCTTTGTCGTGACTCGCGAGCGCGGCGAAAACTCGTGCCAAAACCTCTCTGTTCGCATCGTCCTTGAAATAATCGAACATGGATACAACCGCCTCGAAGACTTGTTGGGAAAGCTTGGCATCGTCCTCCGGGGTGTACAAGGGCAGGAAATGCTCGAGGATTCGCAAGAGGCCAGACTTGGTCTTGGGACTGACACGGTCGGGGGGGTTGGCGAAGAAGGTAGGTAGAGATGCTAATCATGCTAGAGGTCTCCTTGGAAGATTCAACGCAGGGAGCAATGAGTGAAAGAGCGTTGACACCCGAATTCAGCACAGGCTTCGAAGGAGGGCCAACTCTTAAAAGAGGGCCGAGGAGGGAGAGAGCGTGCTCAAGGTAGGGAGAGAGAACTTCGGAGCGAATCTGCTCAGGAGAGATATCCGACATTTCCAGGTCTTCTCCCTCCTTCTTTCCAGTAGACTGCTGCACAAGTGGAATAAGGACTTCATCCATGACGAACATCTTAACCTCATCGCGTGCCGACTCGACGCCAAGGCAGTCAATGACCTTAGTGAGGACATCTTTGTTGTGCTGAACGAGATAAAATGTCGATCTCGGTGCAGATGCCCATGTGTGGAAGAGGCGGAGGAGTCCGGAGACACCCTGGGCGGTCTCGATGGGAATAGATCCAGCCTGTGATTGATCAACTCTTTGAAGATGATGGCGACATATGGTGTCCAATCGAGGTCGGACGAGACCGAAAAGATCAAAGTCATACAGCGAATACAGGTCTGGCGGATATTCTGGAAGATTGCCAGAAGACGTTCGTCTTCTCTATCCACATAAATGTCACTGTTTTCGTCATAGATTGCTCGGCATGCTCGAACCAGACAGTAGATGACCACGTTCATTGTCTGGACAGAAAATGGAATCATACGGCTCTGGAGAGTTTCAAAAACTGTATCAATCATCTTGAGCAGACCAAGTTGTCTTCTGGGGCTGGTGAGCTCCTCCGAGAATGCGGCTGGGACCTCGCTGTTGTCTTTGACAACGGAGACTTGAGAGAGAGGGCCGAACGCGAGCTGCATGAAAAGTCCAAAGTCCTCCTCGGAAAGAAGAGAAAGAGAGCGCAGGATAGCCTTACGTCGACCAACCTGGCCAGCCTGTCCAGATCCACCAGCTTTGGAGATCATGCGACCATAAAGAAGTCGAAGAAGTATAGGAAGCAAGGCAGGACGGTGCTCCTGCTCGATCAGACTGTCTTCGCCACCAACACGCACGAAGACAGACATCTCGTCTTTGAATCTGGCCTCATCCAGAATGTTCAGCAAGTTTTCTTGATAGGGCACAACGTGCGCATTCTTCCAAGTGAAAAGAGCTTTGAGAGCAGCTTTCTGGATCTCCGAATTACCGTGGCACAAAAGACCAAGGACTGCCTCGTGAACCTTGGGGGCCTTGTACAAAACCTTGGGGTTGATGAATTGGCCTAGCAGACCAAGCATAGCCAGGCGGTCTTTGAAACCCCATTTGATCGGTGTGGAATCGGTCTCCGTGTCGGCGTCATTGATGTCACTGGTGTCATTGGCATCATTGGCGGTGGGAGCATCGTCCTGGTCATCGCGTGTAGCCCAGGTCAGGAATAATGGCATGATTTGACGTGAACGCTTCTCGGCCACATTGGGGGTAGCACTCAAGACGCGCAGCGCATGGCTTCGGGGGAACCCAGGAACAAGGTCTGCAATCTTGTGATCCTTGTCAAATTGGATGGACAAGGCGGCCAAAGGATCCTGCATGGTCTTCGCGTTGGCGGTGGAAACATTCTCAATCTTGCGAACATTGAAACACTCGAAACGGCTCGAGACAAATGAATCTTCATTCTCTTCCTCGGGTTCTTCCTCGTTCGTAGTGCCAGAGTCCCGCTCTTGCAGCCACTGAACAGACAAGTCTGAAACAATTGCCTCCCCTCTGGATGTTCGCTGATGGTTTTTAGAGCAGCAGCGGAATCATCCCACAGAGGAGTCAGCTTCTTCGAAAACAGACCGAAACAAAAGTACGGGATAAGGCTGGCCATCCACCTGCGAGAAGCGATCTGGGGGGTAGAGAAGTGCCAATTTGCGGAGATGCATAGATACAGTTCTGGCACTTTGAAGAGTGAGGGGGCTTTCTTCGATCTCAATTGCCAAGGAGACAGGAGAAACGTCATCTCCAGGAACCCGGCTGATCAATTCACGTAATATCTGGAGAGAGACAAGTCTCAGTCGCTGGGAAGGACTGGCAAGATTGAGGATCAAGCTGCGAGCAAATTCTTCCAGCGTCGAGGTTTCCAGCTCTGAAGATTGGGGGAGAGCAGAAACGAAAGTCAGAACACCCTCGAGGAATAGAGGAAGACGCGAGAATTCAGCAGAGGCAGTAAGGATTGATTCCCACAGCTCTGTGTCCAGTTTTCCGGCTTGGGTAGCCAGATCGACGTAAATCTTGAACCCCTGGCCAAGGTAGAAAATCAAGCCACTGTTCTGCTGTGCGTTTTTCTGGGTGGCGGCATCGTTCAAGGCGGAAACAAGATTGCTATGGAGCTTCTTCACAATCTTAGGAAGACTAGCAGAGTCTGCAAACAATGAGATGGCCTTGGGAAGTTTGACCAGCGCGTTCAAAACACGTTCGTCACTTGTAGGGTAATTCAAAGAGTCATAGAGGTGAGACTTCAAGCCTTCGGGGCATGAGACATAGCCTGGCTTCGAAGCTTCGGATGTGATACAGCCAGACTGGTTGAGTCGGAGGAGCGTCAAGCACGTTTCCCATTCGTGCATTTTCCAGGAAGCATTGAGAAACTTTTGGAAATAGGGAACAAGAAGACTTTGGAAACGCTCGGAGCCCCATTGTGAAAATGTGTTGCAGAAAAACAAGAAGTATTTTGAGAGGGGTCCGGTGGACACAAGGTCCATCAGGGGTCGCAAAAATGGCAACAGCTCATCCATTGGAGACAGCTGAAGGGCATAGGCGACGGCGCCGAGGAGCTGTGTAATTGTTTCCGAGTCCACATCTGGGTTTGATACCACCTGCTTCAGAAGGGACACAAGGGTCTGATGCACGGCCTTCCAGTCCCTGATTCGGGTTGCCTTACGGGTTCCGAAGCAGACAAATATGAGCCGGCAGCACTCGGGCAAGTTGGGATTATCGGAGCCCTGAGACCGGCTTTCAACGTATTCCTTGACTGTTTCGAGGATTGGGCCAAAGGTCTCGGGAGTGGTGTGATGAATGAGATTGATGACCAATCCAACAGCAACCTGCGCTGGTTGACTGCGAGTCCCACTAGACGGGGGAATCTGATCCAGAACACAACGCAATATATCCATTCCGTTGGAGTGGAGACCATTGTTAACACCCTTGATGGCATCTGCGAACATTACCATTAAACCCTCCTTGTAGTTTTCGACATTGTTTCCTTCCTCGGCTGCTTTTGTGATATCGTCGTAGAGGTAAGAGACGGCGTTTTCGAGGGGCGTCTTATTTTTATAGTAGGTGAGGCCTGCCTTGCGGATCAGGAAAGACATGGACTCGGCGGCAAACCGAGCTACAAATGGCTTTTGTCGCTCTTTGCCGAGATATGGGGTCATGATGCCGAGAAGTTGACGCAAGTCCGGCGTCAAGAGTCTGGAGAGGAATTTGAAAATCCATGCTAGACAAGTGAAACTCCATTCCACCACTTCAACATCAGGGTGTGTTGCAGCAACCGACGCTACTAAAGTCACCGAGGTCGCAAAGTGCTTCTCAAACTTCACTCCCAGGTCTCGAGCAAACTGAGCCAGCAGACTCATCAGAGGCTCGATTGAGTTCTGGTCTCTCTTCTCGATAAACTCCACCAACAGGGCCATTATCTTCTCTTCGTGGTACAGAATCTGGGCGAGGGTCTCGGAGAGGTTGTTCACACGGCGGGCAAATGTGCTGAAATTGTCGGAAAGGTTCATTTCGACCCAATGATCGAGGGCCGATCGGAAATACGACGAGGTCTCGTCATCTTCACCAAAGCTCGCCCGGCGCACGCGGTGAATCGGGTCGATTTTGAGCTTTGCGATACGCTGCGAAAAGGGCTCCCAGCGATGATTTTTTGTGGTTTCGGTGCCCTTTTTCAAGCGCCTTGTAGGCTTGTCTCGTGAGCTTGGCGCTACCATTTTGGTAGATTGAACAGGTAGCGCTGTCAACGAGAAAGGTGCTCGATCAAAATGATGGCTTGCCTTCTATCGATTCCAAAAAAACTGAGCGGCGCCGGTTGCACTTTCTTCCGACGCCGCGGAGGCCAGTCTACACTAGTCCTAAAGCGGGCTAGCTCCAGTCACGGGGTGGTCCAAGCTCCTCCGCGGTTGCAACTTGCGATCCTGCCATCTCTCGACTTTCTTATCTCTTAGATCTCTTGAGAGTAATTACACCATGGCGTCCAAAATGTGAGTATTTTCCAAATTGAAAAGCCGAATCGCGTACTAATCAACCATCACTAGTATTGTTCTTGGCAGCGTGAACTGCCAATTGCGTGCAGCATTCACCAAATTGGCCAAGCTGCAGGTCAAGCAAAACTTCGCATTCGCAATTTTAGTCGGCAATGTCTTTGGCGACTGCTCAACAGAAAGCGAATTGGACGAAATCAGCGCGCTACTATCAGGAACGACCAGTGTCCCGCTCCCGACCTACTTCACTCTCGGCGACAAACCACTTCCAACGAGGATCGCGGAAAAGATCGAAGCGAATGATGAAGTCTGCCCTAACCTCTACTTCCTGGGGAAGCGCGGGACTCTAAAGACCTCAGAAGGCATTCGCATCAGTGCGCTAGGAGGAAAATTGCATACCGACGCAGCCTCACAATCAAAACCAGAGACCAACGCCGCAGGCAAATTCCAACCCACGTACACCGAGACAGATGCACGCGCTCTTTTTGGAACGCATAGCGCCGACATCCTCATCACCAATCAATGGCCCAAGGGCATTCGGACCGGATCAAAGGTCGTCATCCCAGAAGATCAGGCCAAAAACCTCACCGAAGTCCCATGTCTATCCGATGTTGCCGCTACCCTGAAACCCCGCTACCACTTTTCCTCCTCCGATGAAGTCTTCTACGAACGAGAACCGTACTTCCACCTCCCAACAGAAGACAGCCCAGACGTCAAGCCATTGACCCGCTTCATCTCAATGGCCCCATTCGGCTCTAAGCAAAAATCAATGTACGCCTTCACACTCGATCTAGCCGCCGCACCACCCCTCACAATCCCCGCCGGCGCAACCGCCTCACCCTTCCGACCCCCACAAACAAAACGAAAGGGTCTCCCCGCCCAACGCGAATCATTCAAGCGCTTCGCCACAGACGACGATTACCACAACAATAGCAACCGCCCGCAAAAACGCCACCAACGCGCCCCTCCCCCAGGCCCAGATCAATGTTTCTTCTGCCTCTCCAACCCCAATATCGCAGCCCACCTAATCACATCAATCGGCAACGAAAGCTACCTCACAACGGCAAAGGGACCCCTTCCCCCCAACGACTTATTCACTGACCTCGGGTTTCCGGGCCATATGCTGATAATCCCATTTTCGCACACGCCAACACTAAACTCGATTTCGGACCCCGAGTCGCGTGCGGGGACGAATGCGGAAATGCAGCGCTACCGCGCTGCTTTGCATCAGATGCTTTCTGATCGCTCGTCCGGTAAATTGGGCGCTGTCACTTGGGAGGTTAGTCGTGGTAATGGAATCCATACACACTGGCAATTCCTCCCCGTGCCGGTTGATCTTATCGATCAGGGACTGGTGGAGGCTGCTTTTAAGGTTGAGGCGGAGAATCTGAACTATCCCCGTTTCGAGACCAGGGCCGATGGCTTAGATAGTAGTGCTGAGCCGGGTGATTTCTTTCGTGTCTCGAGTTGGAGGAGTTCGGAGAAGGCTGCTGAGGGGGGAGGGGGAGGGGGAGGAAGAATCTTCTACAAAGACCGATTCTGCTGGAAAAGAGAAAACCCTCATGTTGGAACTCAATCCGGATTTCAGATTCGATATCCAATTCGGTCGTCGCGTTATGGCCAAATTACTTGAATTGGATAAGCGGATGAACTGGAAGGATGCGACGCAGTCGCAGCCTGAGGAGGAGGCAGATGCTGAGGCTTTTAAGGAGGCTTTCAAGAAGTATGATTTCACAATGGAGTGATGAGGTATGTCCCATTTCCTCGATTCAGGATTGACTTGAAATGAAAACCCATTGTCCCGTGTACCAATAAACCTAGCCTTTCGTGTACAAGTAAACCTGGCCTTAGGGCTATTCAGTATCATTATTATACATTTATGGATATTACTACCAACCGCTACTAGTAGTAGCAATGGATCTCAGACCTTGAATAACTCCACTACCGAACTTGCTACATAATAGTATGTACTACATAGCATGGCCTAATCAGGCTCTGGCAAGGGGCATCGATGCCTTGTAGTTCAGGTATTCAGGCAGAATTTAAGGTTGATTTGAACATCAAGTAGCATGAAGAGTAACCAGCCCCGGTACCTCAAATCTTGATGACTGAATTTAACTGTCAGTTATTAACTAATTCCAAAGTAGACCCGATCCTACTAGATATCCAAGTGAACATTCAATGATAATTGATGTCAAAACTGCCAATCGTCACGGTCCTGTCCGTTGAAACCGCAAGGGCGGCCACGAGCGGAATATATATCTCGTGTCCCTAGACCTTACCCCTGACTTCCAGACCACATGGATCGCAATTAATGCCACCTTAGTCTACTATCAACGGCGAATTCGATATAAAATCTAATCTGAAGCTCTTGCACTACAACCTACTTAGTACCCTATGCCAAACTGCCATCAAAGTTGAAATCCATCCCCAAGTCCAGCTCCAATAGTACCTATCGCACACTCCGTCGCCCGCTCCGCTCCCACTGGACAAACCAGATCCATCCACCCCACAAGCCCCTGAAAATTTTCTTTTTGACAGGTTGCCATGGCAAATAAGCTCGTCGCCACATTTACGGAAGCGCAGACTCAAAATCGAGGCGATTGGAGGAGCCATTGCTCATCGGGCGCGGGCGGACAACCGCGCTATTCCATTCTACGAGTAAAATCTGACGAGTTCATACGCAGGATTCAGGGGGAAGGCGAAAGGCGAAAGGCTGCCAGTCGTGGTACAGAGTACAGTATGGAGTACATACGTAGTCAGTAGTTAGTTAGTTAGTAGTTATGTAGTAAGTTAACTATGTCCTGTAGGTATGGTGGGTTCGAGAGGTTGCCGGTGCAACTTTGAAAGTTGGTCGGATATCCGCGATTAGATCAGGGCCGAAGACGAAGACAGTGGCTGTACAATAAAGCGAATCCTTCAAACTTGTAAAAACCCGAAATTCGAATATACATACTGTACAGTCGGCGGGGAATGTACGAGGTAAATTGTAAATTGTAAAATGACAATCCACTCTGCCAGTGCCCGAACGTGAAGTACAGTAGGTACGAGTACTCACTACTGTGTACCTAGCATTCAATAGTTTGATTTCAACGAATGCACCCGCCCGGCGGCCAGAATGACGGATGGAATGGAGTCTGTGGGTTTTGGTTGGAATGGATCGCGACAATCATGGTCGACGTTGTCAGGACAGCGAGGACAGGCTATTGAAATGATGACGGGGTGCGAAAGTCAGAATGACGGATTTCTGGAAATTGCCATGATATTATACTCGAGTTAGAGGCAGTGCTTGCATTTTATCGAAATCCTCCGGGCGACAGGTCGCATCTGTGAAGTGCGAAAATGCCACCACACAAATGTACATATGTATAGCCTGTAAGTTTGACGTGGTACAAAGTGACAAAGTACCACCAGTAGACACTAGTTAACTACTTACTACATACGGAGTACAGTGCCAGTGTACTACTAGTAATTTGAACCACCGGTTGTGGTGGGGAGGGCAGTGGGGAGTGGAGAGGTGTCGGATGCAGTGTGTCGCGGTACCTGCAGTGGATGGATGGAATGGTGAAATGGATATATATCATTTGGAGTTTAGTAGTTTTTCACTACTCCGTACTCCGTACATCTGTACTTACCTACAGTACATACAGAGTACCTGTATATACTCTACCGGCCGGTCTTTACAGTCATTTCAAACAGACCCGATTTTCCGAATTTACGACTCATGAAACATCCAATCCACCCATCTACGCAACCCCAGCAACGGCCGTGATGCTGGGTCCCCGGTCGCAAAATCAGACACGCATATTGCAAATCATTGCCGCGATAACCCCGACGCTGCAATCCAGCAATGTGGCACCAGACACGTAGCGTCGCACGAAGGAGATGGATCAGTCATCGCTATAGCCATAACCATGCGCCTGTCTGCGTTTATTTGCAGCCGGCCAGGCGACTCCATAGTCGACCCATGGATACTTGTAAGGCAGTTGACAGCTTATCGCAGAGTGGATAGATAGACCTGAGACTATGGTCTGGATGCAGAAGGATCCATCCATTCGATGATCGGTTTAGGGGTTTTGGGTACGTTGATCAGGCACCGAGCGGGTTCGATTGTGCGACGAGTTGAATGTGCATTTGCATATACGGGTTACGGAGTACGCAGTACAGAGTACGCGAATACCAGATGTGCATACGCTACGTACGTGTTCCAGCTCCTGCCGAGAAGAGCATTATTACAGATTTACAATAGTAGATCACGATTGCAGAAGTAGATTCATCGAATTGATTGTCCTCGAGAAAGTACGGAATAGATAGATACTGGGCAAACCCGTAGCTGTCCGACTGTGATCTATCTGCGAACTACGAGCTAAACCCCTATTGGAGAAGATCCAGCCCAGCCGGAGTTTGCCCGGAAGTCTCAGTGGTTCCGTGCCACGCCGGGGCTGTGCGAGGCACTGTGATGCGCTTATGTTGAGACGCCAGCTTCACCACGGAGTCGAAGTTGAACTTCCGACAGAAGGGTATGAGGGGGAGAGTGCAAAATGAGTTTGGGCACACAACTGCTAGCACGATTAGGGGCTCTGGGATGGATCGGTTCCTGACAGCCACGCCTCAAGTCGTGGGTAAGCGCATGGCTGACGGCCGGGGCATTCAATAGTGCCGTCGATCGGGGATGCCGGGCTGGAGAATTAATTGACAAATCGCCGGGGGGGGAATTGAGGCTGGACAAAGTCGAGCTGTAAAGAGTACACCAGTGAAGCTTAGTGAGGTATGGGTATTTCACGTAATGCAGATACATGCAATACGACAACAATGGGAAACAAGATCTGAGATTGAAGAGATGCGGTCATCGGGACTGCAGGCAAGAATCGAAGATGGTGATTCGATGATAATCACGGGACTGCGTACCGGTTCGCGTTTGTTGTAGCCCTTTACGGAGTATCCTTTGTTTACTTCGCGTCAACCTGAACATTGACATCACCACTGGAAAAAGAGGGGAAAGTGTGATGGACCCCGCAGCTGCAACAAGGCAAATCGGTTCAATTCGAGGCTTCACTGGCCCATCGCACATGGCGCTGTGACACATTGGACGCATCACATCATTCCTTCTGGTGACCCCACCAGAGCTACTGCCGGTGCGCAGCCAAAGATAGACCAGTATCGGTCTGGCCGAGAAGCCCTATCCCGGTCGCAATGCGTGATATCAGCCCCCAGTGCAGCCGCCCGCTTGTGTGATTGGATTGAACCAGTTGAGTTCGGGGTTGGTCTACTTGGTCGCAGATACGCGAGGGTATCGGGCTGGCTGGGGACTCCGATCAGCATCAACAAGAAAGAACAATAACAATAACAACAACAACGGACATCTAGACCGGCGCGTCCAGGTACCAGAATTAGAACATCAGGAATCGACAATTCTAGCCGGCTTGGTCATCGACGTCATGTACCCTCCAGCTCGGGGAGTTTCCAACCGGTTGGGAGAATAAATTAATTGCCTCCGATCACAGACCAACTGGAGTGACGTAGCCTCACGGACCAGCATGGGGTCAATCGTGGACAGATCAATTGCTGAAGACGGAGTGGAGGGACAGACGGAGCACTGTGTGCATCGTACGAGCGTGTATACCGCTTCTATCAAAAGGTGTGGGCGGTCTGCACAAAAACTGGATTCAATGCAGACATCTGCGACAAAGCTGACGCCGGATCCGATATCTTGCATCCCGGTCGGAGGTGGGCTGGACCATCACGAGGGGAGAGTCCAATGCGCCCGGCGTTTCACGCGAGAGGGGGCTGACTTCTCCGTATGCTTGGCTAAAAGAGCCAAAGTCGTGGACGTGGGGTACAGGATTTCGGTCGATCCAATGTCCACTAAGACTGGATGGTTTGTCGCTGAGGGCCCATCCACTAGCAGTTTCATAGTCAATTCCCAGAGCCGCTTAAGATATCAGGTGGCAAATATTGTTCAGATCGTTGCTTTTTCTCGTTCGCGCTGCCGAGGATGATCTCCACGTTTGGTCCCATCATGGTTGGATGCTCCGATGTGGTCCACTCTGGATGGGAGTACACTGGACTCCAACTCGTAGTATCCCGTCTCTTCCTTTGACATTGAGATGATCGCTTCGATGAACCGAATATTGCCGGCATTGGAGGAGATATCGGACGGATCCGACCTACTCGTGAGAATGAACCTAATTGATGGGGTACTTTCTGATGTCAGCGCTTAATTGTGCTCATTTGTTGTGTTGACACTGCCTCCATCCGGTTAATCAATGGGGGTTTTCGGCCCCAAAGCTAGCATTAGTGTTTGCCATCGTCATCAACACGGCTCACCCGAGGCTTGGCCGGAACTTTGTCAGTCATCGCTGAGGCTCGCGTATTGTTTCGCATCATATCACGAAGCACACAGACATACACACACACAGTTCATCGTTGACCCGGACGACGGAGGCGTTGCTCCAGCATCGCGGGAGGGAGGTCAGCAGAACCAGACGAAGGTTTCAATAAACTACCACCTGGGATACACGCTTAATAGCTAAAACATCCTACGAAGGGGTGTCAAGGGATGCGCGACATTGAAAGATCCCCTCGCGGACCCTTGATTACTCGGAATGTGGGCAGGGACTGAGGTAGATGTAAGGGCCGGCCGGGGTATGGGTATGATGATCGAAGAGCACGATAACCTCAGCGGCAATCTTACCTCGCAATTTGCTGGAATGACTAGCAGATTGTGGCCCTGTCGGCCATTCCTTGCCCCCGTGAGACCAATACCAATACCACCGTGCGTGTTTTCTCTCCGCACCAGATTGAACTTGGTGGGGTACGATCGCGTTCCTGGATTCCCCTTCGGGAAAAGATCTCACAGAACGAACTCCTCGATGATGCGATTGACCATCCAGGATGGTCCTGAGCATGTCCCAATGCGCCCATCCATCGCTTGTGGGAGATCTGAACTGCCAATCAGCGACTCGGGAGGTGAGTCCGAAATATTGATACCGGCTCGATAGGACCACTCGGTCGTGTTTTATTCTATCATTTTTTGTGTTCGTCCACTCGACCGGGCCCCCAATTTCGCGTTGAAGCTGCCCTCTCGCTCCGGGAATGATCGGCCTCGTTGCACTGCTCCATTCGCGAGACTATCTGCTTAGCCTGATCGAGTAACCCCGAACCGTGTACTGAGCATACAGAGTACCTTACAATGGAGGATTATGTTCACCTACAACAGGAAAGTTTAAGAATGACGTTTGATTGAAGGTGATGGTTTATTCTATTGCATCCCCAGGGCTTTCATTCCATTGGATCATCATCTCAATCTGGGTTTCCTTGCAGGACGATCGGATCACTTGCATCCTCGTTATGTACAGTTCTATTTTCCGAGTGTAAGGACAAAGTGGAGCCGACTGGCCTTAGGCTCGATCTTTCTCGGTCCCCATTTTATTTTAGTTTTTTTTCTCTCTTTCAGCTGGACAAGACACGGGAGAGAGAGAAAAGTTTTTTCATTTGTCCTCTCGTGAGTCGGCGGTGGATACCGCAATGGGCTGGATGGAGACCGAAGACCCATGGAAGACACACGGAAATCCGTTTGTTCGTTTCAAACAGACCCGTTCGTACCGGAGAATATATGCACAGAAGTAGCAAGACAAGGCGTAAAATAAAGAAAAGGTCCCTACCGAGTGCATCAAATGGAGCAACGGCGCTGGAACATAGTGGTCTCCTCACATGGAGAAATTGACTAGACAGTGTGGGCATTGGGATTTCCCCATATTCCCAGGGCCAGGAACGATCAGAGGGAAGGGAAAAAGGAAGGGAGCAGACGAGCACATGGCAAGGGACGTGCACGCCTCCTTCCAGGTCCAGGCTGGTAGTGAGAATGAGAGGGAGGGAGGAGAGCTTGTGATAGGCGCTGGGTTGCCGGGTAAGTGGTGACGCTGGGCGGCAAGGGAGCCGGGGCAACCAGCACTGACACTCGCACTGGACTACCGTAGCTACGGGTAAGCAGAGAGTACGGGTACTGAGTACTGTACTCCAGTACTGTACTCCGTACTCCGTACTCCATACGATACGTACCGTCATACTCGTAACATACTCATACAGCTATCTGGAGATCACTCCCCACTTGCGTTGCCCATTGCAACAGACCCATCCCTTCAGCTTCACGAGTTTCTTTCTTCTAACCGTTCCGTTCCACCTTTTCTTTCTTCGTTCCCTTCGACATTCCATTCTATTCAGCCAACCTTCAACGACAACTTCGACCTTCGACCTCCGACAACCCCACCGACAACTTATTCGGCGACGAGATAGCATATACCTCAGTGCTTACTCGTTGAACTCGCCCTGCGCCTCCCCTCCCCAAATCGCCCACGAGCTGTCGGCCCCTCTCTCCAATTACCTGCATAAGACCTCCGCTCTCCACCGGTCATGCCTCTTTAACTCGCCTATCTTCCGTCCACGATATTTCACAACTTCCCGTCCTCCTCCCTGAGGTTTGAGAGAGGTTTCCCACGGGACTTTCTGTGGATTTCAACGTGGTCGTCACCGGTGCTAGTTTCGGTCTCGGTTTCAGGGTCACCTCGGGTCATCAGAGTGATTTAGGTGCTTAGGTGCTTTTGGTCAGCTTTGGAATTGCGGTGGAGAATATCCAAAATCTCGATCGTCAATTCATTCGTCTGTGGGAATTCGTCAAGACAGTGTGTCTGCTCTCAGCTGGAAGTGATCAATTCAAAGTTGGAAACTGCCCGGGTTCGTTGCGGGTTTACATGAGTCTACCTCGTCGTCATCCCCTCCAACTATAGCACATCACATTACAATATGGAACATTCATCTCCACTGGCCGCTATGCAGCCCCCATCCATGATGTTTGGTCACTGTTTCCGGGCTGATGCCCCCACGTCATACCCGTCCTTGTCGGGATTCAACCAGAATAGCTTCAACTTCAAGGATCTGTCTATGAAGAAGTCCGGGCCCGATTACTTCAATATGAACCCCCTCCATACCTCGTCGCCTGCAGCTAGTCTGGCAGCCGACCTGTCGCAAAACTTCCACATCGATCAGAGGTTCGTTTTCATTGTTTGCTGGTGCGGTGCTGTGCTCTGCTCCGCCGGCCAGAACAAACGGATGTATGGATCTTTGCTAACTCTATGAATAGCCCGCAGTTGGCTACGCCCCGACGGTCTTTGTTCTCGTCCAATATCCTGGGCCAAACGAATTCCTATGGTAAGCATTCCTTGCAAACAAAGCTGCTCTTTCTTTGAAACGTCTAGTACTGACGCAATGAATAGACGACGTGATGACAACCCCTCCCCTCCCTGCCTCCTCGCCCGCTCCCGCTATGGACGTCATGGAAATGTCGCCGCTGCCGCATAAGAAGCCTGCCTATGTAGTGACTACTGAGATCGAAGTGCACTCTCCTTCACCTTTGGCTAGTCCGATCTGCTCGCCTTCCTTCTCCGCCGCTCCCAGCCCGCTACAGGCCTCGCCAATGGAAGCTCCTGCCGAGTAAGATTATTCGACAAAGACTTCCCGGTATAAACACTACTAACATGGAGTATAGACGTCGTCGACCTCACTTCCTTCGCCCCAGTCTGGCCAAGAGCAAGGCCCAGTCCTTCCAGCTCGGTATGACCCGTCCTGCGCAGGAGAGCAAGGCACCCCCATTCCGCTTCAACTCTGCGAAGACCTCATTGAGCACGTCGACCTCCCTGGAAGACATGTTCGGTGACTCTCCCCCTCAAGAGAGATCTATCTCTCGCAACTCCTCGTCGAGTAGCCTGGCCCCGCCTCGCCTGCGGCCGCCTTTCTCTCACGCCCGTAGCAGCGGATCGCCTGCCAACTCCATCCGCAAGCCCGCTCACCCCTTGATGCGCCCACGCAAGCAGTGCCGCCGCTCATTGAGTATGTTCGAACACCCCGCCGACATCATCGCCGAAAAAGAGGCCAAGGTAACAACAAATGCACCCCCACCGTCCATCAGTGACATTCAGAGTTCGCCCAGCCTACAGCTGCCTCACTTTGTTCCCGAGACAAGGCGGACTCACTGCCTCGCATTAACCAGACCACCCTCCTGGAGGTTCTGGATGGGAAGTTCAACGATCAATTCGACAATGTGATTATTGTCGACTGTCGGTTCGAATACGAATATGAGGGCGGCCACATTGACGGCGCTATCAACTACAATGACAAGGACGCACTGGCGGGTGATCTCTTCGATGCTCCTAAAGCTCGCACCGCTCTAATCCTGCACTGTGAATACTCCGCGCACCGCGCACCCATTATGGCCAAGTACATTCGTCACCAAGACCGCGCGGTCAATGTCGATATTTATCCCAATCTTACATACCCGGACATGTACATTCTGGACGGCGGCTACAGCTCGTTTTTTGCTGAGCACCGTTCATTCTGTTACCCACAAAACTACGTCGAGATGAATGACAAAGAGCACCAGTTCGCCTGCGAGCGCGGACTCGGTAAGGTCAAGCAACGTTCCAAGCTGAACCGTGCCCAGACTTTCGCCTTTGGTCAACACTCGCCTCAGATGGAGGATAGCCCGACTGGCCGCTGCCGCAATGATCGCGCAGATCGCCTCCTCTCGTCCCCCTTCGCGGAAAGCCCCGTACCTCATCGCACCCCCGGCCGCCGTATGCTCTCTTACTGATTTCTCCTTGCATTGGTGATTTTCCAATGCCTCCTGGCGGATATCATGATTTTTTTTTGAATTGTTCTTGGAGCGAGTTATTTGCATTGAGGCATATTGCATGGTGCCTTTTTCTTCTCCTGGGTGGCTTTTTCTACTTCTTCCTTTTTTTACTCTTCTCGCACCCACCTCTTTCTCACCACAAAAGTTCGGTCCGTTGGCGCAATGGTCTTTTCTTCTAAGCACTGGCTTGCGACTGAAGCTGCGCAGAGCGCGGTTTCCAACCGACTTTCCTTTCCACAATCTTCTCTGACCGACCCGATATCAACCATCCCTTGATATCGTCTTTCATTCCTGGACTCCCTTTTTTTATCTTTTCTTCTCCTTTCCTCAGAGTCCGACATGATATCAGCGATTCTTTTTTCCTTTCCTCTTTTCGATACGATATCCCGTTGCTCGACTTTTTCTTACCTCGCATGGTTGACACCATCGCGTCGAGCACACGCAACGACACTGGGCGAATCTTTTTTTCTTCTTTTTCACCATCCGATTTGCCCAGCGATGAACGACAGCCCGACACGAATCGAGCAAACCTCTCCTATGTTCCCGATGACACCAGTTGATAACGCGCCCGACGCCCCTGGCTCCTGCTCGGAAAAAACCATTTCCTTTTCCATCCTCCGCATTGCTCTGCAGCAGCAACGGATCTCATCCAATCTACTACTCACATCAAGTGAAACGAAACGCTCACGAAAGCGTCTTCTAATTTGCCGTCCACTTGGACGCGTTCCATTCTCTTCAAAACAACCCTAATTCCCTTTTCACCATACTGCCCCTTTAATCACTTCCCTGTACAGTGAACCACCGATCCCTTTTCTTTGACTTGACACACACACTATTAATCACATGATGTTCTGGAATGAACTTCCATTCCCCGCCTGTACCGAGTTGCATATCGAGCGAGAGTCTACATCCTTCGAGAGCGCTTTTTTGACCATGATGTTCTATTTTATGGCATTGCGAGTGGGAGCGTGCTTTTTTCATTTTCATTTTCATTCTGTCTTTTGTTTTTTTGTTGCATCGTTGCCTTGTTTCCAGCCCGTCGGTTTTTTCGATGATCCCTGCCGTACATTGCATTCACGGGGACGATCGTTGGGGCTGGAGGGCACGGATTTGCATATCAATCGAACCAAACAGACATCACGAGTGGCTGTGCAAGCTGTACATATGAGAGCGATATTTGCCTGGCAGTGAGAACGGAGGTGCAGGAAAACAACGACTACTGCTACTACTTACAGTGGTGTTGTGTTGCACTCGCCTGTTGGGAGTTAATGGGTGGCTGGAGGGCCTCATGGAGGCTGCAGATAACTTCTTTTCCTTTTGTCGAGCAGAATCCACCATTCTAATAACATGTTCCTGAGTAGTAGCAGTAGTAGCAGTAGTAGCAGAGCAGTAGCAGTGGTAGTAGTGGTGATAGTAAGCAGTACTAGAACTTCCTAGCACACGAACCCCTGCGTGAAACTCCCATATCTTCTTGAGGCTGCACTCTGTCCACTCGCACTCTTCTCCCAAAGCTAAGAAAGGAAGAAAATTACAAGATCGGCAAACGGTGGATCGAGTCTCCTCAGTTTATGACGATTGGCGGTTCACCAGACTCTCACGAGAATGCGCGCTTTCTGATAGGCTCACCTCGACGGGGCCAAATGGAGCCTGTCAACCCTTCTTCCCCTTCTTGACCCTTTCCCCTCCGTGTTTCATCGTCCTTTCGTCCTTTCGCTTCTTTCTTGGAAGGGGAAGAAGGATCTTGACTCGGTTGACCTCTTTTACTTTCGCTTCATTCTCCCCAGGCCGTCGCTCATTTTGGCCTTGACTCGACTCGACTCGATCCACGCCCTTCCAACACTCCGCCTTCCACACTCCCTTCAACCGTGCGGCGCGGCGCTTCGCCATCTTTGATGCGCAAATCCTAACGAACCCTGCTGCCTGTTCCATTCTTTCGTTCATTCAGTGTGCTGCGCGAATTGGTTTGCCTGTCCACCTTCGAGACAAGCTTATATCGCTGCGCCTACGCCTGCCCCGCCAACTGTTCTATTTCTGGCATCGCTGGCATCGCCGTTTACTACTAGTAATAGTGCTTATCGCCGCCCGAGTGAGACATTTCCATTGAACCCCGGATTCCATCAATCCATCCCACTCGCCTTCTCAGAAGGCATGCGGATTGCCATCTTCAACCAACACCACTCGTCAATCCAATGATCGATTCCTCATAGCACCCCTCAAGTCATGCATCTCCCCAATATGAGCCCCGTGGCTCAGCCGATCTTCGCTCGCGGCATCTCCGATGAGTTCAAATCCGTCAACAGCTGGGATACGTGTATGGCCAAGTCCTGGTGTAAATGGCCCGTCATCGTTGGTATCATCGTCGGATCCGTCATCGTGATCGCGATTCTCGCATGCGTAATCAACTGTCTCTGCTGTGGCTACCAATGCTGTAAATGCTGCTGTGGCTGTTGCTGCCCCTCCGGGCGTCGCAGAAACAAGCAACCAAAATACTACGACGACCCTCCCCTCCACCAACCACCTCCTCCATCTGCGAATCCAACCTACCAATCCTCGCCTGCCCCTCCCGTCTACCGCGGCGCCACGCAGACGCAGACCGCAACCTTCGACACTCCGAAAACCGCGAATTCGCACGTCGACGAGGATGCGCTCCCCGCAATGCCCACCTGGGCTAACGCTGTGGACAAGCATGTTGAAGACGAGACTCACCACGAGGACGTGGAAATGAAACCATTGGACCGAAAACAGGGCGCTGGTACGCCCTTCCGCCCGGGTGGTAGCCCCGGCGGCGCATACTCGGATTATACCAACGACAATAATATCTCCGCTGGCGGCTACCGAGGCTTCAATCCAACAGACCCATACGCGCGCCGTTCCCCAGGACCCCAAGCCGTCCTCAATCCCACAGAGCCCTACACACGCCGGTCCCCAGCTCCTCCAGCTGCATTCAACCCGGCCGACCCCTACGCGCGACGCTCCCCAGGCCCTCAGGCAGCCCTGAACCCAACAGACCCCTACGCCCGCCGATCTCCAGGCCCGCAAGCCGCCTACGCCGCAGCAACAGACCCCTACGCCCGTCGGTCCCCAGCACCGATAAACACCTTCGCCGCGGCGCAGGACCCATACGCCCGCCGCTCCCCAGCCCTCGCCTCCCCAGTCGGCGCCCCAAGTCCCTACGACTCCCAGCCCTACCAAAGCTACGACACGGGCAATGCCGGCTACCACGCCGTATCTTCGCCCTCGCCCGTAGCTTATAACCCTCATACGCACGGCGCAAACTACAACGCCGTCCCCACAGCCCTCTCCCCGGCCGCGGATCCCCAACAGCAACAACCTGCGGGATTCACTCGCCAGCCCTCCTTCGGCTCAAGCCAGTACCCGCCTACATATACGACGCACCAGCCGTATCGCAGCAACACGGCTTCACCGGCTATCGCTTCCTCGCCACCGCCGCCTTCATATGTTACTTCGCCGCATGAGTATGCGTCGCATGAATATGGTTCGCATGACTACGTGGCGCCCGGAACGGCGATTGGAACGGCGGTTTCTGAGCCAAGGGATAATCGCCCGCCGAGTTTGTTGCAGAGTGGGCGGAAACCTGCGCCGAATACCTACCGTGATGTATAAGTGAATTGTGTGTATTTGTGTGAGATGGGTTGTGGATTTGGGCATGGGCATGGGCTTCCGCATCCTGCAATATAACACTGCGCGCTCCGTATTGTATTCTACCGGTCCGGCCGGTGTCGGGCGTGCGTAGATATGACTTTTTGACACTTTTGTTCTTCTTCTTTTCTTTCTCTCGTTGTTTCGACTCCCTCATGCCTTGGTTGATTTGGATTGGACTGGATTGTGGATGAGGATGAGCTTTTGATACCATTTCCCTTTTTGTTTTCCATTTCTACTCTTTTCTCTTTCTTTTCCCGTCTCATGTATGTGCTTGGTCGATCCCTGCATCGTACATAAAATTCTTTTGGTTGCTCTTTTCGAGGATTGGATAGATTCGGATTGAGATGTGGGTTTTTCTACCCTATGAATTTCATGTTTCTTTTTTCTGTGATTGGTGATGGGATTGTATTTGTGACTTGAACTGTTACTCTTGCCTTTTCACTATGTACGATCAGACTGAGTAGGGTAATTAGCCATTTAGTTTGCGGTTTAGTTCTTGCCAGTTACTAGTAGTCTGGGTGTCTTCCTGGACTGCCTAATTCTCAAGGCACCAACACCTTATCAGCTTATCACCCCACGCTAGTCCCAACGTGGTAACCCCCGAATTTTCTGCGGCCAAACTTCGCGCAACTCCGACCCTCCAGACGAGCTGTGACCGTCCAAACAGCTTCTACGAAGCTGTAACACTCTCCAACCACCCGAAGCAGGCATTGAAATCTGCCTCAACCCCAAACCCACCACAATGGGATTCAAACGTCGCCGCGAACTATACAACGTCGACACCAAGCTCGTGGAGATCTATGAAGATCTCGCCAGCGAGAAGGATGAGATCCGTCTCAAGGCCGCTCAGGGTCTAATCTCGCAGTTTACTCCGGATAAGGAACCCACCGATGAACAGATTAAGAAGACTCTCCAGCGACTCTTCCGTGGTCTCTGCAGTAGTCGGAAAGCTGCTCGTATTGGCTTCTCGGTTGCGCTCACTGAGCTCTTGACTCAGATCTTCTCTGTTAAGCGCGAAGATGCGGAGTTTCAATTTGCGGATGTGTTGAAGATTTGGGAGTCGCTTTCTCATTCTGCTGGTAGTGAGTCGGGACAGGTACGTGCAATGGTTTATTACTAGCTCCTTTGATGGCACGGCAGGGCAGGCTCTATGAACTTTTCCAGACTAATGATATTCTACGCACAGGAACAACGCGATCACCACTTTGGCCGCCTCTTTGGTGCCGAAGCCCTCATTAAATCCGGCGTCCTCTTCCTCCCCGTCACCCCCTTCACACAATGGACTCAGGTCCTGGATCTTCTTTTCGAGCTCGCCCAGAAGAAGCCATGGCTTCGGGAGGAGTGTGGTTGGGTGTTGTATCGCTGCGTGTATGATCTCTCTGCACGACAGATGGAGGCTAAGTATCTGGAAGCTGCAATTGAGCGCCTGTGCTCGTATGATCTAGCCCGCTCCCCTGAAGGTATTGCCGTCTGGCTCGCTGCGAAGGACATGTTCCCCAAAGCCGAGTTCCCCGCCAAGGTCTGGAAACACGATGACCCCCTCGACACGAAGGAGCGCAACAGTCTCTCCAAGATTATGAAGGAGTCTTCTGCCGAGGAGGCTGATGGTCAGAAGAGCAGCAAGTCTTCTGGTGTCTGGAATTCCAAGCTGCACTTTGCCTGGGATGCGGTTCTTTCTCGAACTAGTGATGGAAGCTCCAAGTCTTCTAAGAGCTCGAAATCTGGCCGTTTGAGCTTTTTGGATTTCTGGACCGAGGTCGTGGACAGTAAGTACTCTCTCTCTGGCTCTACACTCAACACTGAAATGGTCTAAACTAACGGGTTTCCTTAGATGGATTGTTCGCCTCGGCCTCTTCTGAGGAACGCAAGTTCTGGGGTTTCCTTCTCTTTAACAAGGTCCTCAACGAGGGATCGCCTCAGCAAGCGTCTCAGGTCTTCACTAAGAACCTCGTTCGCTGCTTGATGAACCAGCTTGCCGTTGAGGACCGTTATCTACACCGCATGGCCGTCAAGACCTCCAAGGCCATGCAAGCCCGCGTGTCCAAGGACCCTAGCTTTGCTGCTCCCGCTGTCAAAGGTCTTATGGGAACCGGCGGCGCTGTCCTCTTCGACCAAGTCACCAAGACCAAGACCGTGGAGAAGATCGTAGGCGATGCCAGCCCAGATGCGCTAAAGGAAATTGTCCCATTGTTCGAGCAGCTGATCAGCAAACCCGGCGCTGGTGACGACAAGACCGCTGCAGCCGACCGCCAATTCATTGCCGGTCTTCTCCTTTCCATCGTGCGTGCGAAGGCTGCTACCGGTAACGGTGACTCGGAGGAGGACTTCGAGTCTGTCCTCGAGCAGATCTTGTTCATCTTTGTACGATTTGCCTACTTCACAGATAAGAATGCCTCGATGGCCGCAGAGCCGGCAATCTCGGAGGCGACTCAGGAAATGCTGCGCAACCGGGTTAGCTCTTCTCTGAACAGTCTCCTCTCGTCGCAGAAATACGCATCCACTATTCCCTACGCTGTTGTCAAGCAGATCCGTGACGGCGCGAAGTCAGGCGAGTTTGGCAAATTCATCATCAATATCGATGATAAGTTGCAGGACTCTGTTAAGACTGCCTTCAAGTCTTTGAAGAAGCTTTCAAGCAAGGAGAAGAAGGGTGAGGCCTCTAGTATGGCCGCTTTCAAACTCCTCTACTCCATGACAGTCCTGCAGGTGTATAACGGAGACGCTGATGCGGTGTCCATGCTCGATGAGCTGGAGCTCTGCTACACTCAGTTCTTGGGCGATGAGGCTTCCAAGAAGAACAAGAAGAAGGATAAGGATACCTCCGATGCCTCGGATGCGCTGGTCGAAATCCTGCTGAGTTTCGCGTCCAAGCAGTCGCAGCTCTTCCGTCGTATGAGCGAGCAGGTCTTTGGTGCTTTCGCAGATCAAATTACTGAGAATGGCTTGGAGTCTTTGATCTCGGTATGTCGTTTTCCCTTCTGATTGGATGAATACAAGACTAATGAATGATCTCTAGATCCTGGAAGCCAAGGAAAGTTTGGCCGGCCAGCAAGAAATGTTCGACCAGGACGACGACGATGACGTAGAAGAAGATGAAGGATCCGGTTCAGACGAAGACATGATGGATGTCGACGGCGAAGAAGACAGCGACGTTGAAGTCATCGAAGCCGGTGACGCCGAAGGCTCTGACTCTGACTCTGACGAAGAGGAAGAAGAAGAGGACGACGAAGAAGACGCCGCGGAAGTCGCCGCCTTCGAAGCCAAACTCGCCGCCGCCCTTGGCACCCACCGCGCAGACCAAGATCTAAACGCCAACGACTCAGAAGAAGACTCGGACATGGACGACGACGAAATGGAACAAGTCGACGCCCAATTAGCCAATGTCTTCCGCGCCCGCCGCGACGCCGTCTCTCAACAAAAAGACAAAAAAGACGCAAAGTCCAACATGGTCAATTTCAAGAACCGCGTTCTAGACCTTCTGGAGATCTTTGTTAAGAAATCTCACTCCCGTCTGCTGACTCTGGATCTCTTGCTCCCCTTGCTCCGTCTGACCCGCCGCTCGACTGTCAAGCAGATCGCCAACAAGGCCAACTCCGTGCTACGCGAGTACACGAAACTATGCAAGGGTTCTGCGGTTCCGAAAATCGTCGATGACGAGGACGAGGATGAAGATTCCGAGGAACGCGTTGACGCTATCTGGGAACTTTTGAGAAGTATTCACAAAGAGGCGGGTCATAGTGGACCACCTGCGCATGCGACTGCTGTTAGTCAGGCTTCGTTGCTTGTGGTTAAGGTTCTTGTTGCGCATGATAAGAGTCTTGTTGCGGGTGCTGTGGATGTTTATGGGGAGACGAGGAAGGATATGCTTCTTAGTACTAAGTCGCATGTTCAGCCTTCTTTCTTTACGGATTGGAATAACTGGTGTGTTTCGGCTAGTAAGCAGTTGAAGAACTAGGGTGTGCCAGATGGCACGGTGTGGATGTGGTGTAGGGGATGAAAGGGGATGGCTCGGGGGTGTTGTATAGATTGTACAGATTATTTTATGTTCCGAATCAAATGATTAAAAGTTTTATCAAAGATGGTCGTTGTAATAGAGTGGAGATGAATACATCGACCCTTGACTATGTAGACTAAACCGGGAACTGCTAGATCAATAGATCCAGTTTCCCAGGAATCATGGATTCTAAGCCTGAGGTTGTGGAGCGTGCCACTAGTAAAAATACCTAGGTAATCATCCTTAGAATGCTATAAAGTCAACCACTTGGCCCTTTGGCCCTTTGGGAGAAGATGCATTATCCAATCCAATCAGGAACGCAACAGCCGACCAAATCCCTTGTCCAAGTTTGAATTTCTTCGTGCATATAGGGCATCCTGTCAGCTTCACTTATCTCACTGAGCCATAAAACTAGGCTACTTTTAACGAGTTGCATATGCAAGCAACACGTCAGACCAGAGGAGGGCCAATCGCAAAAACGAAGCGTAGGCACCTCCCTTGATTCAGTTTGAAATTTTAGGGAGCCTCCAGTTATTTAGCTTTGGCAAAGAAATATGGCCGAGCCATAAAACTAAACCACAAACTTCTTAGCCCGGGGTTCGAACCAATCAACATAAACAGTGAGAGGCATTTTAAGCCGCATAAGCAGCAAGGCGCAGCATGTTCAGAACTTGCGGCGAAGAAGACGCCCAAGTTTATGTCATTTGTGACTAGAGCCAATGGAAATGCTTAGACGGAGCCTATACCCTTTATTCAGTTTGAATCTGAAGGGGCGAGAGTGGCGTCTGAGCCGTTAAACTAAACCTCAACTATCCTAGATCGCTATTCTGGTCGGTCAATCTCCGTTTCGTTCTCTCAGACACAGCTGAGAATACGAGCAGGGCGCAGAACCCTGTCAAAGAAGCCATGCGAAGTCATGCGAGTTCGCGTCATTCAAATGAGCGCCAATCATGATGCACAGAGGGAGACTCCAGCCATTATTCAGTTTGAAAATCCTGTCAGTTCTGTCGCCCGCTAAAGCATCTGAGCCGTTAAACTAAGCCCCAACTATCCTAGATCACCACCCTAGCCATGCAGTTTGCGCTTCATTTTCTCAGCCGTAGAGGAGAATACGAACAGGGCGCAGGACCCTGTCAGCCGGGACGATGATCTTATCAGAATTGGACGAGGCAACTGCGAGGCGATGGGCAGTACAGAGAGGCATATCGTGTTTGACTGCGAGTCTGTTGATTCCGGCCAATCGTAAGAAGTGGGAATAGCTCTGCCCGGTGAATTGGTTTTAAAATCTGGCTCCGCTGCCATACTCACCCTTTAGCTGAGCCGTAATTTTGCCCTGGCCGGTTCTAGATTCCTGCACCTCGTCGTAATGCTGACCTTGGCGTTCATTGGACCGAATCAAATGAGACGACCGTGGCCCTGTCCACTGATTTAGTTTCACTTTCGATATTCACTGCCACACTCACCCTTTAGCTGAGCCGTTATTTTGTCCTGCCCTGGCTAGATTATTACGCCCCGGCGTCATGCTCAAATCTACGTTCATTGTAGCTAATAGAGAGAGACGACCGTAGTCCTGCCCACTGATTCGGTTTCAAAGACCTTGGGTCGCACTGCTCGTTGTAGTTGCCTTGAATGTAGCTGAGCCATGAATTTTCCGGGTATCGACCAGCCCCCCAGAAATTTATCGAGATGAATTCATGTTCGAGACGTATTCATGGCGAATGCCGAAGAGGTTCTTGTTCCAAGTAGCCAGTAAGATCATACGAAGGAGACTATGCCCATTAATTCAGTTTCATTTTCGAAGCTAAGCCACAATGTGGTGACGAATCGACCGAGCCATAATTTTGCTCTGTAGGCAGTCAACAATCAGGCAGATGTCAAAGTAGTTTTTGATGACGGGTCATCCACGGTAGCCAATTAGCATAGCTTGATGTAGCTCTATCCGCTGATTTAGTTTCATTCTTCTCCGTACTTCCCGTCAGATGAGCCATGATTTGATTTTTCGGGGTATTCGGCGATGCCCTTTAAAATCTTGAAAGGTGGGATCTGAAGTTTTGACAGAGCGCCGTTGAAAAGTAAGGAGCAGTAGCCCTAAGGTGATTTTGCAGAAGTATACAAGCTGAGTTCCAACTTGAAGCTTTCAAACAGAAAAAAAGGTGAACATAAATATTTCATTGTACAATAGACAACTGCAAGTCACTGCTCCTACGACGAAGGTCACATTGTAAGTATATGCCATTATCCTCCTAGATTAGTGAAAGTCATATCTATTTAGTAGGAGTTACTATCAGTATCAGGTGAAGGGTCTCTATTTCCAAGCATACGGTTTACTGCACATGTCATGAGCAGTTACGGAACCGATTGATTTGAAAAGAGCAACCCTTTTTTGGCAGAAGGTGGGACAGTTATGCATTGCATGTAACTAGTATTAGTGGAGCATATGAGAGAACATGTTTGAAGCCTCGGAGGCATTGAACGTTCTGGTAGAGAATTGAGGGATCGAACTTGAATGCAAATTGAAGTTTACTAGGTTATACTTGCATCAATCAATAGGGAATGTATGCTATCCCGTCGGGACTTTAAAGAATTTGAAGCTTGGAAGTCTCGCGAAGTAGAATACATTGATAAATTGGCTTAATATAGATACAGGTAGATACACGCAGTCAAAGATACTTCATTTGCTCAACTAGCTTTTGGCTGAGTAGCAGTATAATTCCACATATCTGAAAAGTCATACTGTGGAAGTGCATCAAAACCACACCCCAGTATACATCTGCTCATAATAATTGCCTCCTTTTTAGCCTGCTCCTCCGAGATACGAATTATACCCTTGGTCTGTTCCCAGGTGAGAGCTTCGATCTTAACACCACCTGTACTGACACCGTCACCAGGATTCACCAAAAGTATGTAGAATACCTTTCCCGTCCAACTTCGAGCAAAATGGATGGAGATGTTGCTACTCTCGCTCTGATCTGTGACGAAGACGTGCCATTTATCATCCATATCCTGAGGGTTGAAACCTGCTTTGAGCTTCTCAAAGTCGGCGTCACTGATGCTTAGACCCCACGGTGCTGTAGCCGGCTCCTCCATTGCGAACGCGCAATGTGTGGTTTGCTTTGCACGTGAGCATGAAAATAATTGGGTGGTGTTCTGGAATCTGAAGTTGGCACATACCTATAAAATGCTACAGGAATAGGTTTTGCGAATGAATAATTGAGATGGAAAATAAACGAAGGTGCCTTGCTGAAGGTGAGCCGCCCCCAAACCCGGGCGGGGCTGGGCGGGAAGTTTACTCTGCTGATTGGGGCACGGATCACCTTACAGGCCAAGAGAGTCAGGAATCGAGGATTCCGGCAGGGTAAGAATTTCACCGTTCATAAATAGACGACAAGTAGTCACGAATATAAGCTTTGGAATAAGGGAGTGTGTATTCATTGTGCCTGGGTGTTGCGTAATTTCAACTTATCAACATTAAACTGGGGAAATCTAAGGCGTATTCCAACCCAGGGTTTCCGGTTTCTGATAAAGCAGTATTGCTCTAATTCTCGGCAGGGTATATCACTATCTGATCCAAATCTGCACCTTTATAATCAAATCCATTAAAGAGACCGCCAACTGTGATGGTGTTTACTTTCCCTTTCTTCAGTGTCAGCTGCAAGGGTGTCGATAGAATTATTCCCTTGTGTGTATCTCTCTGGTATAGTGTTTGCATGCTTGACACATCTCCATTAACAACAACGCTGCTGATACGGCGTAGCTGCCATGAACCGCCAATTCTGTCGGGCGTTCCTCCGGCTATGAACTGTGTTAGAACCATGACCTAGTATTGCATAATTTTAGAAACAAGTCTACTTACGTTGATCACCAAATCCCATATCATCTATGTCTGGTATCTTCAGATAAAAATTCTGGGTAGGTAAGATCAATATAGAAGACATACTTTGGTAATAAAATGATACCCATTGGGGTTTCCCTGACCCCTCAATGTTCTCAAAAGTAACGGTGCTAACGTTTCCGTAAATTCCGGTGAGAATGACACCATCAGTAGCAAAATTCTTTGAATTTCATCAGTCGTATAATTTTAGCCGGTAGATTTCCTATACTTACAGCTTCCTGCTTATATGCGCCCCCCGAAGTTTTCGCATTTTGTACGCTGTATGACTTTCCCTTTACAGGAGACCATTCACCAGTTTTACTAGTGAAGCCGTTAGTATTAGAAACCACCAGAAGCAAAATTACCCTTACACATCAAGATCATAAACATCGTGCCAATTGAGTTCCAGAGACTTCTGCTTCTCATTGACCTCAATGGGCAGCCAGATGTAGCGGCTATCCCAGACAGAGTTTGAGTCCCATTGGTCCCCGATATAGAGATAAGTCGTCTTCTTGGTTCCTTTTATCCTAAGAGTAAAACCAGACTGCGAGTTGAAAGTTCTAGTGTTTAACGGAGAGACAATAAACGGTTGAGACCATGGTCCACTCAGCGAGTCGGCTCGGAATGCCACAACATCTGGAATATTAGCCGAGAAATTGGCAATTCGACTGCGAAGATCTTACTATTTGGTCTGTAACCTGTCTTATGACTCATAAGTGCCCAGTAACTCTTCTCCGTTTGCATGATTGTAGGTGCTTCAAGATCAAACTTCGGGAACCGATACACAGAATTTTCGAGGGAAGTAAGATTTTTGTCAAAAGTTGAGATGTAAACATCTCGGCCTTCCACGCTGTCTCCATTAGAGTAAAGAGCATATGTTTGATCGCTTTTGTAATCTGTAAACATGCCAAAATCCTGCGACCAATTACCAAGAGGTGCCGTTGCATCGACAAATTTGTATGGCCCCCCAATCGTGGATGATACTGCATGGCCTTGGAGGAGAAGTCCATAGGAGGAGTTGTCGGCATGCCACCACATCTGCCGAGTCAGTTCCATCATTCATTTGTGAATAATAAGCTAGATATGCCGCCCACATACATGATAATTATCAGTACTTGTACTGTAGGCCACTTTTGGTCGCTGAATTATATTCTCAGGCGATATGTAAGGATGTCCCTCAACCGGAGCTTAATATTTTTCTTAGAGTTAGGCTTCCTCCACCACGATTGAGATAGTAAATATTGGCAGAAAGAAAACATACCCAAAGCCAATCTTTCCCATGTCCATGTACCCAAATCGGCAGAACTGTAAACAGACACGCCTCCGCCCTCTGGCTGATCTTCTGTTTTGTGTTCGCCGAACCACCAAAATCGGCCAGATTTTTGATCGAAGGTGATTCCGGCTCCGTGAGCGTTAATAATTGACCCGTTTGTGTCGTGCCATCTACCCCCAGGGACAATATATTTGCAGTTTGCGGGAACGGCCAATAAAGCGGCGAGGAAGGCGCCAGTTGCCCACATTTTGATCTTCTTTCGGCGGTATAGATGAGGGCAATTTGATCTTATTTAGGAGCCGTACAAAATATGAAATCTTGGTATATTTATAGTCAGTTTGATGCACATGTCGGTCTTTGCTATGCCGAAATCGTGTGCCAATACTGCGGGGTAGCATAAGTGAAGTTGTTTCTCAGCTTGGCATGGGAACCGGCACCTTCGCTTAGAAAAATAACCAGCCGGCCATCCTGATTCTGGGGAGATATTTCACGCAAATCACGAGCAAAACACAATATTCGAGTGTTAGGGACCGGCTTAATTTGTCCGAAGCGGCTTACACCTTTTTGTATGGGTAGGAAGCCGTACGGGCATGCTCGAAGAGAATTTTAAGCCGCGAATTCTTCCGTCTGGGGAAAAAGTCTAAATAGGACCACGTTGAAAATGCCCAGGAATTCTAAACTTTTGACACTCCAGGGCTCTCATAATTTTCTCGCCAAAATCTTCAAGTTGGTTCATAGCCTATAGCTAGCTGGTCCGGACGCTTTGTGAGAAAATAATTCCATCATCATTCGTTGCAAAAATTCGGTAATCATGATATTGATCGTTTTAAACAAACTGGAAGAGCTTTTACATCTTTGTCAAGACTCAGTCAGCAGATCATCAATGAATTTCCAACTTTGTTTAATCTGTTGATCGTTAATCCACCTTGGAGATCTTGCGAAATCGCTTTCGGGTCTTTGGTTCGTATTTAATTATTACTTCAATTCCTCGCTGCGGTTTTACTCTCGAAGTTTTGGCCTGAGACAGACATCAGCCTTGGAAGGCTGCAATTATTGACGCACGTAGAAGTAGTTTAGCAGGCAGTATCTTATGGGCCTGAGTTTGATATAATATCTTCTCCTTAAAAGAAGATTCCAAGTGTATAGACTGTTTGGTATTTGCCACAATGGCGGAGTCTGTAACGAACTGGTGTTGTTACTATTCGTGGATGCCTCATGCCTACGGCACCACTCTAGGCATCCACGCCTACACCTGTGTATCTAGCTTTCCATCTTATCTTCCTTCTTATTCTCCTCAAGCTATGACTTTCGTCGAACAGCTACTGTTTCCTTTGCTTCGTATGCTACGCCGTACGTTGATCTCTGTGAGCATCTGAGCATCCTCACAGAGTCACACGGCCATGCTTTCTTTATAATGCCGCTTCACTTTTTTAGATATCCTTCTTCCTTTAACCACCTGGGCATCATGCTCATTTGATATTCTTCTCCTCCTTCATACGCAATATTACTACCGTGAAGTATATAGAAAAGCACAGAATCTACAATGCGGTCAGGGGTTCTATTACCTCGGTTGCTATCATAAACGTGGCTCGATGGATGGCGATATATACCTCGCTGGTCCCAGTATCAAGGCTATGGATATAGATATACAAAAATAAGCAGATAATTGAAGCACCGGCAAAAAGTTCTTTGTTACCAGTTAATCACTAATGCTGCTTCAAGTTACTATATTATGGGGGGTCTACACTCGCCCAAATCGCTCCTTCCCGAGTCTTTTGGCCGCTACCATTCACTGCACTCCATCCATCTTTTTCCATTCATTACCCTTTACTACCATTTCAAGTTCAAGTCACTGTCTACTGTTTTACCTCATGTTGCTCCCTTCCTCCCCTTTCTCCCCTACTATCACCCTCTCATTCTTTGAAGTTATTTGCGAGCGCATAAGTTTTCAAAGTTTTTAGCCTTTAGGGTTTAATCAAGAAAGTGGGGAAGTAAGAGATCTTGAAAATATTTACACTCATTTCGTGACCCTTACTGATATCCTCCCCGCTAGTTAGCCCGACCCTCAGCACAGAGGCATCAACCAACTTCCACTGGTCATCGCCCGTGATGATCTTTATCTGTCGGTTCAAGAAAATGGCTGGGCCCGCCTCTTGAAGACAGAGGCCCTTACCAATTCAAGAAATGGGAAGAGAAAATGTACAAGGGAAAAGGATCCGCAGCCGATGGAACGCTTGCTCCAGCTGAGGTCGCAGACAGATTCAATTTCGTTTCTCCGAGAACAGCATTTGTCGTTTGGTGTTCATGGGGGTTTGACGTCGACTGTGTGAGTACGTGGCTCAACCAAGAAAGGGTCGACCATAATTTACCAAAGAAAGATGAGGTTCATCTGCTCTTGGCCGAGTTTAAAGCAAATTTAAGGAAGTACCTTGGCGGGTAATATTTGGTATACCTTCCCACTGTCACTGTCTGTCATATTTGCAGTGCTTAATCAAAATCACCCGCTCTTGGGCCAACTATAATACTATCGTGGATGCTCAGCAAACGGTGATTATGCTTAAGATCTTCCTAGACATTTACAAGCACCCAGACGAACGGAAAATATTCAAAAATCTAGGTACCTCTGTACCTGATGGTAGCCTAGTATCCACAGGGCAGTTACCAGTCCGCTTGCCTATACCGAGCCGTTGTAAGCGGAAGGCGAAGAATAAGAAGGAAGCTCCTCACAAAAAAAGGCGTATCAAGTGAGAATGCTGCAAGTGAACCAGATACACATGGCTTCGACACTTTGTTCCTTGACCGCTTCATTGCCTCGTTCCCTGGTCACTTCGTCAGTGCCCTAGCCGACTCCTTTAGCGTGGTAAAGAACAAACATTCTTTCAAGACCCAGCTACTGAGAGATTTGGGAGGTCTGGACCTAGTCCGGGAGATAGTCCTGAGCTAACAGTACAACGAATCCGTCACAATCATATTCCAACGAACCAACTCGAACGTCCGCAACGTTGAAGCTGCTTTCATGCAGGCCACTGGAATCGTTTCACCAACCGCTTGGACCAATTGTTTGGAAGGAAAAGGAATGTTCAACCAATGCATCACTCTCCCCACTACTAGCGGCACTCGCGAATGTGCCAATTGCCATCTCCACCACAAGGCAGCTCTATGCTCGTTCAACAAGGACACCACCGCCACTACTCAGGAAGACCCGAACCTTGCTCCCCGGCGCAGTGACAAGGGAATCCAGCGCAAGTTCGATGGCCAGGGCCGAGCTGCCCGAGAAACTGACTCGTATGCTCGTGTGACCCAAAGTTGCTCCCCGCGTCGTGATGATGACCTTCTACGAGCTGTCCGAGGTAATGCCTCGAATGATACGGTCCGCCCGCGCTAGGATGCGCCGCCGCATCGCGGACCTCGAGAATCGAGGACATCATCAGCCCCCGCAACCATTATGCAGACCTGTTCCACACTCAGCGGGCGGCAGCCGTGGCATGCAATCGAGAGCTGATAAATCTGAGGGAGCGCCTTGAACCCGAGTAGTCGGAATTTTTAGTCCTGGCGGGGGGTAGTAGATTCCGCATTTTCTTTCTCTCTTTTCTTTCTCTCTTTTCTTTCTCTCTTTTCTTTCTCTCTTTTCTTTCTCTCTTTTCTTTCTCTGTTTGTCTTTCGATTGTTATAGTGGGATTGACTCATGGGCCCACTTTCTTCACTATCTAACTGGGCAGCTCATTTTGGTGTGGGATTTTGCGGTGGTGGCTTTCAATCAATACCCTTCTATTAGGCTAGATCCACTTGCTTTACATAAGTGATCTTTGTTAGATCTAGGGAGTAAATCGCAATTGCTATATTTTCGCATCAAGCCGGGCCATGACCTGGGTCAAGATTGCTTCTGGGCATTTTAGTTCGTCTTAGAAGGAGACGTCCGTGGAGAACAGAAAAGAGTCTTGGTGTAGAGACTGCATTTGGCGCTCTAAGTTCCATGTCATTTTGTGGTGAGCTGATGACTTGTTAGTCATGAGTGCCTGGAGAGACATGCCATAAGGGAAAACGATTGTTTCCAGAAATATCAGAATAAGCATACCGTAATCCACGGCCGAGCTGGCCACACGGCCGAGCTGGCCACACGGCCGAGCTGGCCACCCCATCCAAAATCACATCTTCCTACTACCCTACCTAATTCAACCGCCTACCATGCCACCAATTCGCACTGCATCTTCGCAGAAATTAGCCAATCAGGAGGGCAAGATCCTATTAGCCCTTGATAATATAAAAAACGGCCGTATCAAATCTATTCGCGCAGCAGCGAAGCTTTATGCTATACCGCGTTCTACCTTACAGACGCGTGCCCATGGCACAGTCTCACGTGCTGATACACGCCCAAATAGCTATAAATTAACTCTATACGAAGAATATTCGCTTACTGAGTGGATTATCTCTATGGATTCGCGTGGAGCATCGCCAAGGCCTTCTACCGTACGAGAGATGGCTAATATTCTTCTTAAAGCGCGTGGAGCAACCCCCCTATTAACTGTTGGCGTTAATTGGGTATCAACCTTTGTAAAACGGCGCGATGAGCTTCGATCGCGCTTTTCAAAGCGATATGACTATTAGCGTGCTCTTAACGAGGATCCAAAGTCTATAAAAGAGTGGTTTTTGACAGTGCAACGCGCGATTGATGAGAACGGTATCTAACCGGAGGATATCTACAACTTTGATGAGACTGGATTCGCGATGGGCCTTATATCATCGCAAAAGGTGGTTACACAAGCAGAATACTACGGTCGGCGATCAATTCTACAGCCAGGAAATTGCGAATGGGTTACTGCAATCGAAATGATATGCGCTGACGGCTATTCGCTGCCGCCCTGTATTATATTCAAAGGCCAGGTTTATATCGCTGGTTGGTTTGAATCGTCGAACCTCCTGAGGGATTAGCGAATCAAAGTATCGAATAACGGCTGGACTACCGATGAAATTAGCCTTCGCTGGCTCCAAAAGATCTTTATTCTATATACTAATTCACGTATACGGGGGCGATTTCGGCTATTGATTCTTGACGGGCACGGTAGCCATCTTATACCTTAATTCGATCGAATCTGTGCCGAAAATGATATTATATCAATCTGTATGCCTTTACATTCGTCACAATTACTTCAACCGCTTGATGTTGGGTGCTTTGCAGTACTAAAGCGTGCCTACGGTCGCTTCGTGAGTGATTTAGCCCGTACTGGCTATAATTACATTAATAAGCTTGATTTTCTTGCAGACTATCCACGCGCAAGGGTAGAAGCTTTTCAGCCGAATATTATTCAAAGCAGCTTCGCAGCTACTGGTATCGTACCAGTTGATGCTGATAGAGTGCTTTCGCAGCTTAATATTTCTCTCCGAACGCCTTCACCACCATTAAGCCGACTAAGCAGCAGATCTAGCTAATTCACACCAAAAACGCCTAGAACAGCGATTCAGCTAGAAAAGCAAGCTTCTGTGCTTAAAGAGCTTCTTAAACGGCGATCGCATAGCCCGCCTACACCTTCAAAACTCATACTTGATCAGATCATCAAAGGCGCCTATCTATCGTTACATGGTGCTGCATTACTAGCGCAGGATAATACGAACCTTTGTGCAGCGAATGAAAAGAAACGTCAAAAGCGCACTCGTCCGACTAAGCAGATCGCTCGCGAAGAGGGCCTATCGATCGAAGAGGGCCTACAGCTAGTTCAACAGCTAAATGAGCCTATAGAAGCTGATGAGGTAGTATCGCATGAACAGGTCGATCTGCCTAATCAGCCGATTCAACCGGCTAGGAGGGCTCTTCCTACCTGTAGTGGATGTGGAGTGAAAGGGCATAGGATTACTTCATGTAAAAATCGTATTATCTAGTTAAATTAATGGGTGTTGGCTAAGATAATCAATTTTGAAATTTTGCAATGGGGGTGGGTGGCCAGCTCGGCCGTGTGGCCAGCTCGGCCGTGGATTACGGTAACGTAATTCCCGCATGACCTGGCCACCCGCTTGACCTGGCCACCTACCACTATTAGAAAGATTCAAAATCAATTTTCTCAACTAGCACCCATTAATTCAACTAAATATAGCGATTTTTACATGTATTAATCCTATGGCCAATTTCTCTGCACCCACTACACCTCGCCGGAGCCCTAGTAGCCGGCCGTTCCGCCTGAATAGGCAATTCACTCTGCGTATAGGAGTCTACCGTAGATGCTTCTGCTCGTAAATCTAGCTGCGCAGCTGCCTGCAGGCCCTCTTCGACGGTCAAACCCTCTTCGCAGGGTATCTGCTTAGTCGACCGAGTACGCTTCTTTACCACCTTCTCATTCGCTGCGCGTAGATTCGCGTTATCTTGCGCTAGTAGCGCAGTGTTGTGTAGCGCTATACAGTGGCCCTTGATGATTTGATCTAGTATAGTTTTTGATGGGCTCGGAGGGCTTTTCGACCGCTGCTTTAGCAGATCTTTAAGCATTAAAGCTTGCTTCTGTAGCTGAATCACGGTTCTGGGTGTTTTTGGCGTGAATTGGCTAGATCTGCTGCTTGGCCGGCTGCTTACTGGCGTAGGCGTTCGTAGAGAGATATTAAGCTTTGAAAGCACTCTTTCTGCATCAACTGGTACTAGGCCACTAGCTGCAAAGCTATTCTGAATAATAGCTGGCTGTTGGAAAGCCTCTAGCCGCGCACGTTGGTAGTCATCTAAGAAATCAAACTTATCGATATGGTTATATCCTCTCCGCGCAAGATCGCTAATAAAGCGACCGTACGCACGCTTAAGTACTGCAAAGTACCCAACATCAAGCGGTTGTAGTAAATGCGAAGAATGCGCAGGCATACAAAGAGGAATAATATCGTTCTCTTCGCAAATTTGATCGAATTGGGGCGTAAGGTGGCTTCTATGGCCGTTAAGAATTAATAGCTGAAACCGGCCGCGTACGCGCGAATTCGTTGATGGGATAAATAGCTTTTGTAGCCAACGTAGGCCAATCTCATCAGTAGTCCAGCCATTATTCGAGACCTCAAACCGCCAATCTTTTGGTAGGTTATCAAACCAACCCGCAATAGCAACCTTGCCCTTAAAGATCATACATGGCGGTAGCGAATAGCCATCTGCATAGATTGCTTCGATAGCAGTAACCTATTGGCGATTTCCTGGCTGTAGGATAGATCGCCGACTGTAGTATTCTGCTCGAGTAACCACCTTTTGCGACGATATAAGGCCTATCGCGAATCCAGTCTTATCAAAGTTGTAGATATCCTCCGGTTGGATACCGTTCTCATCGATAACGCGTTGTACAGTTGTAAACCACTCTCGTAGCGATTTCGGGTCTTCGTTTAGTGCGCGCCGGTAGTCGTAGCGTTTCGAAAAGCGTGAGCGAATCTCTTCGCGCCGATTAATAAACTTTGATGGCCAATTCTTGCCTACTGTAGGCGAAGGGTTGGTTCCGCGCGCAGCAAGAAGGATATTAGCCATTTCTCCTACAGTAGCGGGCCTAGGCGCTGCTCCACGTAAATCCATAGAGATTATCCATTTAACAAGCGAATGCTCTTCCAATTCAGTTAATTTACAGCGATTCGGACGCATATCGACGCGTGCAGTTTGGCCATGGGCGCGCGTTTGCAGAGTTGAACGTGGCACTGCGTATAGGCTAGCCGCTGCGCGAATAGATTTGATTCGGCCATTTTGAAGATCACCAAGGGCTAATAAGATCTTGCCCTCTTGATTGGCTGAATTCTGCGAAGATTCAGAGCGAATTGGTGGCATGGTAAGGGATTGAATTAGGTTGGTAGGAAGGAAGACGCGACTTGGATGGGGTGGCCAGGTCAAGCGGGTGGCCAGGTCAAGCGGGTGGCCAGGTCATGCGGGAATTACGTTAGTTACTAGTTTAGCTTAGTCACTACTATAGCTCGTCAGTATATTTTCCGAATTCAACATTGAAATAAGAAAGTACACAGAGATAGCGACCTGGATATGGCTAAAGAGATAGGCTGTTTGCTTTTTGCTACAGATCTTCGCAAGGGTCACAACTTAATGGTTCTGAGTTTCCTCAAGGGCAGATTTTACTACAATTAAAGTGGACTAATCTATCCCTGAAAGTGGACAACACCAAGAAAATGATAGGGGGCTCTTACCACCTCGGCAAATACCACTTTCACCCTGGTCGTCTAGTGCTAGCTTTCCAAGGCTCACTTTACTTCTGATAAACCCTGTTCTGCCCCTGATAGATTTTATTGATCGATCAAATGGGGCGGTAAAGCGACCAAAATGACGTGAGAGGCCCAAAAACTCGGGTATGTGAGTGAGGCTGAGTATGTCATACAAAAGAGTATGGTGCAGTTCTTCCGTTTGGCCTCGCTGCTAGTGATGCATGCAGCAACTTGAATATTCTGCTGAATTTGCTGCGAAAAATAAAATAAAAACATACAACAGCAGGAATTCGCATGTGGTCACCCAACACACTACTAACCTGCTGGCGTGGGGCTTAGATACACTCAGTAGTCGGTTGGTTGCCGCCAGGTGAGAATGGAGTGAGGGTCGCTTTAGCGTCGCGCGACTCGGGTGAGTAGGGTGAGTGCGCAACAGGCGGGGGTGAGAATGGGGTGAGAACTGGGTGATCGCCGGGTGAGATTCATATGGGTGCAGGGCCACTGCACAGACCCTCTCGGCTAGGCATTGACATCATGTTATTGGCTGCCTTAAATCAGCCTGAAACGACGATCTCTTGGCACCTGTATCTATAATTAAATGTCAACCTAGGATTGGTCCAAGAAACAGCGAGGCTGATTTCGATTTTGCCGGGCTACCCACTTGTTGTTCAAAAGACACAGGAGGATGAAAGCATACCAAAGAAAGCGCGCTTCAGGAATCTGCGTTGTGGGATAAAGGCTAATGTGGTATAAAATGTCTGGTGCTGTGTAGGGTTTTTTAAACTCTGATTGTATGTATTCAGAGTTATCTGTATTTCCGGCCCAAGGGGTAATTGGGAAATTAAACCTTGGCGGGTGTTAGTTAGTGGGCCCAAGCAAATCACTTATATGCAGGCTAAAGGAGAACATGGATTAAGTTTCGGCCTGTCCCGTCGCCGTTGCCGTACTTCTTATTTGATTGATTACTTTGCTCACCCACAACAATGCGCGCAATGTTCTAGAAAGTCGACCTCGTTCCGCAAATGCAGACTGTCCAGACAGCTTCGCCATATTTAGCATAACACCTCGGCACCGACGTTTCTGGAGTCTCTCATTTCTTGACCTGCGCCCTGGCCGGAGATGGCGTGCCCTGACGACTACGCAGTCGGGTGGGTCTGCGCACTGCCTTTAGAGGTCGCCGCAGCCAAAGCAACGCTTGATCGTGTCCATGGCCATAAATCTCCAGATCGGAACTCAAATGATAGCAATAACTACATTTTGGGGAGTCTTCAAGGCCATAATGTCGTTGTGGCGTATCCGAATTCTGGGGTGTATGGTAAAACATCTGTGGCCGACGTGGCCACACAGTTGCATGCAAGCTACAAATATATTCGGTTTGATCTCATGGTCGGCATTGCGGGAGGAGTGCCAGATACGAAGGAGGATATTCGTCTTGGTGATGTTGTTGTCAGCAAGTCGACAGCTGGCTTGCCAGGTGTCGTCCAGTATGACGTGAACGGGGATCAATTGGAAGATCAGTTTGTCCGCGACAGGGCCTCAGATCAGCCGACGCCGTTGCTTCTCACAGCTATAGGAAAGGCCGAGACCGCTGCTATTTTCGACGAAAGTAAGATGCCCCAGTACATATCTGAGATCTTGCAGAAAGACCCCGTCATCTTTGCCCACCCTGGCCCAAGGCAAGACGTCCTCTTTGATCCAACTTATGATCATGCAACCATCGAATTTGAAGAAAGCGGATGCAGTCATTGTGACCCAGAGAGGGTCCGATCCCGGCAGCCTCGGGCGGTACAGGGCCCCGTAGTTCATTATGGCCGGATTGCCGCCAGCCATCATTTGACGCGCCACGTAGCGGGTCGGGATCAGTTCGCACACAAGAATGGCATTATCTGTTTTGAGACGGAGGTAACCGGGCTGAGGAATGACGCCCAGTATTTGGTCATCCGAGGAATTTGCGACTACGCTGATTCGCACAGGTCCGAGCTCTGGCACGCATACGCCGCAGCAGCTGCGGCAGCATACGCAAAAGAGGTCCTCTCTCTCATACCTACGGTATCTAAGACGATGTCTCTGGCCACAAACTCGTACGCTGAGGCCGCGCCTATTCTTGACGCCTTGCTTCTGACAAGACCCGAAGTTGATCGGAAGTCCCTTATTGCATTGAAAGGGCGGAGGGCTGACGGCACATGCGAATGGCTCATACAGCATCCCCATTATCAAGAGTGGCTGAAAGATGCGAATCGCCCACTCCTCTGGATCGCAGGTGGTCCTGGAAAAGGGAAAACTATGCTGGCGATTTATATCACCGAGGTGCTACAGCCAATGGTTGACGCCGCCGACAATGTCCTCCTCTACTACTTTTGCAGTAACCGCGACAAGAATCGGAACACCGCTTTGACCATCATGAGAGGAATCCTGCATCAATGGATCAACCTCCATCCGCATCTGGCTAAAGAAATTCAAAACTCATTCAAAGGGGCGGAAACAGCCAAATATACGATTTCCAGTTTTGTCGTGTTGTGGAGGGCTTTCCTGACTCTACTTCAGCAGAGCACGTCTTCCCAGGTAGTCTGTGTTCTGGACGGCCTGGATGAATGCGCAAAAGAATCACTCAGGCAACTTCTTGATGCCTTCGAGAATTACTTTTCGAAGGCTGGGGAAAGGGCAAGGTCACCACTGAAGCTCATCATCCTCTCCCGACCTCAGCCGGCTGTGTTGGAGAGCAAACTCGGTCAATCTTTGCAGATTCAGTTAGACACCTCCGACACGGAAATTTCGAATGATGTCGAGAGATACATATTTGCTAAAGTTGCCGAACTGGCATCTGAGCAAAAACTTTCCGAAGAGATGGTCACGCGGATTCAGCAGACCTTGCTGGCTGGCGCCGATGGGACTTTTCTGTGGGTTGGATTCGTTGCCAATGAGCTTCAGGGCAGGAGTTGGAGCAAAATCGATGAAGTTCTCCGCCATGTTCCTAAAGGCCTGGGTGGGATTTATCAGCGACTTCTTCAGCAGATCGGCGACAAGGAAGCCTTGGTCCCCATTCTTTCATGGGTCGCTCTCGCTGCGCGGCCGCTCACACTGGAAGAATTGACCGTGGCTGCTGGGATCAAGAGGACTGGTACTCTTCCAGCAACGCAAGTCACCAAGAATCGTCTTAGTATTGGCGGGTTGCTTGTGAAGGTCAAAAGAGATGTCGTAAACTTGGTTCACGAGTCGGCAAAGGAGTTTTTTCAGAGCGATCAAGTCAACATCAAAGGGATTAAAATGTTCCATATGGGCCAGGATACTCACAGGACTCTCATGCAGACCTGTTTAGCACATGTTGAACGCGAATACGGAAATCCTGCAAGGGTTCACGAAATGTCTGGCCATGATCCCTTCTTATCTTATGCCAGCCAATACTGGCCGGTGCATTTCCAACATGCCATTTATGTGGCCGATACACTGTCCGAGCTCTCACGTCCATTCTTCAAAGTCGAATCTCCGATCCGGGACGAATGGTGGAAAGCCTATTGGGAGCAGGAGAAGAACGGCGGAAGCCCACCCTCCTTCACACTCTTGCATTTCGCGGCATACTTTGGCAACGTACCCTGGGCTAAGCTGTTGATCAGCAAGCATGCCCGCCTAATTTCGCGAAAGGACAACTACGGCCGGACGCCGCTCTCCTGGGCTGTTAACCAAGGCCACCGAGAAATGGTGGAACTGTTGCTTGACCATGGTGCGCGTGTCAATTCCAAAGATCGAAGCATGTTGACGGCACTCCATATTGCGGTCACCGGGCAGCACCTCGACGTTGTGCCTGTGCTGCTCGAACACGGCGCTCATCTTGAGGCCAAGGCGGAGCATGGCGACACAGACACGCCGTTGGTGCGAGCCATTCTGGCGAATTCGAGGGAAATGACGCAGGAATTAATTGAGCACGGAGCGCGCGTGGACAAATTACCAGCTCTTCTGGGAGTTACTTTCTTGAAGGGACCTACTGATCCGGTGGACGAACGGGTGAAAGAGTTACTTGGGCTCCACAAGCAGGTCTTCCTCGCACGCTTCAAGCGTTCGTCGCGATTTGTCGACCTGGTCATGAAAGGGCTGGGCCTTTCCATCCGCTTTCCCCTCATTCTCGAATTGATGTCCTTCTATCTTAAGTTTGTGACATTGAACCGTTGGGACAGTCTGTCTGTACTGCAGGAGCTCGTGCAGGAGAACAAAACGGACGAGCTGCGAGAATGGGCGAAACTGTACCATGTGTTCTTCTTGGGGCTGGTTGTCGCCAGGGATCCGAAAAGGCTGAAGGCCATGGGCGACCTATCGACGCAGATCTTGCAGAAGGCTGCACCCAAAGATCTTCAGGCACTGCTAGCCATCACGGTCTTCACCGGTATGGAAACGAAACTCGCGGCTGTCCGACACGGATGGAGAGAAGGAGATGCCATCACAGCTGCGGCAATTTCAGATTGGGCTACCATCGCCTGCGACAGAGACGCATTGGAATTCTTTCACTTCGGTATCCGCGAGTTTTTGGCCGATTTCGACGGCTCTGTTCGGAATGGGGATCAGGAGGAGGACGTATTTCGGACGACCTTACTCATGACGGGCCACTCCACCATGATCGACAAACAGGAACCAGGGCCGATCGAATATTTCTCCCGAGTCGTCGCAGAGTTCTTCGAAGGATACATTGGCAGCAGTTACGAGACTGAATTGTTCAGCAATGCGAACCAGGCATGCGCTAATGAGCTAGTCGTCATCAGCCAAAGTCGCGACTCTGCCAGATTGTGTCTCTTTTTGACCAGCATTTTCAAGTTCGCTCAGCAGGCCAATGAGAAGGGTCAGAACCGCTTTCTCAACATACCGCCGGCAGCATGCTTGATCCTCTGCCAGGAGAACGCCACTGCTCACCGATGGCTGATTGGTGAGGCCATCCCGGAGGAAATAGGGGCGTTGGTTGCCAAGGAACCTCCGGGGTCGCTGCAGAAGCGGGCTTGTAAGACATTTGTGGAGTGCCTGATAATTGGGAAGCAGTATGGTTTGACATTACCTAGGGGCTTACAGAGACAAAGAGTGGAACAACATCTGAAATCTTTTCCGGGAGTCGGATATATGATGAATCGTATTCTTGATTCATGAAGTATTGCGTAATACTCCTGCCTGAGAAGTGACAGAGCTAAGTCACGAGGAAATTTGAGCCTTCGTTCATAATTATGCTTTACGTGTCGCCTTTGAGATCAATATTAAGATAAATTCTAGTCGAAAGACGTTCATTTACAGGGGAAGCGTCTGGATGTACCTTTAACTCTTCATTCACGGACATGAGCGCCGGAATTGTTTTCCTTTGTTTTTCTGCTCAGAGATCTTCTTATCGAAATCGCTGCTATAGTTAGACATCAGCCATGTCACATTCCCAACGTAGTCATCAAAGCTCAAGGCTGGTCGGTAAAACTCACTTCAATTCTGTCACTCCTCACCCTCACCTTGGGGGGCCGAGGTCGCTATCTTCCACCTATGAGCCGTTTCCACCAATCCGTTCGGCCTGAACTTGCTTTGCGCTTATTGTGATTTGTTTGGTGTGCAGGCGCTGGCGAGCGTGTCGGTTTACTTGAAGCTGCATGTTCCGCAGAAGATGGGATTGACGAAGCGGGAACATATGAGGACGGTCGGTCTTGCCGATGGGAAACAGGTTGGTCCGGTATTGGTAGAGTCGATTTGTCCGATACGAACCAGGCTTGTTGATCCGGCGCAGACGGTTGACTTTGCACTCTAAGTGCCTGACGAATCTGGCGCTCCACCTCAGGGTCGGTATCTCGCTTCCGGTATCCTGCTTGGTTGAGCCGCAGTAAAACATCACCAGGCGAAATGAATTCTTCCCAATTCTTCCACCCCGAGGGGAGAATGTTGGGATCCGCACCCAGGTCAAGAAGCAGATCCATGATGGAAAGCATGCCCTTCTTCACGGCGTAGTAGAGTGCAGTTCTCCTTCCAGAGTTTATGCCATTAATGTCGTGACCATATCTTAACAGAAGTTTGATCATAGGGACGCTGCCTATGGTGACAGCTTGGCGAAGGCTTGAGACGGCCCGGCAACAGCGCGACTTGCTGAACGCTAGGTTGGCGGTGGCTTTATGGGAATGGCTTGTCGGCTCGCGATCCAGCCATTCTTCCGCAGTGAGGCCACTTTCGTCGATCAGGGTCTGAGGCTGTTGAATAACAGATTTGTCGAGCAGGATACGGACGATGGCTAGATCTCGACTGTGAATGGCCAAATGAAGAACGGACCAGCCGTGGTTGTCCTGCTGAAAGGCAATGGATCGGATACGGTCGTCTTCTAAGAGGCACAGGACGACATGAGAGTGCCCCATGAAGGCGGCGTGGTGTAGTACAGTCCAACCGTGACACGTTGACCTGAGTGGATCAGCTCGCTGGAGAAGCAATTTCACAATGGAGACATGCCCTCCATTTGCAGCGCAGTGCAATGGAGACGTGCCGTAGGAGCTGGCAGTATTGGGGTTGGCCCCAGCGTTCAGCAACAAATGCACAATCTCCAGATGGCCCTCCTCTGCTGCCCAATGTATCGCAGACCAACCATCGCGATCACGATGGTTCGGGTTCTCACCACATAGAAGGAGTAATCGAACAGTGCAAAGGTCACCAGAAGCTGCCGCCTCTTGCAAAGGCAGAATCTGCTGCGTATTTCGGGTACCAGATATGCTGGCACGGTGTTCAACAAGCATTTTAGCAATCGAAGACCAGCCCAGTTTGGCTGCCCAAGCGAGTGCAGACTTTCCATCCGCGCTGAATGAATTGGCATCAGTGTTCATGAGCAAAAGTCCCGTAGTGACGCCTTCTTGCCCGGCAACCACAGCCCAGAGAAACGGGGAAAATCCAGAGTTGTCATTGATATATAAATTGGCGCCGTGCTTGACCAAGACTTCCATGCACTCCGTAAAACCCCTCTCCACAGCGTAATGCAGGGGCGTTTGGCCATTTTCGTCCCTAAAATTTATACTTGCACCGCCCTGGATTAAGAACTCAACCAAGCCCAGATCGCAGGTCTGCACCGCGTGGTGAAGCTTCATCATCCCCAAGTCGTCTTTGTCCTCGAGGTCAAGTACTGTCACCTGCGCACTGATGTCCTCCTCGTGATGTCCCACATTGCCATTTGCAGCCTCAGCGTCATCGTCCTGAAAATTCAGGTCCTCGTCGTCTAATACGCTGTACATGGATGCACGTGGATTTCCTAAAGCCCCGGCCAGTCCACCATCTTCTAACGATTGGTCGCTATCGACACTCCTGCGTTCTCGTCATCATCGCTGGGAATCTTTTGCAGTGTAAGCAGAGCGATTTCCTTCATATGACCGGCGACGTGTAACTGGAGAGCTTCACTCAAGAAGACAGCGCTGGATTCGACTTTTCCCGATGGTTGAAAATCATCGCCAAATGGACACTCCAGCACCTTATCAAGGACTGGCCTCCGTGCAGCGTTGCTGAGGGTCCCGGCGTGCGCTTCTGGCACACCGTGCTCCTTGATGGAATGCTCCTGGTACTGGATCTGTTGCTCAAAGACGATTGGCTTGTGAGAAGGGGCCCTGCACTCCCATGTATGCCCGTGAGCAGTCTGCATGTGGCTGGACCAGGCTTTCGACGTTTCAAAAGTGAGCGGACCGGTCGCGTGCCCGTGGTGACCTCCTTCGAGGCAGTGCGAAAAAACGCAAATATAAGGCTCCAGGTCTCCAATGACATGATTTCTAGTGCGTATTAGCTACAGGTTACCATGTAAACACAGGGTTTTTATGCTTACTGCCACAGCAGTGACCGTGTAGTATTTTTGAACTCAAGAATGACGCCACAGTATGGACACTGCTGCGTCGACGGTATGGGAGGGAACGACAAATTGTTGTTCACGAGAACAGATTTAGCCCTCGGAACATCTGTTGTTGATTTAGCGTAGAAGGCCGCAACGGCAGTTTGTCGAGCAGTAGTCGCATTCGTTGCTGGCGCTGGCGAAGGGGCCGGGATTTGCATTTCGTTGGTCCTCGTAGGCTTTGGCAGCGTGCTCGGTGCAAACCGTACAGCCGGTATACTCCCCGTCAATTTGGGGAGTTGAACAACGGCCGGAGTCGTTTCCGGGATCTGAATACTCAGATCAATGCGCCTTCGATGCGAGCGCTGATAATACAGCCGTCGAAGTCGCATCGCGTTGGCTTCGACCAAAGCTGAGCGAAGCGCCTCTGGCGCCTCCGGGAATCGGAAATCAATATAGCATTTTGTATAGAGACGCAAGTCGTCTATGGCCGTGTTTGCCTCCTCGTCGTCTGTGTACCTCTCGATTTTGCGAGCCCGGTTGGCTTTAGCGGACTTTCGAACGGCGTTGGATAGACGGAAGAGCCGCGTCAATGTTCCGCCGATTGTCTCGGTGATCTTTGAAATATTCTCTTCTGCTGGATCAACATCGCTCTCTGAATCGCTTGTGTCATCGTCGTCTCTCCTCCTGACTCCCGAATTGCCATGTACTGCAATGCGTTGTCTCTTCCTGCTCGAAATTTGTGGTGGTCGGCCGTCGATTTGCTTCACTGGGTTGTCGAGACTTGGCATCAGACTTGGTCTTCAATCTACCCGAATGTGGTACGGAAAGTACTCACAAGACAGCAATGTATCGTAAATAATATCCAGGAGCTGATGTATGATGTCGGAGGCTATGGGACTGAATCGGAGCCTGTAGTCCAGCGAGACATTGGGCGGCCCGTAAACATCCATGTTTGATGCCCACAACGAAAAGCGTGCGAGCTGGTCGTCCATGAGAGAAGGGTCTGGCACGATCTCCGGCATGACCATGTACTTGTTGAAAAGAGACTGGCACTGTGTCGCATGCTCTGCGATCGTTGTGGTAAGGTCATCTTGGAGAAAGACATCTTCCATAGACTCGTCTCCCCCGCGTTCGAGACCTTCCATGATGAGAGGGAGCGGTGCGGGCGGTCGCGGGTCCTTCTGAGTACGGCAACGATCCAGGAAGCCGACCCTGGTCTCTGCATGGAAAGGAGGTTCCAAAGGTCGTGGGTAAGCGAATCGTGACCGAGGGCTATGAAATTGTCGGGTAAACTCGAAGCGTCAGATGATGTGAAAGCAGCGTGTGTGTTGGGCGCTTCCAAGTTACGAGTTCATGCCCCGCCTCAGCCTTCTAACAACGGGTTACGGACATAAGCAGCGGTATATGAGGTACAACCCGGCCCCTTTCATAAATTACCATTTATTACGGACCCTCAGTAACGTTCGAATTATCTACGCAAGAACGCACTGGAAGGGGCCGGTAAGTACACGCGCATTGACCTCTCACAATCAGCGGCTCGGCAGCTGTACTGGCCAGATCAACATGCACGACTTGATTGGCCCGAGAGCTTGTCCGGCCTGGAGAGTGTGGTAAAAGAAATGAGAAGAAAGGGGATTCGACTGCAGGGATACTTGGGTGATTGTTACTCATCGGGCAGTGCCTAAAGAAGCGAGCCTTTTCAGTACACTCTTCTTCGCCTTCGATCATCTCGCTCGGTCCTAAGGGGAGCTCGGTTTTTGAAACTGAATCTTGAAGCCATGTCCTTTCCGAAGACATATTTTTTGTGTCCGACATCCGATTTCATATCTCCACCACCAACGGGCCCGCTGTCTCTTGGGTCTATAATTCGCTCTACGTCCGCGCCGCAATACCCTCTGAACAGAGCCAGCGTTGTTGCCGTTGCTGATTCATTCCCACCTATTGTGGAGACCGACTGGAAGAAGACTATTTCAACCGAGACAGGGCTCGGTTTGGGTGTCTATGCACAGTTCCTGCAGCTGGCAGTTGGTGGGCTGCCCCTTGGTCCCGAAGTGAACGTTGAGCATTCGAACAAAACGGCAAGAACGTTCGCGTTCGACACTATGACGACCTTGGCGTTCGAGCCGACCCAGGAATACGTGGAAGAGGCCATCAAGGCACCGGCCGTGCAGACATGGCTGAGAGAGCCCAGGCAGAAGTTCGCACTCTTCAGCGAGCTCTTCGTCGTCACGGGCATGAAGCTCGTTAAGGGCGCCAAGATCAAATATTCGACTTCGCAAAGCACGACCGTCAAGGGGAACCTCGGCATTGACGTGACCGCGTTGGGCATGACCTTTGGGCCGAAAGGTCACTGGACTAGCACGAATGATGATGCGACAGAGCTTAATCGCGAGAAGGAATTTCTGTTTGCGTTCCGCGTGAAGAGGCTCAAGTTTGGGCGGAGAATGAAGCTTGAAGAGTACAATAAGGGCGCCTTAATGACCGTTGATGGGAAGAAAGATGACGACGGATGTGTTTTGGTTGAGGACGTAGATGGAGCTGATATCAGGACTGCTGAGGCTGTTCCCGATGTGACCGAGAACGGCAACGTCTATTGCGTTCCCGCTTAATCATGCTAAACGAATATTGGACTGAAAATGAGATAGACACCAGTGAACCATGTGTGACTGGAGGCTGAGTAAACAATTTCCTGGCTTCTACTAGTATCTGTACATATTCCTCTTAATATCCTTGATTCTCCCGTAAACATCCTCCCTTGTCAAACCGCTGTCAAAGAGCACATGAGGCGTGATGTAATCGTAGCCTACCCCCCGCCTCTGTTTTACCATACTCTTGAATACCGCATCCATTGAGTTGTCCCGTTTCAGCCATGGACTCAGCCTTTCGCTTTCTACTGCGATATGTTGATCCTGCTGCCGGACAAAATGCAAGACCGACGCGGCTAGGCCAGCGGCGATCGGTGTTGCGACCGATGTTCCTGACATAACATTCACAATCTGATTGTGTCCTTTCATGCCAGCCGGCCAGTGAGAAGAGACATGTTCCCCAAGTAGACTGAAGTTGACGTCCGTTTCGCTTGCTGTAGGGTTGAAATCGGAGGGATTGCCCCTTCCATCGGTTGAATGTATACAAAAGACGCTGGGATATTGAGCTGGAAAAGCTCTGCCAAGATTTGCTCCATCATTCGATGCTGCCGCGAACAACAATGTCCGCTTGTTTAGTGCATTAGAAATAGCTGTGCTCATGAGCTCGTGATATTCACGAATTCCGAATGACATTGATATAATGTCCACTTTCCATTGTTCAACTGCGTGATCGATAGCCTATACAGGGTATTAGCTCAGTCTAAAAAACTGCTATGGCATAGAGATAGCCTTGCCTTTGCAATGTCATTGTAGGTATTGGGATCCAGGGTCTCTCGTCGTGCAATTCTGGCGACATAGATCTCAGCACCTGGGGCAACTTTGAGAAGGAGGCCAAGAGCATGGGTGCCGTGTCCAATCTCGTCTCTCATGTCGTGCGGTCCTGTTCCATGCACAAAACTTCGTGCTTCCTTGATTCGTGGGGTGGCTCGTAATTGGTCCTCGATTAGGAATGGGTTTTCAGGGTCGATTCCAGAGTCCAAAATCGCTATTCGCACCGGTTCGACAAGTTGAAAATTTAAATCAACATAGGGATAAAGCGAGGACAGCAGATTATCCATCCATTTTTCTGACAGTGCATTCCTGGCAGGTCGTTAGTACGACGAAGTCTTATATCCAAATGGGAGATACCACACCCTTGTTCAGGACCCGTCTGGTGGCTTGCATCAAAAAAGTACAAGCTTTTCTCTGAAGGCTCGGTGAGGTCTCCGTGGGCTTGCGACCCTGTAGAAGGTCGTGTCGATATCTGTAACATGATATCTGAATCAGGGGATGCGTAGCTCACGGGCGGGGTTTCAGACATTAAACGATGTGGACCTGCCCTTGCAGTATTTTTTGCATTAGATGAATCTACCTTGCCTGTATGGAGGCGGACAACTTCTCGACCTATAGAGCCCCAGCAGGATTCATTTTGTCGAGAATCGAATGAACCCAAATTCTCTAATCGAATACCCCATGCCTTGAATATCACGGCCTCAAGTCGTTTGACGACGTTTTGGTAGAAGAGCCGCTGAACACCGACATCCTCGAAGTCAGCGTGTTGTCCAAGGGGATAGTATTCGCCAGTAAGGCATGCCTTCGTAGCAAGGTAGTAATCCACGCCAGCGTCGTCTTCCAGAGTCTGAAGCTTATCGAGACAGGTATAAAAATCATCATTGATGTTCCTGACAACATGCTGGTCCTTCGCCATCAGCTCTACAGGTGTGCAATAGTGAAGCTCGCACAAGAGTATCCCTAGGGCTAGCACACTGGCGTTGGGATGGACTATATGCTTCGAGGTGCCAGAGCTGTCTCTAGTGTCTGTACTGCGGGCTGATATGATTGGAACGTGCTCCAGAGCCAGAAAAGGTTTCGTGATGTTAGGGAGTTCTCCATCCTGCCGTGGTTCAAAAAACTGGATCTTTGAGTGATTGACGGAAAACTGCAGCCACGGTGTTTCCAGGAAGGGAAGGAGCGCTGAAGCTAGTGTAACGGCTAGGACTCGCTTCCCCTTGAGTGGCAGTACTGATTCACCACGAAGTAATTCTTGCTGACGATTGAACAATGCCGACAAGGATACTGCCTGAGATATTCGGTCACTACCAAATGTCTTTGGTTGCGGGCGAAGCCTCTGAAATGTCCCATCCTCGAGAGCGAAATGCAAGCGATTTCGCTGACCAAGGGACTCTGTGATACTCTGGCATAAGTGGGCAAAGTCGGGTGGGCTGCTAAGTATTGGCTCAGATGAGCGTCTCAATGTGCTGTTGTGTAGGTCTCTGCACCGCCAGCGTTAGCGAATAGAAGTCACCACACAAAGCTTCGAGAGCCTACTTGACCGTTATTTTAGCTTCTTGCAATGCAGTTGCAGGTACGGACCGCACGCCGAAGAATACTTCGAAACTCGCCTCAGCCTCGAGATCCTTTTTATGTTGTGGCAGCGACAGTCTCACGCTCAACCCTGAGCACTTCTGGCAAACGCAAACCCAGTGTCTTCGCAACGCATTATCCAAGGACACCAAATGTCTCCTCATCAGCACAGCAAAGTCGGCATCGGGGTTTTCGAGATCGGACTCATGAGTGGGCTCTTCGCGAGGGAGAACTCGGCGCTTCTTTCTGTCTTGTTCCAAATGCAAAAGTTCCTGAATGGCATCGTCGCATTTTCGTCTCCGTTTACCAACGCGAATGACAGTACCTGGGTCGTCATGCGGATCGATATTCGGACTCTCAATCATGCGGCGAAGCTTCGGATATCGTTCATGTCCGGATTGTTGGAAGCTCTGCTCCGCGAGATAATGTTAGTAGGCAAGATGTGAGAGGCCGACGGACCGAAAGACTGGAGCTTGCTGTATATCAAAAATACCTACAAAATCTATCTCTCGATCAGAGTCATCTTGAACAAGATGTTCAAAAGCGCGCAGAGTCCTTGCAACGCTCTCTGGTTCAGCTTCGACAATATTATCGCGCTGCAGAAATGCATCCGTCCGTAGCCAGGCCTCGCGTTTTCGTGATCTCAGTGACGCCGGCTTTACCGACCTTTGCGGTTGTCTTCGAGTGAATAATCCAAGCACGGATTGCAGTAGGCTTTGGGAATCAGTGTCGTCGTCCATAGTTGTGCCTTCAAACTGACGGGTTTGCGGATTTCACTGCGATTCCTTGGCTGGAAGAACATTGATCGATCAGCGGAAGTGTGCTGCGTAATGATCAGAACAGGCTGTGCTACATTCCCAGAACCCCAGGACGACTTGGCGTGCTCGGTCTACGATCCTGTGAGGATTCTCCCTTCTCCTTCGGTTTAGCGCCCAGACTTAGTCTGCTACATACTAGGAGTTAGTTGCTCAATAAGAACACGGTATGCATCCCATCTCTCAAAGATCCTTCACTGCAACCGAGACTGATCAGAACTAATGAGTGCTGGCCCCGGAGATAAGCAAATCTCTCCCTTGTGTAGAACTTATGCATATCCCGTCGGCTACCTTTGCGGCACAGCACAAGTCATTGTAAAAGTCGGCGCTCGATCTAAAACCCGGAGGCGGCCATCGGAGGGCTTAGTGTCTCGCGTTAGGTGGAGTGCGGCAATTTTGCTATTGGCAGGAATACGACCAGTCAACTCGAAAAGAAACGAAACCATAGGAAGAAGATGGGAGGGATGTGTCTACATGAACTGGCTGTTGGGGTATGACGTTCAGTAGGCCCACATGCTATAGCCATGTTTCCAATTACAAACGGTCAACGTTTGATCACTTTACCTTTGACCCATCACTCTGCCTTAGCCACCAACAAATATCCAATGAATGGTTTTAGCCCCCACGCTAACTCTGTCAACAACCTCGGATATGTCTTGGCGCTCCACTCCCGCGCAGATCAAGTTTGCCTTGGCGGCAAGTGATAATGGCCCCTAAGTGAATGGCTTGAGTCGTTACTACGACTAAGATCCTATCAGACACCGTTACGGATACTTGTCTGTACTCATGCTGCTCTCTAAATCCTTTTACGGGGAATTATTTGAGTATTTAAATTACACTTATCAGTAGCTGTTCCGATACCTTTATGCCAGTGATACTCGTACCTTAAATTTGGTTGGATGTATTCAAAGGTTTCCGTATTTCTGGCATATCAATAATTTGACGTGAAATAGGCTTAAGCAATCCACTTATACGCAGGCTAGAGGAGAAGACTGATTGAGAGCCAGTCTGTCTCGTCGCATGTTCATTGCTGTACCTCTTCTTTGATTAATTGCTTTGCTCATCCACATCAATGCGCGTAATGTTCCAGAAAGTCGACCTCGTCCTAAAAATCCACGGGACTGCAGAGGTCACCTGAACTAACGATAAGTCACTTGCAGGGGAATTGGCGCAGCTAATGTGGGCGGGCTGATCCGTTTCCTGATGGGGTTTCATTGGGTATGCGGGGTTAATTTCGAGAGTGCACTGTTGGGAGTTCGAAATCATACCTCTGGCACAATTTATTTTAGACCCATGCTTCAAACTGAGCATTCTAAACGAGACAGTCAGGGGTTAGTGTTTGGGAATGCCCTTCCGCCGGCGCTATAAATTGGAACTGAACCCGACCCCTATCGAAGGTGGATGTGATGACCTTGCTAGCACATATATATGGAGGTAGTTTCTCCACTTTTTCTTATGAGGGCCAATCATACAGTTTGAGGCTAACCAGGATGCCATCCTGGCATGAACAGCCTGATTTGGTTAGTTTCTGTTTAGTCCGTTATGTACATACACGTATGCTGTCGGAGCTGTCACAAGTAATGAAAAGTTGCGGTCAGCAATAAATACATCAAGGCACTTTGGTGTGGTGGAATCACGTGTCCGGGGTCGTGGACAGCACCAGTGTCATGAAGTTAATTGAAAAGACCAATACGGGTCCAGGCTGTTGCCAGAGATCATCGACAGGTATTCATAGGGTAGGAGATACCCCCAAATGCCTCTAGTATTCCGTTTTCACCCTGCTAGATCCTTTTTACCGGATGACCGTGGCGGGTTTGAATATGGCGTGCCGGATTGCTGCATGTGGGGCTCTGCAACGGGACGAACGAGGCTGGCGCTTAGCAAAAAAAACCGAATAAAAGGACAGCAGCGCAAGAACAAAAGCAAGAGGAACACCTCTTTCTTTATCTTGCATTGATACTCACTCTCAAAGTCCGGCGAATGGCATCCTCTCCACGTCTTCGAGTTTCGTCCCTGCAGCCGCATGAGATGCACAAAGGGCGGGGAATGGAATCCATCAGCGACACCGCATCCAAGGGCGGCAAGGCAGGACGCCCAGTTCTTCTCTCGTTTAATGAGATGCCAAAATGGTTCCAACATGATTCTAACAAGTGGATTCTCCGTGGCTATCGGCCCATCTCAGGCTCGGCTCAGGCTTCGTTCTGTAGTTGGTCGTATATCCACAACGAGTCAGTCAACATCTATTCCCATCTCATACCGGCCATTTTCTTCCTGCTTGGCGAGTGGTATATCCAGCAGTATCTTGCCAGCAGATACTCCGGGTTTACTGGCGCTGATTTTATTGCTTTCTCCATCTTCATGTTGACGGCTGTCACGTGTTTGTCGTTGTCGGCGACATACCATACCTTGATGAACCACTCCCAATACGTGGAACATTTCTGCTTGCGACTGGACATGCTGGGTATAGTGATCTTTATATTGGGCGATCTTGTCTTGGGAATATACATGATTTTCTGGTGTGAACCTTTGCCACGCAATATCTACTGGTCTATGGTTAGTTCATCTCCATGTGTACAGTTTTGTTTTTCCTCATCTCAAACCTAGTACTTGAGTCTGATATTCTTCTTTCCTCGGTCGATAGATTGGTGTTTTTGGGACGTTGACCATCTTTATGACAATGCATCCCAAGCTCCAAGGCCCAAAGTATCGCCTCTTCCGAGCATTGATGTTCGTAGCAACTGGCTTATCCGGCATTGCGCCTTTAATTCACGGTCTCAATGTGTTTGGCATGTCGCAGATGATGAAAAAGGCTTTCCCCTATACTCTGGCAAAAGCAGGCTGCCTTCTCTCTGGGACTTCGTTCTATGCAGTAAGTCTCCCGATTTCTCATATATAAGAGAAATTTACCTTAACACATGTGGTTCTGAAGACCAGGTTTCCTGAAAGTCGATATCCTGGCAAATTCGACCTGTTGGGCTCCCATTCTATCTTCCACATCCTGGTGGTATGTGCTGCTGTGGTCCAATTAATGGGGTATTTGGATGCTTTCGACTATGCGCAGGCAAATCTTACTTGCCCATCTCTTTGAATCATGCTCTCCAAGTGTAGGTTTCTTTGAGTATTGTCAAGTTTAGCTTTAGTGAACGGACCCATGCATAACGTGATCAACCTGGAGAACTGGGAGATGACGCTTAGGTTGAAAAATTGGGAAGTCAGAGGTAAGATTGAAGGATATATACTTAGTCAGCTCCTACGATTCTCCCTTTTCTTCTTCTTTTCCTCTCCATGTTTGATATCACTCCAATCCAAGATCTACCCCTCCCTTACTAGTGTGCAGAGAGTAGCTAGCTGAGATTGAAACACATATTATGACTCATACTCCCTAGTCAAGTAGACCCCTTTTAATTAGCAATCCGAAGAAATTCAACATATCATACATTATCTTACTCCTGCTAACTACCCTAGCATTCTTCCAGATTCCAAAATCCCTCTCCAGATCTCTCAAGCCTTACCGAATACTTCCGTTATAGAAGTATGATAGAGATGTAGACTCATATCCCCTATTACCTAGGTACTGTCATGAACGTGAGACCATTATAGAGTCGGCACCAAGATGGAAGAGAGGGTTTTGTGCACGACGTGACTGAGGAGGGGATGATAAGTGGAAAATTCTCTTATTTCCTCTCATTCTTTCCCCTTTTATTCTACTCTCTGTGTTTTTCATTATTCGGCAATGGGACCTTTATGTGCAGTTTCATGCAGCTCTATATCGTAGAGAAAAGCTCGCGCGTCACAATTACCTCACCAAATCATCATACACTTTTCCCTTGGACAAAACTCTGATCAGCCAGCCTCTCTTTATATTACTTTGACAAGTTCTCTTAATCTATCTGAGACCTAATCAGTATTAAGTCTAATATTTTATCAAGGGTTATAAGCCTTTTTCCCCTATTTTTCACATATATGAAAGAAGTATCACTTTCTGGGCTTATATTTTGCTACGTATAATGTGCCACAAATTACCTAATCATTATCCTGGCTGTAATCAATTCAAGAAACTTTTCTACATAGAAGTTTTGGGGGATATCTGGTCAATAATTAGCTCTGTGCCCTATTGGTCTCTAAGCCCTTTTTAAACTTAGGCTTATTCTCCTTTCTCTCTTAATTAGGTGTATACTAGTAACAAAGTTCTGATAGGACTCTCCTCTAGGTATATAGCCAGATAGTATAGGATAATAGGGTGGGCTTTGTAATATGTCAATAATTTCAAAATTCGATAGAAGTAAACTTGAAATCGGATTGATTACCAGGCCCCTTAGCCCTCAATTGCTTTAATGATGTCGCTCATACCAGCTTTTCAGAAAAGCTTTCGAACGAGGGCTGCAAGCCTTTCAGTCCTGATTTGTTTTCTAGCCTCTTTAGTCAGTGGTGCTCATATACCATTTAAAAAGAGAATTACCAACATTCCTAGTCATTTCAGACCGGGAGTGTGGCATACTCTTCTCGGTTATCGTCTCGGTCTCCTTCCGATTTCGATGCAAGGTATACTTCTGGCACATCAAAATTCGCCAGCCTACCCCGTGTCACGCCCTACGCTACCTCTATGGTTACCAGACCTAAAGCTATCAATGGCACATCGCAAGTATCCATATCGAGTGGAAGTGAGGCTCCCTCAAGCCACAGCAAGCCTTTTAAGTCCTCAATCAACAATGCACAAACATCGAAAACACCTGAAACTTCCATTCAGACAGCTCAATCTTCAAATAAGAAAACTGAAAGTTTTTCACTTTCTGTGACAGGGCTTCTCAGCACATCAGCAAGTTCGGTGCCTGGGACCTTCACGACGGACGAGACATCCAAGTCAAGTGACGACGGCTCCGATACTACATCTCATGAGGGAATTTCCACGACAACATACATAAGTTCATCAACCGAAGAGGGAATCGTACCCCTAGTGACACACTCGTCACGCTCAGTGACATTGGTCACAACGGTAACGGACATCACGAGTAATTACCATACGTCCATAGTTGGAACAGATCATCATACAACTTTCATTCCAATTGTTGGTGGATCTCATTTTTGGGATTGTAATAACTTCTGGGAAATTTATCTAGATATGCTAATCAATAGAGAAAAAAAGTTCTGTCCTCCAGATACCAATGTAGGGTTCGGTCTTTTTGGGATGGGTTCCCCAGGTGTATATCCACCAGGTCCAGCACCTCCCGAATTTCCATCTCCCCTTCCCGCTATTACAGTCAATTCGATGGGAGAACCTTCGTATTCTAGCACAGAATCGGAGCCAAAATCCACTGAAGAGTCAAGCGTATCTTCGTCAACGTTGTCCTCTTCGACGTCTTCACCCTCGTGCACGATTACAGAAACGGCGTCTTCCTGCACTTTGATAACAAGCTACGGAGTAGATGCTGACGATAGTACTACCTCAACCCTTACCACCACTTCATGCACCCCTGTCAGTGGCTGTACTGTTACGGGAACTACTGAGACTGGTCTCACTACTTCGACAGCGACGGCCGGCTGTTACAGATTTCCGGATGATTCCACCGCGGAATTGAAGCGCGATGTTCACGAAGACAACACCGGCTTCCTTGGTTTCTCGCTTGCAAGAGGCCGAGAAAAGGGCTTTTCTGAATTCGGAGGTTGCAATCTTGGCATTGGGGATGACCAGATGTTTTATCCAACGCACCCAGGCCCGGGAAAGATCGTGGACTTCATGAAAGAACGAAATACCCCATTAAAGGGATTATACATTGTCCCAGAACAGGATTGTGGAGTTGCGCCTAAAGTTTCATTACTTTCTAACTTTGATACTTTAACTTCGCAAGCCTATTATGACCAGGACAAGAAGAAATATGCTGCCATGGGTGAAAGCAAGTCGCCTTTTGTTCAAACGGAGCATGTTTGTAAGTTTTAACATCGTAATTCCGTAATATACTATTATATTATACTAATCTGGTTCGAAATTCCGCAGATAAACTGCAAACAGTGCCGGCTTTCCTGGATTATCAGTTCTCGGAAGATTTGATTTCGTAGGAAGATATAAAGAAGGCGTTCTTTAAAAGCGACGACAGCAATCTAGTAAAAGAACTTTTGAATCAGGTATGAGGAGGTCAACACCAGAAGACTCACGCTTTTGTTCAAACTGACCTGATTCTAGCTTCCTAGCTGGGACTTCCCAGACTTTCTTGTTCTCGACAATAATGTCAATCTTTGGAAAGGAAAGGTAGGAATAGGCATTACATGATAAACTCAACGGCTTGTTGATATAATGATATGGTATTATTTACTGAATTCTCAAAAGGCCCGAGCTCCAAGCCCAAAGAGAGAATCAAAGACATCTATAATGTCGCCATGGCATTTGATTATATGCGTATCGAGGACGTGTATACAAAGTTCCAGACCACAAATGCTCATATTTATGAGTTCCCCCGCGATAAATTCGATTCTTGCGGTAATAAATACGTCCCACAGGGTGGATGGGCACCGGCATACTCAAGCTTTATTTCAGACTATCTTTTCTCGAAGGGTAATCATGCCGCCATGGAAATGTCTAAGCGGTGGACATCGGTCAGCAGAGATAACAGGAGCGGCCAAGATGAAACAGATGCTTTATCTCTGCTTACGCAGATATATCCATCTGCAAGCTAGAACTTTGATATCGATACCCTTTAATCATGGCCCGCAGCTGCTAAAGGAAAACGTACAGATGTCATTTGGATGTGACTACGTCCTCGTCAGGTAAACCACTATGTACAGACTAGAGGAAAAAGAGCTCTGACTGATATATTCGATCTAGATAAATCAACGGCGTCTGCCACGCAAACCTCTGAGCAGGTTACCGGAGGATCTTCTACAACGAGTGCACCTACGCCGGGCTCCCCAATCACCTCTCAGTCTTCGTCCACCCAAACCCAAGCACCAATCCATCCCTTCGGGACCGGTGAGATCACCGGAATCCCAGGAACCTCACTGCTTATAGGCAGACCAACTAGTACTAGCTTTTTTGATTATACCTGGCTAACAAACTATGCTCCTCTGTCTTCTAGTGTGGAAATTACCACTCTGCCGCCTGTTACGTGGAGTAGTAGCACTTGCTACCTATGGGAGCCACGGAAAACTTCAATTGTCGATGGTAGTTCGTGTTTGTAATTCACATGGCAGGTAGCAGACATCATGGTGGGCAATTCGGCCAATATTGAACAAGTGACAGCGTTCGACCGCGTCGCCTTTTTACGAGTTGCGAAGCGACAGCCACTTTTTGGGGAAATTTCGCACTCTATCAAGGCCTTGAGTTTTCAAGCTCGGAGAATAATAAGAGCCCTGGTGTCATTTCCGTATGATATTATTTGTTCTTAAATTCGCTCGATGAGCTATTCCAATGATTATTCGCTTAAATTGAGTGACTGGTATCAAATAGGCCGGGGTAACATGAAGCTATCTGGGACAAAGAGAGCTGACTCCAATAATATTGATGAAGTGTTTCAAGAGTTTTTCAAGTTCGAGGATAAGCTGTATCTGTATGTATATTTTATTTGACTGTGCCCCATAATCTACCACATTCGGACATTTTCAGCCCTGGAGGCGCAACTTTGGCAAGTGATGGAGAGCAGACATTAAAAGGAAATAAAGTTGAGTATTTGGGTCCAGAAAGGAAAGATCCAAGATGGTCATCATCGGGTTCCATATGTGGTACCCAGTTCTATCTCTTGGCAAGTCGTTGTATCCGAAATATAATTTCGAATATACTTCCACTTGCTTGCAGAGTTGAAATAATCGAAAGAGCCATAGTTTGAAGGAAAGCTTGATTTGACCCAAAGAGGAAGGAGTTCCCCTTCCGGAGCCGATACGGCAATTATTTGAGGCTTTTCAAGAAACCTTTGGATAATGGCCGGTGTACGACGCATGTGGCGAGACTCTTCCTGGAGAGTTATACGTCCCTCTTTTTCGCTCACATTGCCCTCGTCGCGTTGGTTCGAAATGTTTCGACTAAGTAATGTGTTCGTCACGTCCTTCCGGGTCACGATTCCGAGGACCTGATTCTTTTCTTTGCGGCCGACGAGAAGAAGTTCGTATTTCCTTTCCTGGAAAATCTTTAGAAGATTCAAAGAAGTTGTCTGGGCATGTATGACAGGAATCGGGGTCCAGTCAAAGTTGTAAACTCGCCGACCAGACTTTGCGTTGTATTTGAGTAATTGTTTGACAGAAAGTAACCCTATGATATCCGTACGGTTATCGGGTGCGTGTATGGGGATTCTTGAGTACCCCCGAGCTTTGATACGCTGAAGTGTTTGTGAATCGACTATTGCGTTTGCGGGAAGACAGAAAACGTTGTCTATGGGTGTCATGATGCTCGTCGCCATCTTATCCACTAGCCCAAGTGCTCCGTGGACCATTTTCACTTCGTCGAAGCGGATGCGGTCCTCTGGCCTTCCAATTGTTTCATGCAGAGAAAACAGAGTCATCAGCTCCGTCCTCTTGTAGCCTGTAGAGTGGCTATCGCCGACAAATACATCCAGTAATTTGCCAATGGGCCATGTGACCGGAGCAAGGAGACGCATGCATACTGATACAAAAGGCGCCATATATGCGCCGATGTTGAGGGAGTGACGAGCACAAATGGATTGCGGTATGATTTCGCTGAATATGACGACCAGAATACTACTCCCCATTACCGCCGATAGCCCACCACCAACAATTTGGTCTAATATGACCGGTAAAGCTTCACTGGCAATGCAGTTCCCAAGTAAAAGCGTCACAAGAATCCAATGCTTCCCTTGTGATAGAAGTGTGATGACCTCTTGTGCATTTTTCCGATCGGCGGCTGCGCCGGATAATGCGATCACTTGTAGATAAAGTTCATCTTGAGTCATCAACGCAATAGTGAGGCCCGCGAAGGCCCCGCTGATGAGCACAAGTGTGGCTGAAAGGGATGAATTGAGCCATAGGTCTGTTTCTGCCATGTGCGTTGGGCTTTGGTCGTGGGCAATGAGTCTAAATCAGGACCCGAGCGCTGAAATCGGCTTTTAATAAGATGGAGGGGGAAATTCCATTCGGCAAAATGCCGCTTGTAACTGAAAATTCTAGTGCTACTTCTCGCAGTAATCACATTTAGCGCCACCGAGATGCAATTGTGCTATTTCTGCCGAGGGCTAACCAGTTGAGGTTAGGACCTGAGGATCGCATCGAGCTATATAGGCAAGTGATCTCGTGCCGAGATAGATTCCAGACCCGAGTACGCATACGGAGTACACATTGTGGAGCTTATTTTGCGACCAAGACGATTCTGTATAGGCGCAGAATACATCCCTCGACTAAAATTGCTGAAACTCAATGAGGGCCAGCAGATGTACCACGGGGTGTCATAATCGGCCTTGAATGGCCCGCGGCTCGGGGAGAGTGGATACGTATGGAGCCAAGCGAACGGGTGATGGCGAAGGTGGAGTCGTAAGTTATTGAATATTATACCGTCGACCCTATAGGGTATACGGTAAAGTCATGCAAGATGAGTCTTCGAAACGTCATAACTCAATGGCTCGCTTCGTGGATCAATAAATCTGCAATGGAGAAATATCTTGGGCCTCCCGGGAATGCATGCAGGGATCTGCTAACACTTGGGACTTCAACGGATCCTCATTGAGAGAGATTCGGCAGTTACAGTACGGAGTACATAACGCCATTCTTGAGAACCACTTTATTGGTCCTGGTGCACATGTGAAATTTCCGATTCTGCCCGTTTGCCGATCAGTTCCGTGACTAACTTCAAATAAGGCATTCCGCTCGTGTGGCTAACTTCTTTCAAGTTAGATACCAGTTTCACCTGTGTCCTCTCGTGGGGCTTTCGTTGCAATCGCCGCATGGGTTTTAATTCTGGAATCTGTGATTATCTTTGCCTTACCACCACTTACTGGGAGTTAGTATTTCTGTGTTTGTTTAAATCATTTCCGTACCTCTCAGGACTATAGGTCGAATTGAGGAATAGCGCTGAGAGTTACCAAAATGAAATAAGACAAACAAAATTTGGCATTCAGTAAATGAGGATCTGTCGACCAGCACTTCGCCCTTGACCGATACTTTTCAAAAGATGGGTAATTGCGGCAATGAAGCTCAAAAATTGAAAGATTCAGTTCTTTCAGTTTGAGGATTCTTTTTTGTTGTTTTGCCAAAAAAAAGCAAGTGAAAATACCTCAATGACTTTGTTTGGATAATTAAATGTTTTTCGAGGGACTGCGCTGAGATCTTGGCTTCATTCTTTTTCCTGCTTGGCGAAGGCTTGGATGCTGAACCCCTGAGGGCCCAGATGGCTGGATTCGAATGGAAGACTACTAAGGTCTAGTAGAGCGGCGCCACAGAATTCCACTCTTTGCGTCCGAAACCAGCGGTGTCTTTCGCATACCCCACGAACCACCGATCAAACGCTTTCCGGTTGTACAGATGCTCCGGCGCTGGCCCTTCACCGAAGTAATCCAGAAGGTGGTCGTGGTACATCCAGATTGCCTCGTAGTGTTCCGGCGAGAGGTCCTTCCGATCTTTACGTGCCACAATCACGCTACCGATGCCTGACTGCCACCGGGGTGGTGCAAGTCCCGATTTCGCCTCGACATTGAGGTAAGTGATGATCTGATTATCAAGGTTGCCAAACTCCCCGTTATAACGCGTCCCCAATCGGTGGATGACGATGGGGAAATCGAGCAAGGTCGCGACGGGCGGGACAGTGTTGTTGAAGACGGCGTGGTCTGTGGGAATGGTTGTCGCTTCCCATGGGGGGTCCACCACGATCTCCGGCGCATCGCACGAGCACGGCCTTGACTGTGTTGCTGGATGAGGCGGCTAGGGAAGAGGAGTTTGCGGTTGTGTTCGTGGTTGCGGCGGGTGAGTCGAGGGTGTAGGTTTCACAACTGGTCATGGGACCTGAGGGGGCAATTCTTGATCCGAGTCGGAGTCCGTGTCAATATTGTCCCATTTCGAGTAGTCAATTGGTGGCATGATTGTGGATAGTGTGTCCGAGTAAATTGTGAGTCGGGACGGATTGCGTAGACAAAAGGATGCTATATTCAGTTCTGGTGATCTTGTTATTGGCGTGTCTTAGATTTGTATAGGGGTGAAAATAGGGTGACGATCGATTGTTGTTCTGGAAAATTCTCCGCATGCTGCGTCAAACTTCAAATCCTCCGCCAATTTTTAATCACGTGTGCCCGATTCTATACTCATACATCTTGATTCCAGGTTTTTAGGAGAAGTCAAACAATATCTGGGAGTAATTACGCTATTAGGCCGCTGCCCAGGCTATATCAGAATACCTGCTATTAAGTTAGGGTACGTCTAGTTATTGTTGAAATGTTGATGCCTGAGGCTTGCCTCATGCTTCAGGCATACAGGCCAGCATCCTTTCATGTCTTGATAACATCATACTAGCTCCGCTCTCTTTTTCCCGCCTCTGTTATCCGACCACTTCCTCTCATCGCCTCTCTCCAGGTTGTAGAAACAGCAACGGCCTGGGCACCTGGACATTTAACAGTACTATTCCAGACCAAAATTTTGGCGACATGGCAACAATGCAGTTGCCTACTGATTTACACTACCCCGTCAAGTATATAGTACTCCAATATATTCTGCTTCGCTACTAGCAGTGAGCCAATCTCTATGACGCATACTACTAGTACTAGTAGGGCCCAAGATAATGGTTTGCGACTTGCTAATGGCTATATTAAGGGGAGAGACGATTAGGAGTGGTGATCGGATAAGAGAAGAGAAGACAGAAAGGCTATGTAGACACGGAAAGACAACACGGCGACCTAAATTTCTGAGGCACTCACTGAATAGGATGAAATGATAGTTGTGGTGGGAGATGACGGGTGACACTTGTAGATCACCGACCTCGGAGGTAATTTGTGAGTTCGATGTTGTCTGCGTCGATGATCTCAGATTCATTGGTCAGCGGGGGCCAGGCATTCCAACGGCCCACGGGGCGTCGGATCGTCAGGTCGGTAATATTTACCAGTCCTTAACACATTTTAACAGGTCAATATCTTTCCGGGTTAGTTGCTAGTAATAACTAGTAGCGGTGCCTAGATATACTTTCTAGTAGATCTAGGGTTTCGAATATAAGGAAAATATGCCTCATATCATTACGACTTACCGAGAGCAAATTGAGTACTATCATATGACCTCAAATCCTTTCTTTTTCTATTCTCCTCGCATGATAGAATCTAGTGCGAAATGCTCCCTTTGGCCGCATGAATCTCTTACCCACCTCCCTGGTAACCATATTAGTCCTTAGGGTGTGAGTATTATATTAAGAAATAAAACCTTAATCATGAGATCACATTTTATGGATCTGAGTTGGAAACCTTGGAAGTTGACTGCTATATTTTGACTTTTGTGAAAAAAAAAGGAGAAAGTGCGTAATATGTATATTTTCGCGGGCAAGGGGGTAACTGCTTCTAGTCCTAGCATCTTCATCTTAAACCAGATGTTCATAACACATGGAACCGATTGGGCGTTCGTGTTTTTCCATTTTCGTTGCTACGCGTCAGTATATATTACAATGTCGGCTGTGACCGATTTTCGAGAGTGCGGGACATTTTGATCTACTAGTAGGCGCATGGCTACAACTTGAAACATTTCTGACTTGCCTCGCCTTTCCCTTGTCCTACGCCATCCTCGCCATTTTTTGGCTGGATATTGCCTCCTCTGCAACTATAAATATATTCGCGGATAAACTGCTTTCTTTACGGATATAGGTATTTGGGACATTGCTATCAGAAGAGAGATTGTTTGCTCGCCATATTCAGCATGACATGGATTACAGTTAGCGGGGGAGACCTCGTGACATTCAGCAGCGGGCAGAATGCCTGATTAGGACGAACCAAAGTCTAATATATTATTCCAACGTTGGCCAAGTACTTCCCCACATTCACGGATTTTATTCCCCTACTCTGCAGGGATCCTGCCAAGCCCGGCGGGCCCGAGATGAGTTAAGAAAATGGGCATTTTGGCTTGAAGATAGTGAGTAGATATCCTACGAGGAAGCTTGTGCTCATATAAGATATAAAATGTTATGCGATTCGAATATTTGACTGAAACCATGTAGATGCTTATAATTCTTTCTCGTTTCATTTTCCTCAAAAAGAAAAAAAAACGGATCAAATGGGCACCCACCCCGATGGCAGAGTAATAGCGCCCGGTGATCGACCACTGATGCCTTCGGCCGTTCGGAGAATGGCAGAACTTGGCAAACAAGAAGGATGAAAAGTGCACCTGCCAAGCAGTAAGCATAATCCTCATTGGTCAATTCCAGCGTGAGTAGACTTTTAGGTTCGTTAGTGAAGCGGGGATTGTAGCATTCGTCATGCAGGACTGACTATATGAGTACCTCACCCATTTTAAGTAGTTTCTTGATCCATAAATGGTGGTTTCCACTTTTCGTTCTTTCTATCTCGATATAATTCAAAGCCTCGGCGCCAAAGTAGAGACAAGTCAAAATACCATGTGAACCACCCAATGCCTCCGTGGATGCTATGTTATAAATTGAGTCATTTTTCCCGGCATACCTTGAAGTAATGCAAGATATTTCTTCAAGTACGAGCGACCGGTGAACCCAGTATATAATCCAAGTAAATAGAGGTTTCTTTCCCTCAATCATGTTTTTTAACCTTCAATTGCTGTTGTTAACTCTCCTCGGACTCAACATATACGCTGCCCCCTTACCAGAAGAAACCTCTACACAAATTGCCAAGAGAGGCGCCAGTTTGAATGAGTTTTTGAACATTCTCATCGGCCACCTACCGGTGGTCAGCGAGTCTCTCACCAAGGGTACAGCGATTATTACCGATTTCAGCAAATTGCTCGGGATCTTGACCGGTGCGCAAGAAACGTATAATGAAGCTGGAGGCACGTGCAAAGAATACACCGTGGTTTTTGCTCGTGGTACGGCTGAGCCGGGAAATGTAAGTCTCAAGTGTATCAATGTGAGGAAAAGTACCTGCTAAACTCTTCTCGTCGCTAGGTTGGAGTTCTTGTCGGGCCACCATTGTTTGACGCTCTGCTGGACACATTCGGTGATTCCGCAATCGCTATTCAGGGTGTCAACAACTACGCGGCATCGGTTCAAGGATATTTGGCTGGTGGAGATGCGGCTGGAAGCACAGAAATGTACGCCGGTAAAAGACTTTGCACCCAAAACGTATGATATATTGACAAACTTTACCACTGTAGGGCGCGACAAATCGAGGCCGTGAAATCGAAATGCCCGCAGACCAAACTCATTGCTTCGGGATATTCTCAGGGTTGTCAGATTGTGCACAATGCTGCTTCGAAGCTACAAGCTACAACTGCAAGTTGGATTAGCAGCGTATTGCTGTTTGGAGACCCCAGTACGAATTAATTCTACATTTAGGATGATATCTTGGCCTCCTGCTGACAAGGAACAGAAAATACACAGCCGCTCTCGAATATTCCTGCATCAAAAGTGTACACAGCATGCCATGCTGGGGATGATATCTGCAAAAATGGTATCTTGATCGGTCCCGCCCATCTGACCTATGCGTTGAATGTCGAGGACGCTGCCAAATTCGCTGCAAATGCGGCATAGATATAAATATAACCTAGACCGAGAAAGGTACTGATCCATTGAAATGGAATGAAAGTTTCTTTGACGGGTTCTTCGGGCTCTATACAGATTTTTAGTCTTCCTACTTGTAGTACGAGTATAAACTAAGATTTGTAGTAGTTGCGTTTAAATCTGTATGGGCAAAACGAGTAATTTTTGGACCAGTGATCTGTGTCTTTCTAGATCAGTATACCTGTTGTCAGTTTGTCTATGGCTGTATCACCGTGCAGTGTTGGTACCAGGTACTGCGAACCATAGTAAAATAGGATTTGTGGGCCACATCAATTTTGGTGGTTGTAAGTCTGGTAAATCAGAGCTTGAAGCGATTATCTAACTCTAGCTTCAATAGTCATGATTTGCTCCGAAATCCTTGAAAACTCGGAAGTAAATATAGATGTTTAAATCACCCTAACCATGGAAGCCGTTCATTCTACACACTGCTAGTAAGGTAAGACGCACCAATCTTTTAGATGCAAAGACAGAAAACATGACTAAATTTGTAAAGCGCACTTGAGTACTTTTATCAACTTGACCTAGTACTATAATGCAAGTAGCAAGCCAGCGCCCAAAACTCCGGAGAGCAAATGGTTTGATTTTCCCGTGGCCGACGCTGCTAGTCCCTTGGAGGAGGTGCTAGTAGCACCACCACTTTCGGCAGCGCCAGTGGCAGTGGCAGTTGCAGTGACATATGCCATTGTCTCAACTGACCCGGCGGTCTTATTGGGGCCATTGCCCGTCGCCGATGTGACCGGAGAGGGCATCAACGTCGCCCCCAGAACCGCAGTTGTCCCTGTGCCGATTTCGTGGATATCGTCTTCACCCCCGTCGTAATTTACATTCGCAAGTGAAATCTCATTGTTTGCAAGATCGTAGACCACATAGGCCCCACGCAAGAATGGTTCACCCATTAGATTCACCCCAGATTCGCTGTACCCAAGACCAAAGATGCAGTCATCATCGGCGAAATCAGGCTCAGTGTATTCTTCAAAAACTAGTTCACTGATGGGAATCGTAACCATGGCGCCCGAAAAGCTGAAAGTAACATTATAATCTGCCTTGGCCATACTGCAAGGGATATAACCATAGCCATCGGTCGATGAATAACCACCACCGACCTCTTTGTAGATGGGGTCTATCAGCTCTTTGGGAGAGAAATTAAACGGCTTCCATTGTCAAGGGTGACAGCCAATGGAAGACCTGTCGAATAACTCTTGCTACCTTTCGAGCTTTTCACAGAGATATCTGTCAAGGCAATGGCCATATATAGGTAACGACCATCTAGCTGCAAAACAGGCACAGTCTGCAGCTCGCCTTGATATCTCGCTTTGTTGACACCCCCGAAGAGAAGCTTTCCAGGGCCATCAAACTCGTTCAGCCACGGACTATAGGCAGCTGATTTGATGACTCCGCTTTTGACAAAAGCCTCCGGGAGGTTGTTGTATTCCTTTTGAAGGTTGACTGCAGCATAGGTAGCCCCCGCATATCCAATTCCAAGAATACCATCTATACATCATAACCACCATATTAGACATTGGGCATCTCTCAAATATACTGAATAATTTCGCAATGAGGTGTTGAATGACCAGGGGCAGGTTTAAACTTACTAGGATTTATGCTTTCCTCCGCCACCACGAACTCCATATCCTCAATCGTTGCACCTCCAATCAGGAGTGTATCGGTCGCATAGGGCCCCGCAGCCAAGAATGTATCCACATAAGTGGAATTTATGTCATAATCCAGCATCTTAAAAGTTGAAGAGTTTTTGATATCGAATAACCCGGTTGAGGAGCTGGGATCGTCGTCTCCGGCACAGTAGGTGGAATTTGGGACATTAACCCACATATCGCTGCTACCGGTGTCGACACTGAGGGATAGACTTTGGGGCGGTGAACCAACAGTGATATTCAACATGTAGTACAAGTTTGGCTATTTGGTGAGAGTTAGCATGAATCTTGGTCATTGAGGCTTTCTCGGGAAACTAGAAAAACAGCTTCGGGATCCGGAAACTGTCTCATACCAAATTGTACAAAGACTTTCTGGCGACCTTGGAACTGCGCTTCTGTAGCGCTTGGGACCGTTCGCTGCGAGAAATTGGGAGTTCGAGAACCGCGGGTTGGTCATGTTTGCAGGGTGATGGCATTGGCGCATGGCAGTGCAGCCAAGGCAGCGATCGGCAAGGATTGAGGCTCCCCACATCCTGGTCTCCACGCAGATTTCGATCGTCGTAAATGTCACCGAATATTGGCAACTGTCGTCCAGTAAAAGCAAATAAGGCGTCGTGGCCAGAAAATATGTAATTTGCGAGTTCCTGCAGTAATGGATGCGACCGGAAAAAGTTCACAGAGGGAAAACGGGTGCAGAGGGATATGGCTACGAGTATCTGCCGCCAATTTTCCTGGCCACCCTCGCTAGTAGCTATTGAGTGATCGTGGGAAGGACCAATGATCTTGGAATAAATCTTGCGACGCAGTTCTAGAGGTAGACTAAGAGTCTCGCTAGATCAATTTATTCGCTAAGCGGAGCCTCTTCTATGGGCTAAGCTCGGAGTTCAACGGAGGTTAGACCGACTAACCGAGTCAAAGCACGGGCTAGTGCGGTTCATAGCCTGGTTCCACTCCGGTTATGGACGCACTATTCAAAAAGCTTGATGGGCCGTTTTCTAAAATTGGCCCCTATGCATCTGTCTTTCCTGTTCACGACTAGCCTGATAAATTAGTTCATTATGGGTAAAACCTTGGAAGCTGGGCGGAAGTCTTCCAGATGTATTTTATTGTCGGATTCAACCGTTGTGTAACTCGAAATTGATTGACATTCGCAAGTTAGGTATGATCTTGAAACCCTGATTGTATGTAGTTTCCAGCAGAGAACCTACAAGTAGTAGCTGTACTAACCAGTTTATCTTTTGCTACTACCTAATGATATACAATACTCACTTCCAAGGTTGAATTCCCGAAAGATCCATAGCGGCCCCAGAAAGAGTAAAATAAATAGTAGGCATGGTGATACCTATCACTATGCGAAGAGTCACTCAAGAAAATAATGTAATACATTTTGTAGTTTCATTTTGGTTTGAGATAACCTTGCCAAGCATCTCGTGTTGATGCGATGCCTCATGCTCTCCAGATCGACCTATAACTAACAGCCTCCCTCCCTTGTATCAAGGCTGTGCTTGCTAGCAGTGGTCAGTCGGAAAGAATCAAGATACGGAATCGTTCATCATCTCGGCGGCTATGCTTCGCAGTATTGACCCTAAGTAAGATCCAGCCCCAAAGAAACTCAGCATACAATGTTCATATTTCGAGAGTAAATATCACCGGTTCTAAATTACACGTAATATAGTGTTCGTATGGTATAATCATAGTGCATCAGAACTCTCTCTCGCCAATTCAATTGAGCCTTTGGTACAGGAGCGCTGCAACAACGTGAGATAGCTCTCATTTGGATTATTGGCACTCTTAAGCCCCTGAAATGTTAGCAGAAGCTCGTCAAGTAGTGACTGCAATGTTTGATCTGCGCCACGATTACTGTATAGAAATTCAGCACAGAGCAACAATGGAATGGGCATAAGAGGATGAATCTGCCCATTTTCTCATCAGCACTGCCGCAATACGAATGGTGTAATGGCAATTGATTCAATACAGTCAGGCATACCTTGAACAAGTTGAGTTCTTCCAAGCCCTTGGCTAATGTAACAATATCTCGAGCTGCATTGAATGCACGGCCCTGGTATTCTAACAACCGATCTTCCATGTCGACTCTCCACACGACTGATTTTATTCCTTTATATAGATGGATTACACTCGCATGTGCCATAATGTGTGCAAACAACAGCAATGGATCGCAAATTTGAATTGGAGAAGGGTAATTCCGGGAGATGATAGAAAGCCGATTCGTAAGAATGTTGTCCAGCCACTGGTCCTGGCCCATTTGATTAGCAGCTGAGTCGCCGTATGCAAAGCGAATGTTGCATTGCTGTTCTTGAAATAAACTGCGCCCGCAGATGGTGGCCAAGATGACACATTCATTAAATGGCGATGAGTCTTGCGGCAGGATATCCGTGATCGCTTCCGAGAGCAATGCACCTAGCACTGGCTGTCCGCTTTGAAAGTCTGCGTCAGGTCCTGGCAGACGAGTGCAAATCTGGTCATAATCCAACAGATCAGATTTGAACCATATATCATTTCTCCTCATGGTGAGATTCAAAATTATACCACTTACAACATGCTCATTCAAAGTTATGGGCCAATTGTCGCGCATACTTAGTAAGTGGTCTAAGAAATAGGCCATCCAGAACACGCGGCGCTTCTCTTCTGTATCGGTCAGGTCGAGCCCGGGTGTTGGGGGTTTTGTGGGAATGTCAATTTCATGAAGTCGCATCAACTGTACCAGGCGAAAAGCACGTCCAGCACTCATCCACGCGGAGCGATGGAAAGTCCGCATTGACTCGTAAGTTGCTATCAATATCCATGCTTGTATTTCCTCTGTGTCCACTCCTTTATTTTGATCGCCTGATAGATAAGAGAACTCGAGTAACTGCTTCGTCCTCTGGTATAAAGGTTCTTGAAGATGTCTGAATTGTGCTGAAAGGAGGGAAGCAAGTGTCCAAACCGCATACTGCAAACATCGACGAGATGTCGTCTTTGTGATCCGCCTGGTCCTGCTCAAATAACGACGCTGGTGTAGAATCTGGACGGATGGATGGAATCTGTCAAAGTACAGCTGGTTTCTAGTAGATTAATCTTCAGTCAGGTTTCCAAAGCAAAACAACCAAAAGTGCTTACAACTCCGCTTGCATTATTTCCGTTATCGCTTCGGTGCCGAGCATTTCCCTGCTGTCAACCCCGGCCAGTGGCACCGGATTAATGCTTGTCGCCCCCGTGCTTTTGTTCAACATTGACATATCGGACTCAGAAAATGTTGTGCTCTCGGCTGTTAATGGAATCGTGTACGAGTCCGACTGGTTTGACGAGGTGGAAACAATGCAGTCATCCTCATGGAAATCAGTTAAGAGAGTTTGGAGTGGGTTGGGTTTGGACAGGGGCACCGCAGCATCCTGGGCCGGCGGTCGATTTTCGAGCATCGCTGTGTTTTATCTGGACATTAGAGCTCGTGGCATGTAACATCAGATACCATTACAAGCCTACCGATTCGATTCCTCAATGCCTTCAAGTAGCCTTTCCTTGGGCCCCTGGCCTGGCGTTGACTGTTGACCTTGCACGTTGCCCCCGACTCGACGCAAACTCCACACTGCGGCTGCTGTCCATCACAACGTAGCTTGCGTCGCCGGCACTCCTCGCAGGCTCTCACTGTTCGTTGCCGCAACCTCCCGGTGGCTCGTGAGGGTGGGTGTTGATGTACGGGAGAGCCCATGGCGTCGAGCCTCATGTAATGGAAGCGAAAAAGGGCCTGGAGAAACCGTATCACACAACACTAATCACCAGTATCCAAGTCTCACAGAGAATGCCTGATTATTAGTGGACCTTAGGAGTACCTCATCTGGGCAAACCCGAGAAACGCGACCGGGGGTGCAGGAGGAAATGGCTTTGGCACCAAAGTGCGGTGCTGACTCAACGCTTTCTGGAGACCGAGTTCAATAGTGGTGCTCTAGCGTGGGATATTATGAGAAGCCACGCCTCAGAAACTGATGTATTATGTGTCTTGAGCAAACTCTTATAGTGCAACTCAGGTGCCAACTTGGAATTCATGTACTACTACTAGTAGTATTAAAGGCAAAAACATCACAAACTTGAACTCGAAACTACCAGTGATATACCAAGGCTTACACCTTACTAGGTATGGGGCTTCGCAATATATTAGATCTATGATATCGCTGTGCTGACACTTTGACATTCTAGTCCTAGTTCATGGCCATTTTGAGTACCGAAGTCACTCGGTAGTTTCACTTAAACCCCCACTGAAAGCGTAAACCCCGACCGACACTTTATTTGTAGGTGTAGATAGCAAAGTTGTTACCCTCACTGTCCAGAAATTACTGGAACAATCCCTTGTCACCTTCTGGAAGAACATCACTCGCCTTCTTACCGCCGTTCTTTTCAATGGCCTTTTCTCTATTAGAATATTACCCTTTGGCCCATTGTAATTATTAACTCACCTCTAAGGCAGTAACAATATTCTCTACGTAGAGATGGAGCTTCGTGGAGCCAGATCCGCCCGGAATTTCTTCCACTAGACGCATGGCACCTCAGATGGGGAGAACACCACCAGGGACCTCGAAGGTTTGGAGTTTTTCAGCGGGAAGACCGAGAGATGAAGGGGCAAAAGTCCAGTTAAAGACCGCTTTGTAAAAGGAAACTGGAGTACATCGAGCATTTACAAAGAGTACAATTCATGCCTCAATTACGACTTTCCACAAGAAGATGAAGAGACAGACCGGGCCAGCACAACGACCATCACTAGCCCGACTGCCACAAGTGATAGCAGTACCAAAACAGCTGCTGATTATCCAGATAGCACCGAGAGCCCGTCTTCCGGAAATTCTGCTTGCCAGGCATTATCCATACCCTCGACTAGCGGTACGGCAGTGATTATAATGACTCTCATACTGGCTTCTTTCTGTAGGTGATGCCATTCCAGTGTACCTAGTTCATATCATGTATGATGCCATGGAACGAGTGGCAGGTCTGAGAGTTAAAGATATCTCCGAGTCCCACTGGCACGGAACCTTGGAAACAGAAACTGTAATATGGAAAATGCACGGACATTTCGACTTCCGCTTTCTGTCCTAGCTATCAATACCTCCTATTTAGCATCGCAGAATCCATCATCTCCCTTCTTCCAACCCAGATTGTAATTGACACCCCTGAAGTCCCGTAATGAAGCCTATTCTCGCATATTCCAGGGGAGTCCGATATTCTCAAGACAAGTATTTCTCTATTCCACATCCTCCTTGACCTTCGACTTGTCCAACTGTCGGAAAAGAACCCAGAGCAGAACGGTCGCTCCACCCAGCAGTCCGGTCAGGATGGCATACATCGTGACCAAGTGCGGATCCCTGGTAAGTGGGGTGAAGGCCAGGGCAATGCATGCTCCAATTCCAGCCATAGCAAGCCAGATCGCTTGGACCAATGTCTTCATACTCTCTGGTGCCTGGTTATAGGCATACTCAGTTCCTGTGGTGAGACAAAAGACTTCCGCCAATGCTCCACCAAAGTAAATCGGGATCTGGAAAAAAACCGAAATCTGATTGGGGATTGTAGAATTGTTGGCGGCGGCGCATTTAAGTGGCGAATCAAAGCATGGGCCAGTATGGTAGATGAGCTTTTGAACCACGGTGGTATAAGCCATTGACAGAGTCAGCAGGAGAAATCCGACTGACATTCGTGCGATAGGCCCGAATGAGACTCCTCTTTTTGTAAGGAAGGGATAGAGTCCTTTCTGAATGATTGGAGCAACAATTATTCCCGACATCGCACCGGCAATCTTCATCATATCGTTTGGAATACCGTATGTAATCATCTGACCTGCTTGGGAGATCAAGTTGTTGAATGTTTGGTTATAGCAGAGCCAGTGAATAGGGAACAGAAGCCTACAGATATATTAGCTCTGGGTGTATATGAGAAGTGGGAAGAACTTACAATACTCGACAAGTTAAAAGACTTCTTTTGATATCTTCGATAAAAGAGTCTGTCCATGGAACCTGGCGGCCGTGTTGGTGAAGCTGCGCATCCGGCTTTGCGGCATCCATTTTGAAACGACCAGTGACCCCATGTCGCAGCGCGTCGCATACCTGGGGCATGATGTTCTCTGTTGGTGAAACTCGGACTGTGGTACCCACATGTTATTAAACCGCATTGCCGGGGTGATAGGGTAGAGACTCACCAAAGAACGTGCGACCGAAGAGAATCGGTATAAGGGCCGCCCACATGGCGCAGCACGGAATTAAATAGGCGAGCCAAAAGCCAACATACCGTTCCAATAATGGGGTTGAATCAGCTAGAAAGCCCACAATGTTTATAGCCCTGTCTATCGTGTTAGTAATTATCGAGAAACGAGAAAAGGGAGTTTCTCACCAGTAGAAGGCATTGTAGATATAGGTAATAGTCAACTCTCGGCTAGTGACAACCCTCTTTCCGCTTTTCTCGGTTTTTATTCGGAACTCGGCCTCGTCATATTGGTCGGCTTAACGATATTAGCCTTCAGAATGGCAACCAGAGTTTAAGAGATCGACTCACCAATAAACGGGACCACGGTAGTTTTGAATCCCCCGGATCCAATAGCCAGCAGTACACAAGCAACTATCATTCCGGGTAGCGCAGCTCCCTTATCGAGAGCGACGGGCAGGGATGTCGCAAAAAGAATAGTTGCCCCAATGGCCTCGATACTGCGAGAATGTTAGTCACCACACAAGTCAGGGGCAGAAGGAGATAAAGAAATAAAATGTCACAGTACATAGCAGAATATAGCATGGTTTTATAACGACCCAGCCAGCTATCGGCGACAACTGCAGCAGGCACTGGCGTGATATACGACCCGATGATCAATGCATTGACAATGTTAGATGCAGTGGCTTGATGAAGTCCCAGTGCTCCCGGAACCTCACCACCTGGTGAATTTTGGAGGTAATTCTCTGTAAAAGATCAGCCAAAGAAATATTACAGACAGGGTGGGGATATCACGCACGTAGAGGAGCGGTCGCTCCATACCAGACAAAGCGCTCCAAAATACCCGCGATACATGCTATCCAAAGCCGAACCGGAATTTTGTCAACAACATGAAGGAGTTCACGCACTTCGTCTTCGGAGGCCACGCGACCGTCATCGTTATCGTCGTCCGAGGAGGTAGGTAGACTGCTATTTTCATGGAGATCTGCTTGGTCCTGTTCTGTTTTTGGCGAAGAAAGAGAGGCTCCCGTGTTAGTCTCATTGCTCACATCACGAGCATTAGAAGCCATAACCAACCGGGACTGTAAGTTAGACTCTGCGGTGATATCCGGAGAGTCGTGCATATCGAGCATAGGGCCGGTCATTGTCGTAGATGTGATCTGTAATTTTTTGTCTGGGCTGCCACGACTTGTATAAGAAGGATCTAGGGGTCGTCGGAGTCAAAGACAGAGCAAAGCGAAGGAGCGGTTGGTTGCATAACAGTGTTGCACTGTTCAGGCGGTGAGATAAGGGAATGAGCATGGCATGGGTAGGCGTGGCCATCGACATGGGTATAGCCAGAGGGGTTCGGACCTGTCAACTCCGCTCTGAGTGGGCCAAGTGGAAATGGAGATCCCGGATATCCGTCGGAATTAGCCCCAGCGGGAGTGGAGCTACTCGAAATAGCTTTGTTTTTCTCAATTTCTCATTATGCTATCCTTTCAATGTCAGCTAATAGTAATCCATGTGATTTGATATTGCTAACCGGCCCAGAAGCCATTGACTTCCCGTCACCTGAATGCGCTACTAGTTTCATAGCTTAAGGTAGACTAGAGCCGCTGCTCGGCCATATACTTTCTGGCGCTCGGACATAGTTGCCGCAGTCGACCCAGTGTCTCCCAGGTTCTGCCACGCCTTCAGTGAAGTTGAACCTTTCTACCTGTACATATTGATCGATCCCACCCATTCAGGGTAGTGGGTAAATAACTTGGTAAGATAGATGCTGAGTAGTGTAATGCATATCTCTAGTTAACGGTTACCCCTCTTGATTGCCAGCATGCTATTTTTCCATGCGCTCTTCGGGTGAAACTTCGGTGACAAGCTTCTTGGTGCTTGGCAATTTGAGCCACTCCATTGCCCAGCTTGCTATCCAAGCAAGGCCCGGCGTAGCGAGCGCAACCCAGAACACATTCTTCAAAGCGGAGTTAAATGCGTCCACGACGACATTTATCAACTCGGGAGGAGCCACCTCCCTGAAACCACTTGCGCCGGCCGCGACGATGGCTGCACTGTCTATACCCTCCACCTTGCTGAGATTTTGCAGAAGCCCATCAGTGAAAAGGTTCTGCCCAACACTAGGACCTAGTGCGCCTCCGAGCATCTGGAAAAACATGATCATCACAAGACCAGTTGGTATATCTTGCTTCTTGAGGACCACCTGCACAGCGAGAATTGGCATTTGATTACAGCAGCCATAGCCAATGCCGGATAATATTTGGAACCCTATCCATTGTCCACGCGGGCTGTCAACCCGAATGAGTTGGTATAGACCCCCTCCAGTAGCTAGGATAAGAGGTCCGATCCACATAAACGGTAAATAATGCTCAAATTTGGATACAATAACTCCCGCACAGAGCATGCTGAGGCTGTTGGACACAATCAATGGGAGTAGATTTATTCCCGAGACTTCGGCATTGGTGCTTCTGACAGACTGGAAATATATGGGCCAATAGTACGATTGCACCACTATAGCCACCTGGACGAGCATCGTGAAGCCGCATGCGGCCGATACAGTACGACTGCGGAAGATGTGAAGAGGAATATTCGCACTTTAATGGTGTTAGATAAAGGCTGCATATGTGGCCCTATTTCATGTAAGACTGGAATTTGGAAGAGGAAGAGCCGACCTTTCTTTGCCTCTGAATTGTAAGCCCAAAAACACAACTAAAAGAAGACCGAATCCAATCAGACATCCGAAAACATTGGAATGAGACCAAGGGTAAACGATGCCACCCCATTGTAATGCCAAATTCAAACAGGATGTTGCACCGAGTAGTAAAATAGCTCCTGGGAGGTCGAGCTGGCGTAGCTTCTGCATCCAGGGTAAGTCCGCCTTTACTGCTGGTGGCGGCTTTCTCAAAGTGAACCAGACCAGAGCTAGCCCAATAGCCCCGAAGGCTTAAAGTTTTTAGCTCGCGATTGTGGATCCCTCGTTTAGAATAGAAACTTACGAAGATTGATCCAGAAAACAAACCGCCAAGTCAAAGTTTTGTTATCTGTTATAGAACCACCCACGAGTGGTCCAATCGCCGATCCAATGTTGTACATTCCCAGTACAATGGGCGACAGCATCGCCTGCTTTTGCAAGGATACGCAGTACGACAGAATAGTCGTCGTCCCACTCACCAAGCCAGCAGCACCTAGACCAGATATTGCGCGGCCTATAATAAGCACAATGGAGTTTGGAGCGACAGCAGAGACGATTGAGCCGAGTTCAAAGACGACCAGCGAGCCGCAGTAAATCCATTTGATGTTGTAGAATGAGTAGAGGCGACCACAAGTCGGCATCAGTGACATTTGGGCGATCAAGTACGAAGAGCCATACCATCCTATGTCGTTGAGGCTATGGAAGTCGCTGGTGATACTGGGTATCGCCGTCGCTTGGTATGGCAATTAGGTCCGATATTTCCTCTGTGATATCATGAGTCACGAACCCAAAATTGTATTGTCAATAGCCAGCACGAAGCAAATAGACATGAAGGCCGCTGTCAAGGAAACGAGAGCCCATCCTTGCATGTATTCGGTTGTAGGCTGCTCTTCACTCTCATGGGTGTCAGTTCCATCCGCGGTCAACCCACCAGGGGGCGCACTCTCCGAGACAGGATCCATAATTTGGTTCTGTACACCCATTTTGATCTGTATACTTTTGGAAGAGCAAGCAACGTGAGGGTTCGGTGTGATAACGGAAGGACTCCGAAGTGTAACAGCTTATGGACGGTGAGAGGCGCCGGACAGCCTCTTAGGAACATAACTAGTATTTTCTCGGGGTTGGGTTCAGTGGTTGTTAATAAGAGAACTTATGGACAGGGGCTGCATGGTCGCACTGTTTGCCCCAACAGGACGGGCGAGCTCCGTGTCCCTTTCATCCCCTGTATGCGGATTGGTGGGTTCAGATAGGTCCCCTGTCTGCGGGCTATGCGCCCCCGACAAATTTGGGGCTTTTATGTGCATATGTTCAATACGCTGTCAAAAGCGAAGATTGACCGCCATTTAGCCTATTATTGTACCCCTTTCTGGAGCTAGCTTCCAAGTTATTTAAATGAAGACTCAAACAAAGGTTTATGCTAAGCTATTTCTAATGCGGGGCCCGATACATATACCCCATACATATGGATCGCCTGCCTATGTTGCCTTCCCTCTCAACTTCCAAGGTTGAAATAGTTTGTCATCCAAAATTTTCCAGGCACGACCTGGATACTAAAGCTTATCAGTATCTCCTGTGTCCCTGAGCAGCCAGACTCAGCAGCCTGTTTCATGTGTCCCACTTGGATTACGAAACAAGATTCGTCTGAAAACATCGATCGGATTGCATTCTCGTTGGTTAGAAATCTGGGAAGCGTTAAAAGGCCATCAGATAGCCACTGACTTAAGCAGTGTCGTCTTACTGGAGCATTGTTTTCGCATAATGAACAATACTGGTGAGCCTATTTCGAAATTGATGTTGAAAGAAAATAAGTTGCTGAAATTTCCCTACGAGTATCAATCGCAAAACCTACAAAAGATGACACAAGGCGTTCACGGTGACTAGAATAGGGATTACTGCCTGCAACAGAAAGGAAGGTTGTTTCAACGTCAATACGACAGCTCACGAACTAAAGATGAGGGAACTCAGATAGCCAGTACCATTCCCGCATTTCTCCTTGCAGTCTCGTGATTGGATAGGTGGAAATTATTTGGAGTGAATGGAGGAACTAGGGACAGTGCCGTGAATAGACAAGTGAATAATGGATTTGGAAGGGAGTGAACTGACGTAATAATGCCAGGCAAGAAGTGATATGCGTGGAATAAAGGGATGTGAGAGTGAATGCGTTTCAGTTGCACTCAGTAAGCAGTGAGACTAGCTAACTGGGGAAAATAGGCAATATGGATGTCTCAACAGACCCACCCTGTTGGTAACAGCGCCGATAGGCAAAGCTGCATACAATTTCACTTCAGCCTAATAAAATATTCAAAATTCAGCCTTTTGGACGGCGCCATCCAGCTTTGGAATCCAGGGTGCTCGATACTTGGTAAAGAGCTCTACGGCAGGCTTGGCTTCCTGCAGTAGATTGGGATGATCAATAGTTCCGACCTGGACTACGGCCATGCCGGCGAAAGCCTCGTTATCGGCTGTTTTGTATATAGTTCCTCCGCAGTTTTCACAAAAGTGCAATGTGAGTTTCATGCCGGTCTCGTGGGTTTGGGTGTTCGTTTTCGCGGAACCACTAGTTACCGAAACTTCATGTTCGGGGACTAGAACATTTGTTGTGTGGGTGCTACCGCTGATCTTCTGGCAAGAAAGGCAATAGCAGAGTGCCTGCATATGATGTTTATCTTAGCATCTAGCTCCTTATATCAGTCGTGGGTAATAATTGTTTACCATCCCTTGCGGGTCTCCCTTGAATTCATATTTCAGCTTTCCGCAAATGCATGAACCAGACGGCATCTTGTTTTGGTTCGTTATTATGGGGAAGAAGAGAATATACTTCTTTCTGTGTTGTTCAAGACGAGAGTTTTTCCGTTTTTCGGAGGTTGCCCTTTTCTTAAATATTTTGGGGCCCTCTGTCTCGGACGCCTTCGTTGGTAAATATTGGTGAATAAGTGGCTGCTTACTACTTAGATCGAGAGTCATTTGATCATGATTCTGCTATGCGAGGAAATGAGGCGTTTTGACTTCGAATTCTTACTCGGTGTAACAGGGCGGCCCGTCATTTGTTCTCGTGTTAAGAGGCGTCGGGTGTGGTTTGAGATGTGGGAGTGGGGTAAATGTGGCAAAATCCCAGGCTCTTGATCGAGCTTCGTGGCCACGGCTTATACTTTACGAATATTTTGACTTTGGTAGACCGATCTCGACCGAACGCTGCTCATTTCATCTCGATTCCACCTTATTGTATATTTTCTGCCTCAGGCATCGAGATAGCCTGCCGGGCTGCCTTTCTCTTTCCTATGCTCCATAGCTTGTCTGCCACACATATCTTTGCATGCATCACGATTTTTTAGTTATGATATTTAGAAGCAGCTACTACTATCTGGATCTGAACTATTATGCTTGGGTGAGATGGTGTCTCGGAATCTTCTCTAGCTGAAGCGCATTGATTCTTTCAGAACTGCAATAGGTCAAAACAATAGTTTCTGAGCAAGCTAGTGAGGAGCTCATTTACAGCAAATGGGGTCCGTACTATATCCAAATTTCTGGGGTGTACTTTGGTTTAAAAATGGTACAGCATCATCAACAGCAATTATCAAACCATTCCTGATTCGGGAAATCTCGGTCTCCCAAGTTTCTGAATGTCTGAATTTCAAGCCTCGTGGGTCTTCCGTGTTTCGATAAGGTGATATTATTATCCTTTGGCCAGCCTGAAAATCTTGAACCATCTTCATAAAAAAAGCTCTTTAGCCAACTCCTGACATCCTCTTCTAGAAATATGAGGGGAGTTCTCAGGCCAGAAGGCATATCTATTGAGGACATGTTCTCTCCCATTTGAAACTCATAATTAGAGCTTGCAAGTAAATATGGTCCCTCGTTCCAAAGCTGCGTCAAAACTTCGAGATGTGCAAATGGATGGTCGGTAAAGGTACAACGGTGACGAAGCCACCCATGAGATATATCATAAGGCCATTGAGTTGGGAGCCCTGGGGGATCTAGGTTATTTTCGTAAGGATCTCTCCTCTCAAGTTTCTCAATTTCATCCATCAAACGAAGTTTATTGCTAAATGTAATAGTAAGGCACGGGCAAATCTCAATCATTCCAGAATGCTGAAAGTCAGTATTTTCGAGTAGTTTTGGCGTCGGGCAAAGGATAAAACCACGACATTTATCACAAAGGGCCAGGCAATGAGCTTTATGTTTCGCTCTTGGGTGAAGGAGCCAGCATTCATCGCAGAATTTCCAGCGGCTATCCTCAAGCTGGCGGAGTAATTGTACTCTGGGCAACTCCTCAATATTCGTATTGATACATAGAACCGGTCTTGATTCGGGTGGGCAAAGGTGGGAAATTTGAAGTGGTTTGGTCCCTAGGAGGTAGCGAAAGGCCTCATAAAGATATTTGCAAGACAACGAAAAGCAGACCTGGTCAGGTTCTGAAAGCTGACGGAAAATCTCCAGCACTATTCCAAAAGGTAGGTTTGGGTTCATAGAAAAGTCCAGCTGCTTACGAGAAGAGGCTCCTCTTACTGTAGAGTAAATACGCTTCATGTTGAGTTCTGGTGGGGTTAGCTAAGTGGCGAGAGCTATTGGTGAAATGAACAAGAAATTGCATTGGTCTTATCCGCATCACATTGCTAGGATACATTTCCATCCGTGGATCGGAATGCTGAAATTTCCCGAATTGGCCGCCGTCGCCAAATTGGGAGGGAATGATGGCAGAAATGCGTAATCCCGACAACGTCGACTTCTGTATTTGGTCCGACATGATGTGACTGATGAAAATTACCAATAATTCCAGAATGAGGAAAATGAGGGTATCATAAGATGCGAAAAGTTTACCGGAGTGAGAAGGAGGTGGAGGAGGCCAAGTCAATCTTAGAAATTGATACTACTGGTATTATGAGTGCAATCCATGGATTAGGAGAAGTTGTAACAATGACGCATCAAGTTTATCCGCGGGAGGCAAACTGCCCAGGCGCCCAGATTGAGGCAGTGCCAGTGCTGTGCCCAGGTGGTGACCTCGGGAACCTCGGGCTTCCAACCTTGAAAGAACTTGAATCCCTGGAGTGCGGTAAGGTTGTGAATGTGACCTCGGGATATGGTGTGTTGGTCAAAAATATACCTACAGCAGCATCAACTTGAACTTCCAAGTTTTTCATTCGTACTAGTACTACTTGCAACTAATGACTAATCTGATTCTGTGAAAGTTCCTTTTCAAAGTTGTTTAAGTGTACTCGTAGATCTCACGCTAAACCGGCACCGTCGGATACAAACAGTGGGTATAGTATGTACTCGAGTCGCAAAATCGAGGATCGATTGCAGGACTCCCCCTTGTTTCAACGGCCTCTAGTGTGGGGATCTGTTCTACCTTGCTTCTGGAAGGTGCTTGATTCCCGGTTTCTCCGCACCGGAGGTCCAAGAGCCCTAGCTAAACCCTACTGTTTAACTCGATTCGATGATATCTTCTCTAGCGGCCGAGTCGCGCATGAGGGGCCCCGGGGGGTCTTCGCCGGCCCGGTTGGGGTTGAGCCGGGCCGGGAACAAGCCGGGCCTGGGGTTGGTTCGTTCGTGCCCGATAGGCAAACCATACCTGTTAGAGAAGGCGGTGCGTGGGGGCGTGCATGAATTCTAAAACATGAAGGGTTATGTAAGCGATTTTCTGTGGCGCATCGAACAGCTAATTTCGATCTATATACGCGTTTTGTGCGCATTTTCTACAGAATTTCGACGCTAGAAAAAAAAATTGGATCAAATAGGATCTTTTGCCGTACTAGGAGACCCGGTGTAAGCTTGAATCAATCACTTATCTGGCGCTATCGTGATGTAGTTATGATTTTAGGTAATTTTTCTCCATTTTTCTCCATTTTTTCTCCATCGCCACGCGCCAAGACAAAAAAATATGGGTCGCTATGTCTTCATCTCCGGTCAACCTCCACGTCGCGCGACCTCCGGATTTCTTTCTTCTTGTCTATCTCGTCTGGACGCCTTTTGTATCCAATTCTCTCCAAAATAGGCCATAATGAGCGCTCACGAAGCCCCCCAATATGTCGCGGACGACATTGAGGTCTACAATGACTCTACCGATGCTGAAAAGCAGCACCAGAAAGATTCTTTCCCTGAAGAGGACCCCTTTGGAAATGAAGAATCCGGGGAAGTCAAGTATCGAGTCATGAAGTGGTGGTAGGTACTCGACTTTCGTCTTCCCCTGCATGGAATCATGTCACGAATAGCCTAACCTAACTCTTACATATTCAGGCAAGCTGGAATGCGTAAGAACCCATAATGTTCCGAGATTACGGCCATTGGAATCCCCCCTTCTAACAGAAAATGCAGTTATGGTCGCCGAAAACATTTCGCTTGGTATTCTATCTCTTCCGTCTGCTGTTGCCACTCTTGGAATTGTCCCGTAAGCGTCTCCTATGAGCTTGTCTTTACGAGACGATGGCTGATCATTCGCTAGTTCGTTCCTCATTCTCTTCGGTCTTTCTGGCATTTCATGGTATACCGGATATGTCATGGGCCAGTTCAAGCTGCGCTTCCCCCAGGTGCACAGTATGGGTGATGCCGGTGAACTCCTTCTGGGTCCCATCGGCCGAGAGGTTGCCTTCGTCGGCCAGCTGCTGTTCATTATCTTCTTGATGGCCAGCCATATCCTTACCTTCTCCGTGTTGTTCAACACCATTACCGACCACGGCACCTGCACTATCGTTTTTGGTGTCATTGGCTTGTTCTTTTGCTGTATTTGCGCATTGCCTCGCACCTCTGGAAAGGTATTCTATATGTCGATCGTGTCTGCTATCAGTATCCTGGTCGCCACCCTCGTTACCATGATCTCCATTGGAGTTACGGCCCCCGAGAATGTTCAAAACGATATCACCACCGAAGTCTCCTTTGTCGACGCCTTCCTTGCTGTCACCAATATCGTTTTCGCCTACATTGCCCATGTGTCTTTCTTCGGCATCATGTCTGAAATGGAGGATGCGCGCGAGTTCCCGAAGGCCCTCGCTATGTTGCAGGTTGTTGATACTACAATGTACATTGTGACGGCGATGGTTATCTACTGCTACGCAGGTCCCGATGTGAAGTCTCCGGCTCTGTCGTCAGCTGGCCCTGTCATGAAGAAGGTCGCTTACGGACTGGCTATTCCAACTGTATGTGTCTTTATTCTTGCTTTAATTTGTCTACAAAATTTCTCACTCTCTATAGGTTGTTGTTGCCGGTGTCGTCTTCGGTCACGTTGCCTGCAAGTACATTTATGTTCGTATCTTCCGTGGTGATCGCTCCCACCACATGCACCAAAACAGCCCTCTCGCACTCGGAACCTGGGTTGGTATCGCCCTGAGCACTTGGACCATTGCCTGGATCATCGCCGAGTCGATTCCCGTGTTCAACGACTTGCTCAGTTTAATCGTATGTCCCCCCACCACCCCTTGTGTTATCTGTCACTAATACCTCTGTACAGAGTGCCTTGTTCGGTAGTTGGTTTAGCTGTAAGTTCATATTCATCCCATTACAGAGAACCTAGGATGAAACAATGCTAATTCTCCATAGACGGACTTCCTGCCCTATTTTGGATTGTTATGAACAAGGGACAGTTGACCGCCAACTGGAAGAAGATCAGTCTCTTGATCGTCAACCTCATCATTCTGGGAATTGCCTGCGCTATCGTAAGTCATAGAGCCCTATTCTCTCCAAAAATTGAACGATTTGCTAACAATACTAGTGCGGTTTGGGACTTTACGTCTCGGGCAAGTCGATCAACGAAAGCTCGTCCAAAGCTACCTGGACTTGCGCCAACAACGCCACTTAGATGAGGTACTTTCGAGATTGAAAATTTCCTCGTCGCTACGTCTGAGACGATTATTTTGTATAGGTTTATGTTGGTACAATTATCAGGGTATGGGTTTTTTTTGGTTAGACTGCTATAGAATGGCTGCACATGACTGGGCGAGCTTAGTCATTGTATATAGATTTTGCTCATTTACATAGAAGCATCGCATTTTTGCATTGTTGTATATGATTATGATGTCTTCTCTTGACCTGGAAATTCAAAGTAAACCAACTGTATCTATTATCCTTTAACTTATCGCGGGTTGACAAAATCTTTCGGTGACCCATGTGGCTCTGGCGCTCCATAGCAATCGACCCGGTGTTTCTACTGTCTTCCCTAAATACAAGGCTCTACCACCCACTCGGTAAAACTATTCTACCTACCTACATTGTTTGGTCCCAACAATGCAGGGTGCTTATTATATAGCCGGGTAAAATACCAAGTAATATAATGTAGATCTCTAGTACTGGCTATCGAGACACTTGACATTTTAGCGCCAACTAGGTATTTCCGTTCCCGGGCCTACTAAAACCACTACTTACTACAGAATAGTATTTCTCGGCCCAAAGATTATAGGGAATAGAATAGTAATTTTGGGACGCTGCTGTCCTGCAGAAACACTGAATCGATTGCGGCTATCAAGCGCCGCAATGTGGCCTAATATGCATATGGCTTCATACCGGTTCTCTTCCGGTTCAGTCGGCCATAATAAAATCGCAACAAAACACAGCCCACGGCGACAAAGAATAGCAGCGCAGCATTTGTCCAGTGCCCCGTCGGATATCCTTTCTCCTTTTCATCCGCTTTATAAATCCAAACACCGACGATTTGCCCTGGAGCACCAAAGGAGATATTCAGCGCTATAGCGAGGCCAGCCGCACCGGTAGAGTGAAGGTTGGAAGAAAGCCAACCGAGGAGTGGGGGAATGCAGGCAAAAGCGCCACTTGATGCGACAATCAAGCAACCATACCGGTGCTGTGATATTCTTATTAGTAAAGCCAATCAACCTAGTTGAAAATGCTGATTTATCTCCACTTACAGCGTAAGCATCAGCTGGAAGTACGGCAGAGGCCAAGAAACCGATTGCACCTATTAGAGCGAATATAGTAGAGTGTAGTCCTCGTCTTCGGCCAAAAGTGTTAGTTCGTATAAGTAGCAAAATCCGTGTATCTAAAAATTTCATATCGAGACTCACGCATTAAAATAATCTGCCGACCACGCCACTGCGACCGTCACAACGTAGGCGGTCGCATACGGAGGAACTGTCATCAACTGAGCCCGCAAATTGGAAAATCCCAAACCAGCTGTGATTGATGGGGTAAAGAGTGAAAGACTGGAAAATGGCGTGGAAATTCCGAAGTAGATCTAGAAGAATATGAGCCAATGTTGCCACAGTGAGAAGTAGTTATCCGAAGCATACCAAATAGTGCGCATATAAACGCCAGTCAACTAGCGTCTTCTTTGCCTCGGCCCAAGTGAGTCCCCCGGACTCCCCATGGGATCCCTCAACAGAGAGTCGTTCGCAGGCCAGCTCCTTTTCTTCATCCGAGAGCCAACTGGCAGTCTCCGGGTAGTCTGGAAGGAGAAACCAGACCAAAAAGGCAGATGCACAGGATGGAGCTCCTTCTATATAGAAGAGGTATCTCCAGGCCGAGATCCCATTGACTCCGTTCATCTGGCCTACTCCATATGCAATCGCACCTCCAAAGGCTCCGGCTAGTGTGGCTGATGCAAGAATCAATGCGACCCGCAGAGACCTCTCCGATGTGCGATACCAGAACGTAAGATAGTAAACCAGTCCGGGAAATAGACCAGCTTCTAAAGCGCCCAGAAGAAATCGGACGACAGTGAGTTCCGCATAGTTATTGACACCACCTAAGCCGATTGTAAGGGCGCCCCAGGACAACATCAAGAACGCAATCCATCTCTGTTCATTAGTTAGCTAGGTCTTCAACGAGAGGAAGAACATAACGAACGCTGGGTCTGAGCTTCTTCAGCAGGTAGTTGGATGGAACCTCAAATATGGCATACGCAATCAAGAATACCATCAAGGCAATCCTGCAGCATCATTAGCACCAGCCGAGATCAACTTTGTACATTCGTGCGAGCGTACGTGTATTCAAAATTTGTGATTTTCGTCTCAGTCACCAAGTCATTACCTGTATCCGCATTGAGTGTTTTGGCATTTCCTTTTGTAGATATTAGCGGATGGACCCCAGTCGAGCAGCTAGTGTTCCATGAGAGCTCACCAATATTGGACCGATCCAAGTAACAAAGAAGATAGATGAACGCGGATAGAGGGACGACCCGTAAGTCTTGCTTCCACACCAAGGCCTTCTCACGGGCGAGATTTATAGACAGATCACTCTCATTGCAGGTCATCTGTTGGAAATCGAGTTAGCCCTCAATCACAACTATGCAAAATTGGTGGATAAGACGGTCATACCCCTTGCTCCTCCTTTGCGATGCCTGTTTCCACGTCCTCTGCCATCTCAACACGGTCTTTCAGCTGGTCCGCCATGGTGATATCGCGTGAGAAGAAACTGAAATCCGGGGTCCCCAGATCTGATCCGAGCGGAGCCACTTTATAACAACATGAGTTCTCGTTTTATAATGTGCGGTGAACGGAACCGCGCACCGATGACCTCCGCACAAGTCAGAGGCCATTATGCCAATAAGAACCGGCAAACGATTTGCCGACCCATATGTAGACAAAATTTCCACATATTGGATCCATCCAATCTCACCAGGCTAATTTAAAATAGGCCGATCGGTCAAGAATTGGATGTTTGTTGGACGTTTGTTGAGAGTGGAGACTCGGGGTAGGACGTCGGGGCCGATGGCCGACGCACCTCAACATCTGTGGGGAAGCTTCGATCAGGCCCCGATAATAATTCAAAAGGCTAGTGGATTTCTTTTGATGGAACCCTGTCCTTAATAACCTTTGTCGATTTCCTCAAGGTCAAAAACAACCAGGACGCGACAAATTGACAGGCATCATGCAGCAAAAACCGCTACGAGTGGGAAATGTTTCGGGCGCGACGGGCGACAGCCCGAATGCGATGTATCGCATGGCACAGGACGGAAATGTCGATGTCATTGTTGGAGACTGGTTATCCGAAATGAACATCGCTTGGAACGCGATTGCGAAGGCCCAAGATCCCTCCTTAGGCTATGAGCCGGGTTTCCTAATGCAACTCGGCGAATCGATTGATCTGATAATGGAGAGCAAGATCAAGGTTGTCACTAATGCCGGGGCACTGAACACAGAAGCATTGGCTAAAGAAGCCCGCGACATGTGTCTAGGCAAGGGATACCGAGACGCGAAGATTGCCGTTGTGCTTGGTGATGACATATCCGAGTTGGTTCAAGACCCCAAAACTCGTAGCAGCCTGGCTCATCTTGATCATCCGGATTGGATTTGTGAGGACTGGCCTCTTGACCCACATTGCGGTGTGGCCTATATTGGAGCATGGGGAATTGTTGAAGCCCTCAAGGCTGGCGCGGACATTGTGCTCTGTGGTCGTGTCACCGATGCATCCCCTGTGATTGGCGCCGCAGCCTGGTGGTATCAGTGGTCCAAAGAAGCATGGGATAATCTTGCGGGTGCTTTGGTTGCAGGCCGTAAGTCTTTACATGCTGGAAGCGAATGAAGTACTTTTTCTAACAATTCCTTCTCCAGATCTAATCGAGTGTGGTCCTTATGTCACCGGGGCCAATTTCTCTGGCTTCAAAGCGATTTTACCTAAATTGGTAGATCTTTCCTTCCCAATAGCAGAGATCGAAGCAGACGGTACCTGTATCATCACTAAGTGTCAGCAACATGCTGGTGCAGTGACAAAGCATAACACTATTGCCCAATTCCTCTACGAACTCCAAGGAGAACAATACCTCAACTCGGATGTTGTGGCGAATCTTCACAACGTTCAGATTGAAGAGATAGGCTCAGACCGCATACGAGTCTGCGGCATTGCTGGAAACCCACCACCGGATACAACTAAAGCAATCATTGCAGCACCTGGTGGCTACCAGGCCGAAGCAACCTTTTTCATGAATGGATTAGATGTCGCCGAAAAGGCAGAAATGATGCGCAACCAGCTATCCCATATCTTCCGCCATAACAATTTCAGCAAACTATCCATCGAGCTTTACGGCTCCCCATCCGCAGACCCAAAAAGCCAGCAAGAAGGCACCGTATCACTTCGTGTCTTTGCGCAAGCAAGGAAATTGGAAGATATCGCTGCTTCGAGATTCAAAATTCCCATTTATGCTTTGCGCATGCAGAGCTATCCAGGTATGGCGGTTCTAAGTCTACCCGAATACCTTTTCCGACTTTGAACAGTTAGCTAATAAATTTGTGGCCTTCTTGTATAGGCTATCATATGAATCTCGACTTCCGCACCATGGACCCAAAGCCGTTCATGGAAATCTTCCCGTGTCGATCAAGATGAATCTACTCAATCACCGGGCTATGTTGTTTCCAGACGGTCCTGAGATCCAAGTCGCGCCTCCATCTATAACTATGAAACAGCCAGTTCAACGACCCTCTTATGAGACTATGCATCCTGTCTCTTTGGAGTCCTTCGGCCCAACACAACTAGCACCATTAGGAAGCATTGTGCATGCACGATCTGGTGACAAGGCGAATAACTCCAATATCGGCTTTTTTGTACGACATGATGACGAATACCCATGGCTACAGAACTTTCTCACTGTTTCTCATTTGAAACTCTTGTTTGGAGACGACTGGTCGGATAATACGGAAGATGGGGAAGAGAGAAGGGTGGAGCGCTGTGAGTTTCCCAAGATTTTGGCAGTGCATTTCCGAGTTCTGGACTTTCTGGATGGCGGTATCGCCAGTTCGAGCAGAATTGATGGACTTGGAAAGGGCATTGGAGAATTTCTTCGCAGTCGGCTAGTCCCGATTCCCTTGAGGTTTCTTGAAAGAGGTCGCATTTGAGAATTCCTGCTGCTATGGCCTTTGTTTTCAACATCATGATATCATGTTTTAGTTTAGATTATAGAGTTTTTATTCATTCTCCCCACAAATGTACTGCATCCAAGGCCATACCTCCGATTTCATGTAGCCAGTCTTGAGAGAGTTGTTGAATCGGCCCATCCCCTCCGTGTGCATCATGGAAATGCTGCAAATCTTCAAAACAATCTCGAAGCACTGAATCAACACCTATTACGGAAGGAGAAGAATCTTGCATGGGGGCTATATGAACGCTGGGGTCAAACACAGAAAGTTGTGACTCTGCGTGGGACGTGGCCAGTGTATCTGATGCCAGATTTTGCTGAACAGCCGGTATTAGCGGACCAGCCGATTGTGACTTGGTAAAAAATGAAATGACATCGGCAAGAACAGCGTCACCGAGACGGTCAAACACTTTATGACAATGACGCGGTGTAGCCCAGCGCTCTGATACCGCTACCAGTACAATCGAGCAAGACCGGCAAGTATTGACCACTTCAAGAATCGTTGGGTCAATTGCAAGTGTAGCGGCAGAATTAGAGGCGTCTGTGGTTGCACGGCGTGCGCGGAAATGGCGGCTCACGGCATAAATGTAAGACAGACCGGCCATGAAAACTGCATGCAGAGTGATCCAGGTATAGTTTATGCGTTGGGATGTATGCAACATTGCATACCGAGAGATTGCTTCCTTCGAGGCGTCGAATATAGGCTGAAGTACGACAGGCGCGCGAGTGGGGATGTTGGATAGCGCCGGTGAGGGTCGATAAAGCATAAGCAGCGTGTTGTAGTATAGCAGCTCATACCACTCGGGTGACAGATAACTAGATTGACGCGTTTTCTGGGTATCTGCGATGAGAGACAAAGTTGCTGTCTCGCTCCTCCAATTCTCTAACTCCTGAGTCAACGCCAAGCGTGTTGCTCCAGTAGATGTCTCGTCCTGAGTCTGCCCACGGGAGCTATGAAGTGAGACCATGACTTTGCCGCTAAGTATCCGATATCGAGTCAGATGATTGAATATTGCTGTTGAGGATGGGGTTCCATCATGTCTTTCCACATCTATGTCATTCGATTCGTCAAGATTCGGGTCTGGAAGGGTGGTATCTACATCTTCAAGATGGATAGCTAGTGGCCGGCCCAAGGTAATACTGACAACCCTACAGTATGTGTCAGCAAGTCAATAGAAAATCGAGGTCTGATTTCGTACCTATCCATATCAACAACAGACCAAAAGCATCGTCGACGAATCTCACTCTCGGTAAGAAACTCGTTGTTGCTAGTGGCATGAGGCATTGTTGAGGCACGGTAAGTCTGGTTACGGTGCAGTCCCAATTCAAAACACATTCGAGCAGCAATTCCAACCATATGCCACAGGCTCGCCGAGGTTTCCTCTGCCGAACTGGTCATTCTATATTGACATAGAAGGAGTACCGCTTGGAGGGCTTTAATATCAGTGCACTGCAAGACCTCGTTCACCCGAGCCATGGCGCGAGCCTGGAAGTTCTCGCTCTCAGGCAAAGACTGCCACTCGCATTTATGAGCACTAGCCATTGCTATTGCAAGTATCATGTAGAAAATGAATGCCATTCCAGCATCTCTTTCCAGGACAGAGCCATCGGCGTAAATGCGGTCAAGGTTTGCGAGTACGAGGTGGCGGTTTAGGAACGGAAAACAGAGATGATCATGACTGAGATACGCTTCGTGTAAATGTCGAGCTACTCTCTCCGGTGGTAAGGTCTCCTGTGCGAGCGATAGTGAGGAGGTGGGCTGTGGGGCCGTAACAGATCGCAAAGACGTCCGGTGGACGGACTGTCCCTGCTGAACGGGTGGATGCAACGAAGCAACTCCTTGAACAAGATCCGCAAATATAACCCCACTAGCAACTCCCAGATACTGGCCATCGCCACCAGCCTGTCGGGAGAGAAATGATACCTCGTCGGCGACCTCACTGCGGTCGAATGGGAACGGAGCCGCGTCGGGGCTCTGCGGTGGTGCTTGAGAATCTTGGCCTTGCTCATGACTAGATTCACTCCGCTGAGATGTCTGGTGTGAAACCAGCTGCGATGATAACGCCCGATTCTTCGCCTCCATTTGTCGCAAGCGTCTTTCAAGCCGGTCAAAGACTTCTCGGCGGACAGTCGGTTCCCGAGTCCGGTCCACGTAGTGGCATGGCGCGCGCGCTCTCTGACATTGGCCGCACGTAGGAATGGATTTGTCGCATTTTGACTTGCGACGGTAACAGCGATCACAAGCCTGCATTATGAGGCTATGTATACCGCCCTCCCCAACCCTTCGATGGCGACGTGAAATCGTGGAGAAAGTGCGGAGAAGCTGGGGTTGCCACGTTTCGGCGGTCGGCGCCGATGCCCGAGGGTCGTTTGGGCTGCTTAAACGGCTACAAGCTAATAGGTGAACGGCCTTTTTCTTCTTGAAAGGTTTCCTAAATCACTTGGACAATATTCTTGAAAATACATAGCTCATGAGCTAACTTTAATAAGCCACTCTCAATCGCTATTTTCCGAGTCGATGTCCTTGTGACGCGAAGCTGAAAATAGGAGTACGCATCCAATAACTCTCGTTTCGACATTCTCATACTCTTTGCAGAGAGCCTGGCGAATTTCATATTCTCCGTCATCCCGGTTTCCAAAGATCCCTTTGGAATTATAGAAATTCATAAGACGAGTCCCAAACCACTTATGTTGAACACCCTTCCCCAAAATAGTGGATCCATACAAAACTCCTTTCTGCGCCAAATGAGGCTTCAAACTCGTGAAAAGTTTCATTTTCTCTTCCAAGGGACCGGGAAGACAATGGAGAAGAAAGAATAGTGAGATCGAATCATAGACACCTTCCAGGGGAAGTGTTTGGGTCACATCGGCTTCGATGGTCACAGTCGACGGTCTGCCAAGCCGTTGCTTTGCCGCGTTAAGTGAATTTGTGTTTAGATCCAGTAATGTCACTGCGGTTTCTTCTGGAATATTGCCATGCTCGAGATAATAACCCGATCCGGGTCCAATATCGAGATGTCTTTTGCCGATGAATTGCTTGAAGAATGGCAATTGGATGCTCTTTGTCGGGCAGCGCCAAGCAAATGAATTTGAGATTTTGAGGACCCATAGATCGTAGAGTGATAGTATGAATGGTGAATAAATTGCTGCTCCAGCCTCTCCGGTCTGCCCAGTAGAAATTTCTACTTGCGTGGCCATGCTTTCTCTCGGGATCGGGCTATAGAAGTGGTCGGAGGTAGGATGAGATTTCCACCACTGAGAAATGAGGGGTAGTTCTACAGGGTTCTTTGCTTTCATTTATTACAGATTTTGCTAAATTCTTCAGTCAGATTGACTCCACCGAAACATGAGTAGGTTTACTGATAATTGCTAGCACGGTAGGCCAAGATCACCTTTTGGTGTTGAGAATTGGTTTCGTGAAGCGGCCTAGCCTAAAGGGGAGAGTGCACTGAAAATTGCGACCCGAAACATCCGGGCCCGCCAAGTAGATAAACCCTATTGGAAAAGTGTATTCTAATGTTTATCAAATGATGGCGAGATTGGCAAAGGCAATTGCCAATCTGGTTGCAAACTTTTGTGACTAATTGTTGCAACGCCGTACCTTCGTCTATACTGGATTATCTTGGTCTTGGAACACAGACATATTAATGTCATCAAGCGATCCCCACCAGTGTGACCACATTCCTTGTTCATGGGCATACGTGCTGACTTCAGTGAGAAGATTGTTGAGTGGCATATCCAGATCCAACGAATCCGTACCGGCATTTGTCGCGGGAGTAGGAACTGGAACGGCCTCTCGCTCCGCGCCCTCTATTTCCTGAAGATGTTGGTCAGATCGGTCAACAACCCGGAATTCATGAATCGACTGATGCAGAACGTCAAAGTCAGCCCGTGATTTCCCTTGGTATCGGGATCTATCAGACGTGGCTCGCTGGTACAAAAGCGATGCGTTCTTAATGGTTGCTAGCTATTCGATTGAGAACTATTTGTTAGTCACGCTTGCTAGAAAGGATGGGTTGGAGATATCACGATTTAACTTACCCAACTATCTCCGAGCGTCCACACCTGTCGAAAGTTTTCAAGATAAGCCATGCAGTAAGCCAGATTGCGCTCTGCATTCTGACTGCGGCCCAGGTTCATTTGTGGAAATCGGAAAACGTAAAGATTCATGTATGCCGCCGAAAATGCACAGAATCCAACAAAAGGAGATATAATCTCGGCACCACATTCAGAAGCCTCGTGCAGAAGGCAGGCAATATTTTCTGCGGCTCCGAACAACTCAAATGCACTTGCTTCCCACCATCCTTCCGGTGACTCTCCCTCTAGTGTTGGAGGATCGATTGGTCCTCTGGGGGCCGTCAGTCCAGTTGGCATGAACGGGAAATATTCTCGGTGGAGCATTAATGTACTAAAGTACACCTGGTTAATGTCTGCTAAGGAGGAGCCGAGGAAAAGGCTATGCACGTACCATATTGAATAAAGCAGATTAAGATAAGTAAAAGATTCCCCGTAGCCTAATGTCGTGTGGGCCAGCACACTATTATCAGGATAGTAAAGCCTGTGGTGCTGATTGGCCCGCCATGTTTGAAGGTGATGTCTTGTTTTTGACCAGGGTGATTCAGAAGCCCAAGGGCAATTCTGTGGAGCGCACATTCCCGGCGCGCGACGTCCATCATTATAGATAAAAGTCATGACTTGTGCCCAGATATCAAATCCAGAGACGAGAACTTCGAAGGACTGCGTGATGTCAAACAGAGCGGTCTGCTCGCGTTGTGGTGTTGAAAGATTATTTTCATTGCCATTCATTTGCGAAACAAGATCAGGTCCGAATGCAAACTCGACGGCACTCAGAGGCCGAAACACTTTGAGCTTTTCCATCTCCGACCATGGAAGCATAGGAGGGTTGTATGTTCCCGAACTGACCATGCGATCCAGGATAAAGCAGGCCCAAGTGGTTCTATTCTCGATCGCGAAGGAAACAGCTTCACGCTGGTTTGGAGTCGAATCCAATGGATAAGGTGCGATTCGTGAACTGTTTAATGCTTGCATGATTCTTGTGGCGATACCTACTGCCGATTAGCTCGCTGTTGACTTAGAGCTTGGTTCGATTTCCTACTTACCACAGTATATCCAGGCCCGATGAAACTCTCGAGTACCCCACTCGTATACAGTCATTATAAGCAGCGCCTGCGCTACCTCGAGTCTGGGAGCCTCAAAGGAGCTCCGAGACAATCTGTCTCGGGCATACTCCGCATAGCGCTCTTTTGGTAAGAGAGAGCTTTCCCAAGGAAACGTGATGAGCAAGGGATGGGATCGGGTGATTGCCAATAAGGCAGCCAGTAGAGTCTTGATTTCCTTTGTATCTTGCGATTGGTGCTTCTTGGCGAAAGAGGGAAGGTGAAGAATGGCCAGCTCGGGGTATTTGTTCACGAAAACGTTTAATGATTTCAAGACAAGGTCAGTTGATAACCCCGTCAAGTGTCCGTCTGTATGTGAGAGATCCCCATCGTCGCGAGCAAACTTTTGATTGCTTGGTTGCAGATCCTGGGCTACTCTTGCAGGTGAGGTCGCTGTACTTGACGGCACAGGGCTTTCATTTTCGTGTTCGTTGACGGAACGTCGACCTGGGGTATCAAGTCTATCGCGACGAATGGATTTTCGTGGGGTCTTGTTTGGCGGTCTGCTAAGTTCACAGCCTGGTATTCTTGATTTTCGGCACTTTTGGCATGGTGCCGTGCCTTCATTAATGCATTTGATTTTTGACTTCCTATAGCTCAAATGTCAGCCCATAATCTAATGTGACGAGTGATGTCATTTGACCAGGGGGTATTGTCCCACCTGCAGAATTCACACGAGAGGCTTGATCGCATGCCGAATAAGCTGTGGCCCGTGGTCAGCGATGAGTCTAACTGGATGGCAAGAATGTTTCTCGGATCTCGTCGGGTTTGCCGGATTTCACCGTTCCCGATGCTGCTGAGTCATCCAGTTTCGGCTTTGAAGACGCCGACTTCGGCTTTGGCTTTGGCTTTCTTACAACTCACTCCAGGCACTGGTGGATATTTGATATTTCTTCTCTTTGTCCATATTGGTGTAGAAAGAATAAATACCTCACTTGACGTCCTCCCTTTTGACAAGCAACTCGAGACTAAAATGACAGAATAATAAGCAGTTTTTTAACTCTCGATGCAGTCAGTGTATGGGCACTCGAAAACAATATTCCAATATATGACAATTTGAAATTGAATTTCTGAGTATTCTAGATTTTCAACATACTCTTACCTTCCTCAATCGTGTAGTGGCTGATGTTGATGTTGATGTGGATATTGATTTATCTTGAAAGGGGCGGCCCGCCAAGACTTGAGGCTCAACCACTCACTCTCCTCCCCTGAATGGACGACAACAGTTTACCAATCACCACTTAATACTATCCACTCCTCGTTTCTCATTCCAGACCATCACCGCTTAGGGTCTCCGGGAATTCCGGATCAGTAAAAGCATATGCTGATATCCAATGGATCGTCTCCCCAGTGAGATCCTACTTGCGATCGCAACCAATCTTGACGCCTCATGGGATATCAACGCGCTAGCTCAAGCAAACCATCGTTTCTTCAATACTCTAAACAACCATCTTTATCGACACGATGCACTCTTCAATGGCATGAATTCCCTTTGTTGGGCGGCGCAGCGCGGAGTCGTCGCAACGGCCCAATTCTCAATAAACGCTAGCCGGGGAATCGATGATGATGATTGCGAGCCACTATTCAATCTCAATTACGCCCTGTACGAAGCCGTCATGAACCGGCATATCGACGTCATCTCCTGCATTATTAAGGTGGAAGGCGCGGATCCGAACATCCGGAGTGATTTCCGCCCATTGCCCGCTATGTGTATAGCGGCCCGGGAAGGCTATACGGAGATTATCAAAGTCCTGTTATTGGCCAAAGATACGCATCCGAACCCCAAGGACTCCTTTACGCCATCACCTCTGTCCCTAGCAGCTTACCGAGGCTTTGTCGATATTGTCGAGCTGTTACTAGATGTAACGGGGATAGACGCCGACTGTCGTGACTCGAACAACCGCACACCCCTCTTCTATGCTGTCTTATCAGACTCACCTTCACCTGAAGTAGTATCGTGCTTCCTTGGTCGCAGCGACCTTACCATCGATGTGAATGTTGAGGACAGGTCAGGGGATAGGCACACCCGAAACACGGGCAGGACGCCGCTCATTGTCGCGTCACAGTTCAAATCCGCTGCTATTGCCAATCTCCTCCTAGATGTACCGGGGATTGATGTCAATCACTCCGACCAGTCAGGGAAGACCGCGTTGCATTTTGCAGCTGAGCTTGGCAGAGAGGATATTGTGCGCGCTTTATTACAGCACCACGCTGATCCCGACCCAAAGGATAATGAGAACGAGACTCCCCTCTTTCTAGCGGCGAAGAATGGATCAGTGCCAGTTGTCAAGATGCTCCAGGAAGCCGGCGCCGATCCCAATCACATTTGCGATAATAGAGCACATGCACTAGGTGCAGCCCGGACGGAGGGCCATGGAGAAGTTGCGCAGGTTCTTCGCGACTTTGGTCGACTTGATTTGAACTCTCTCGGTCCAGTTCCTCGGAATTGGAATGCTTCCCGTGGCAAGATGTGGATTGAAAGAGCCCAAAAGAATTCTGACGACCTTCCATGAGCATCGAGTTTGCTTTTTTTTCTTTCTTTTAACGATTAGGACTCCGCAAGCATCCAGGCGGTAAAATTATGATGAACCAACTTGTATTATCTCCTCGTTTAGCACTTTTCCAATAATCATGAAAGCCAAAAGGAAAACTACATAGAACAGCACAGATTCGCATTTAGTCACCTATCATACTACTAACTTGCCGGCGCGTGGCTAGTCTACGGTTCGTATTCAAGTGAGTGCCGCCCGGGTGAGAAAAGGGTAGGTGCGCAATTAACACGGTGAGAAGCCAGGTGATAATTAGTCCTCACTACGCAAAAACCGCACTGACCCCTTGCAGCTGAAAAAGAGTATAATATTATTGGGTCAACTGTTTTCATCCGAAACGTTCGGCCTCTTGGCATCTACGCACAGCCACTTGGTGGGACGTGGGGATTCAATGGAGCCAAAAATGGTGTTTAAACTAGCTTCTTAGGTGCACTCTTGGCATAATGGACTCATACTAGGAAGATGGAAGGTAAAGTAAAAATATTGACAATCATTTCATCTTTCGCCAGAAACTGAAGATGGCTATCGAGAAGCTAGAGCGCAACAGGAATCTCTTCGAGAAAAGATTACTTGCAGACTTGAAAATAATCCAAACCACACGGGCTGTTGGTGCAGACCAAGGAAGGCTAATGCACAGATCGCCATACTTGACGGCCACATGTAATATCTGAATGATGTACCTGGGAAACTGGAAACGATTGTCCAGAGCCCAAATATAAACGAGTCGAATGCAACTGAAAGATGCCAAGGCCACTAGAGGGCGTTTGCGATAGCGGTGTATGCAGCCTTGGGGTTGTAGTTACTGTCGAAAAGCAGAGGACTGGAACTGGCCCTCCACGAATCCTAAACATCATCCGGTGTTATTATACAGTATATTCTAGACAAAATTGGCACTTGGCACTTACAGGGTCAGCCACTCCCCAAACTGTGATTCCGACACACTTTGGCTGGTTCAAGCAGGCGTTGACAACCTGTTGATTGTGGAATTAGTAAGAAGTCATCATGTCAGTAGTTAAGTTGCGGGGGGTAGAAGGTGGGGAGCTCACGTTCACGTAGTCGGTAGAGCTTGCGCCAGCAATATCAAGCTCGGTGATGGCAACTTCCTTCGTTCCCGCGCCTGCTAGAGCATTGAGAGCTGTAAGAGGCCGTAAGTCACTACTCAATTGAAAAAAGGGAGGACGGTACTTATCCTGAAACTGCAGCACCGCCACCGGCGCCTAAGTGGGTTTGCGAGCCTTTGACGAGTAAGTAATCATGTTCGGTGAGCTACTATGGTAGGTGTCTTACCAATTCCATCAATTGGGATACCGGCAGCAATCCACTTCTTGACATGGCTGACCATACCCTGCACTTTAGAATAGGAGGCAGAATCCAGGCTGTACAATATCAGAATTAGACATGAAAAACAAATAATAATGGGAAAGGGAATGGGTATGGGTTGAGACTCACTTGTAGTCGTTGATGTAGAGCTTGGCATTTGGATCAACAGCGCGAGCTGTTTCAAAAGCGATCCGTACAAAGTCCTCTCCCAGAACATTGTAGAATACACTGTTGCGCAGGAACCGTCCTCGTTGAAGATTTCGTTCACAACATCCTGAAATCGATTAGTAACATAGTTGTATAGAAAAGAATATAACTTACCCAGGCATAGATCTTGCCCTTATAGCGGTTCATGACTGTTGTAATGTGGTTCTTCATGACATTGGTCAGGGTGGTCTTGTCTGAAATGGAAGACACCCATCCTGGGAGCTGAGAGTGCCACACTTGACGAGTTTAGTATTTTCTATTGTGAGAGTTTTGCGCTCTTAGGCTCCGAGAACTTACCTAGAGTATGGCCACGGACCAACTTCCCATTGGACTGAGCAAAGTTGACCTAGATTTTGTAAGCAACTGGCAAAGAAGTGGTTGCCTTGTTAAAGGCCAGCTGCGTACATACCAGATAGTCCGACCCTGAAAAGGAGAACTGCCCTTGGTTCGCTATTTTGCAAATAAGCTTTTGATACGCAAGTATCTCATAGAAATTTGTCCTCACGCTCAGTAGCATCCCACTTCATACTGTTCTCGGGGGTCAATTGACCGAAGTCGGCTTTGATGATTGCCGGGGTCTTTGCGTTCTTGTTGAAAGTGTACTGTTCACCAATAGTTCCAAAATATTTCTTTCCGTGCGTCTTGAACTTAGCATCAATGCTCACAGATGCCTGTCGAGAATCAAGAGGCCCGGAAAGCGCTTGGCCAGCGAAAAGGATAGCCAGTGCAACGGCCTTGATTTGAACCATATTGAGGAATGTTTTAGGATCAGATGAATAATGGAAATGAGGGTATAGAATGATACCATCTAAGGAGCATGAAGGCAATACTTATACAACATGACAGTCAAAATTGCTTGAGGCAAAATAGTTCATAGCTCAACCAACTACTAGCCGAACGGACATCCTTCCCGATTGAGAACGGATGTTGCATCATCTACGAAGACCCTGTTTCAAGGATGGAGAACGTATGTGTCTAGCCAATTCAGCCCCTTATTAAAAGAACCCGGGAAAAATAGTACTCGTTCTTTTTTTCAGCCTAAATGACCGCATATAAGGTTTTGGGCTGGATACTAACAAACATCCAGGCCCATTCAAGTTTCATGTAAGCCCAGAGCAAGGCCATAGCTCCAGCATATGCCAATCAAATGATATCAATTTTAGCATGTGTTCAAGGAGAACCTTACGATGCGGTCTGCAGAAGCTAAGCAAGGGTCCAAGTGTGGAGGCACTGGCGATCACCGATACGCTAAGGGTCCAAATTAAGCTACTCCAGCCTCGCTACAACATACTACTACACTTTCCTCGGCTAAATTTCCCGAGGTATCCCCGAAAATAATTTGTTCCAACTTTCTTCAAGTAGCGTCAAGTCTAGCTAGGCATGATCCCGACTGAAAAGATAATAGCCATCAAGCAGAAATTTTTCTGAGACACAAGTGTGTTTTATAATGAAACATTCCTATAATGACAACTACCAGAACAAGTTTAATCTGTCTAGAGTCACCATCTAGATTCACAATTCCTTTGATTTTACCCAGCCTCGCGGGCCGTTCCGCCGTTCCACGAATCTCTGTCACAAGACGGTGCTTTACTTCAAATACAAGGATGGAATGGCTAAAATGGTGCGGGGTTTATGTCGGAATCTATACCTAGAAAGGTGACCAATGATTGTTTCTGCCTAATTTAGTTTACCCAGTCAGCACTTCGAAACCTTGGGACGATTTCATTGAGAGAAGGAAACGTATCAAAAGCCATACTTTTAATTTAAACTTTGCGGAGTTTATCCAGGAAGAGGAAAAATTAGGATAATTTATTTTCTCGCGTAAAAGTTTCGCTGCGAAACTTAGAAACTATTTAATCCAGAGGTCTTACTCGGGGTATTTATACAAGCTTTGCTCCTTTGCTAAATACTTCCGGGCTTCAAGTTCGCTTTCCTCATTCATTTTTTCAAAACAATCGATAATCGGAATCTCAACAAAAATGAAACTCCTCGGCGCGAAATTTGGCCTGGTGACTAGCATCGCCTTGCTCACATCAGTGCCGGTTGTCGTCGCTGACTGTGCTCTTCCATCAACTTATAGTTGGACATCAACTGGCGCTCTTGCAAATCCTAAGTCCGGGTGGACGGCAATCAAGGACTTGACCAACGTGGTTTTCAACAACAAACATCTGGTCTACGCATCAACCACCGACACAAGTGGGAACTATGGCTCGATGAACTTCGGTACCTTTTCGGATTGGTCTGGCATGGCATCTGCAAGCCAAAACAAAATGAGCTTTTCAGCCGTCGCGCCTACCTTGTTCTATTTCCAGCCAAAGAACATCTGGGTTTCTAGCCTATCAATGGGGCTCCAGCACTTTTACCTACCGAACGTCAAGTGATCCTACCAATGCCAATGGATGGTCATCGGAGCAAGCCCTTTTTTCAGGAAAAATCTCTGGTTCAAGCACCGGCGCTATTGATCAGACTCTCATTGGTGACTCTACCAATATGTACCTCTTCTTTGCGGGAGACAACGGCAAGATCTACCGTTCTAGCATGTCTATTCAAAGTTTCCCTGGAAACTTTGGAACATCGTCAGAGGTAGTGCTGAGTGATTCTCAGAACAATTTGTTTGAGGCAGTCCAAGTGTACACCGTCAAAGGTCAAAACAAATATTTGATGATTGTCGAAGCAATTGGATCACAAGGGCGGTATTTCCGTTCATTTACTGCGAATAGTCTTGGTGGTTCGTGGACGGCTCAAGCAACAAGCGAGAGCAATCCCTTCGCTGGGAAAGCCAACAGCGGCGCAACCTGGACCAACGATATCAGTCACGGTGATTTGGTCCGCTCCAATCCTGATCAAACCATGACAATCGACCCATGCAACCTCCAGTTCCTCTATCAGGGACGAAATCCAAGCTCTGGTGGAAACTACAATACCCTACCTTGGATGCCGGCTGTGCTCACCTTGAAGAACTAGATGAGATTTGGTATTGAGAGAGGAGAACGAAGCTGTGCGGACGAGATTGTGACAGTTGTGAGAAGATGAATATGTAAATTCTAAACTTTATGGAGAGAAACTCATTTTAAAGAGATGTGTGGCGGTGGAAGAATAGTTATGGAATGCTCAAGTATGGTTTCATCAATATTTGCTAGTTAACTTGGATGTAAGCTGGCTCACAGTCACCAATCAATGCAGCTCACTTTTCCATTACTAGTATTGATTGACAGATGCCGCTGTGGGCTTGGTGTCAACATTTTTTTCGTATATACTCCTTTCAAGTTGACATGAAAACTTTTACTGGAGCTCTCGCACAAAAATACAATTCACCAGGTCATATTTATGAATCATCAACAGTACCCACACTATCAAATACTATTTACTATTCAAGCAGCCATGAAAAACTCCCAAGTCGCATCCGGAGCAAGATTGTTACCAACGCCAAGGGGTGCAGCGTCATGTCCTCCATCATAGGCAATAAACGAAACTGGCTTGGAGCATCCTTCAAAGTCCGTTCGAACAAAACCGTTGCTCCCGGACTCAGGTTTACCGATATCTTTTGGCTGGCAACCGTTATTCCCAACAAACTTATTCGCCAGACCCACGCCCCGTCAAAGGGCAGCACTGGGTCGTTGATCCCATGAATACCCAAATAAGGAATAGGATCATTGCCACCATCACACCCGCTGATCACCCCACCGCTCAGCACACTCACTGCCTTGAACTCCTTCGCCCGCGAACAAGCAAGCGCATAGCTCATTCCCCCGCCCCAACTGAATCCCGTCGCGAAGCGAGAACTGGAGTCCACGCAGAGGTCATCCTCAACTTGCTTGATGATGGCGTCTATGAAGGATACATCTTCGCCGTTGGTGTTGGCCCAGCCGGCGTTCCTGCCATTGGGGGCTACCAGGATTGCGCTGCCTTGTGCTCTGCTTTCGAGACCGTACCAAGGTTGAACACTCTGACCGTCGATGACAGAGTTCATGTTTCCGCCTCGCCAATGGAGGCCGAAAATGAGTTGATGTGGTTTGTTGGGGTCGTAGTTGTCGGGGACCTTGAGGATGTACTGGCGGTCATTGATATTGTTGACTCCATTGGTGAGGGTCGGTTGTTTGCCGCAGCCCGAGGATGTGGCGGCGTCAACTGAGGCTAGAAAGCTCAGGGCTAGGAGAGAAGGAAGGAAGATCATTTTCAATCGACAAAGAGACAAGATTACAGATAATGGAACTCTTGTCAAATAAAACTTTGGATTTTGGCTCAATCTTCGAGGTTCCAAGCTTGTTCGTGAGTGGGAAGGTAAGAGAGTAACTTGAAAATTCACAGCTATTGGTATGTACTCGTATTTATACCCTCAGCTCTTAACGTTGGATGACTCCCGAGGTCGGATTAAGATGACAATATGTTCACCGAAACTCCCTTCCTCAACCAGAACGGTGCTCTGCCTGATACACTTTCGGTAGGAGGCCCCTATTTCCCCGAGTATCATGCGAGGCCTTTACTTGATGTAACGACAGCTCTGCCTAGACCCTAGCCGGGTAAATGCGCTGCAGCGACCAGGAATATCTTGGTACCTTACCGGGGAGGAAAGAGCTGCCAAGGCACAGAGTTGTTGACCCTGTTTCTTCAGTCCCCGCAGTTTAGCAAGATTTTATGTAACTATTACTCCTGGATCACATTCCCATACCGCTTGGTGTATTTACAAAGGATCGGCGCAGGTTTTGCCATGAACCTGGTCAAATTCTGGATAAATAGCTATAGGTCGCTTCAAAACGCCCCATGATTTCCACATGAGCGTCACAAATGCGCAGTACTCCCAAGTAGGCTATTATGTCAACTGTCAAAGGGGTAAAGTTCTGCGAAGTCCAAACAGCCATAGGATTTTTATAAGCCCTCAAAATTCTATAATAAACCTAGTATGACATTCGGACTTTTTTCGGAAGAAGTAATGTGGTAACACGTAGAAGACAGCCCCTGGGTCGTTTCCACAGAGCATAGTTAACACACTAGCACTTTTAATTCAACACGTCCATCAAATTCCCATCCTTGAGACCAGCTCGTGCACATATCCCGCTTCCTGACGTAGTACTTCATTTGACTCAATCTGTAACAGACCCTGAAAATCGAAGGATTCAATTAATTTCGCCAAGACCCTCGACTCTCGATCTACCAATCATAAAGCCTCCAGTCATGGAACAAGGGATTTAGCTTTGACATGCCAAGGCTTTACCGGCAAGTAGGGCCATTGTTTTTGCCGAGAAGTTTGTTTAGGTATACTAGTCCATGTCCTTGACATCGATCATGTCCCTATTTATTAATTTATAGAAAATGGTGTAGATTGATTCAGGAAAGGGCTGAGATTAAATTGGAGTGCGGAGTGCCAAGGATGGAATTAAAAAAAAAAAAAAAAAAAAACATAAAAACGAAACATACAACAGATATTGTATGTCGGTGGTCATCTAGCACCCATAAATCTGTCCTAGATGGCTCGCCGCCCTAGCGGGGCGCCTCTTCAGCCCTTCACCTGAAGGGCCGGAACTGGTATATAAAGGTTGCCTTTGTAAATTCTGGCAGGGAAAGATTTAACGAGGTGCTAGAGCGCAGACGAGGGATAAAATGAAGGTCTTCGCTTTTCTTTACCGGGCTATCTTTACCTAGCCGCTGCTATTGATCTCTTAATTAGTCAACTTTTTGCTACTCTCTACCATAAGGAACAAAAAGAGTAAGTATCTCTTAATTAATTTAACAGTATTGATAATAAGAAGATAGCCTATATAGTACTGCTATAGACAGAAAGAGACTAGAAGGAGGCCTTGAATCTATTTGATATATAAGGTATCTGTTCCTTAGCGGCTCTGTTTCTAGTTAACGATCTAGTTTTATTAAGTTATACTCTATATCTTAAAATCTACTGAACCCTTAAATAAGTAAAGGATTCTTGCTCTAGATAGTCCTAAATAAATATAGTTATATTAAAGAGAAGCCTACTTTAGAGATACTGTAGAGGTTCTGTAAGTTACTTTCATTAAAGACAACACCGATTTTCCCTTCTCAAATTCTAGTTGTACACTCAGCATAGAAACAAAAGCATTTTCATTAGCATATTGAGTGCAAGCACATAAGTCTCTGAAATACTAGTACAACTAATTAATGTTTTAATTACTTTTAAAGTACCCTCTAATTTATAATATAATTTACCTGCCGCACCTCCAACCTCACTAACTCAACTATAAGTTCCCTGCGACGGCTTTAATCGATTAAATTGAGAAGATTGATTTTCCAAACATCCCTTAATATACGATAATACTCACATTTTAAAAGATTCGATATATTGATATCTCGAGTTAACACACGCAGTGAAGCGGCACGGTCGCTCAAAATTATCACGACGATTCCAAAGTCTCATATGTTCTTCAAAATTCTGGCTGGTGTAGAGTCGGATAGTAAAGATTCGCCGATGTTTGCTAGATTAGATCAGCAGTACTACTAAGTACTTGAAATACTTAGTTTTACTTTACCTTTACAAGTAACAGGATGTTGCTGAAATCCAGCATTCAGTATGTGATTTTGAAAATGCCGTGAACGTATACCAGTCCTCCGAGAAGCTCTTTACACACCGTCTCTGTCGGCTTCGCTAGGAGAAAAAAACGTCTGCCACATAACGAAGACTAATTATCAAGTGCTTATACTCGTAGACCAAATGAGCCTCGCGTTCTGATTGGAGGTAGTTCTTAAAGGAGACGAAATTTCTGTGGCCGGCAGGCCGGGTTTTACCAACTGATCCCATCTTGAGGCCGACTACGCTTGATAAGTCAGATGTTTAACTTTACTTAGACTGCTTACCTGCCCTCAATGCGTCTCTCGGCTGGCTAATTGCGGTGTGATGAGTAATGACCGCAGAGACGCCTTATAATCAGCCAAAGGCACCAGGGCTGAAGGAGTGCGCTACGAAAGCGCTCGCCCGCACCAGCGAACGAGACAACTCCAAGAATTATGTGCAAACCTGGATATCAAACTGCATGAGGTACTTGCATCTTACTGGCAAATGATTTGTGACTAAGTAGCGGTAGAATCAACCAGTGACCTGTAGTGGGGTGTTTTTCCTATAATGCGGTAAGGCAGGCAGTATATCACATATATCTAAACAGCCTTATTGTTTTGCTAGTAGACGTATTTCCACCTGAATCAAGGGCTTGTAATTAAATCAAAGGAAAAGAAAAAGGTATTCTTTACGTACGGAGTAAATGGTGATCCCAAGGGACAGTACAGGGTCGTGCTTCTCCAAAGTGGAGCAACGAACAGCCTAGGATCAATCAGACATGTTACTAATGATGCCCAACCCGTGAATGTGATTCCAGAGTCTTTCTGAGGAACCCATCCTCTACTCACATACTATAGCAAGATATACAAAAAAGCCCAAAAGCCAGGTCTGTCCGCTGAAAAGGTGAAGACGCGCTACTGGTGGGAATACTTCGGATGTCGTGCTTTAGTAGTTTACAAAAACCGTCCCGACGGCGGAAGCTCTGAATTGGAGAATCTCAAGTCAGATGTTGGATATTTGCTAAATACACATTGAGTAGAGCAAATCATGCAGATTATAGAAATTGGGCCAGCTGACCGCAAACGTTGACGCTCTCGTAGTTGAGGCCGAAACCCTTGGTCTCAGGAATGATACGGAAGTAGAAATTGGCCTGGTGATCGGTCTTGACCAGTCCGATGTAATCAGACATCTTCATGCTGTTTGCGTCAGTCGCCGTTTTACCCTCGAGCGAGATAATTGTCTTAGGGACCCCTGCTCTAAATGCCTCAACGGCTAAAAACGAATACACGATAATACAACTATAAACCCGCACGGTAATCGACCGGAGGATTTGATGGATTGTAGTCAAACGTAAAAATTTGTTGATTCTTCTGCCTTATGTATAGACTATCGCAGATCTGTAGATCACTCTGTATCTAGCCAAGATATTGAGGTCCACTCGAGTGGGAGCCGAATGATACACTAATGTAGTTAAGTACCTCCGCTCTTCAGTTAGGTGCTCTTTAGCGGCGTTATTTGCCAGTGGCCAGAAGCTGGCTATCACATGCCGCATCCTGAGAATCCGAGGCAGGCCCTGCAAGGATCCTGATAGCAGCTCGCGTAATGAAGGGTCCCACAGAACCAATTTTTTTGCGTAGACTTTTGACTAGTCTGCGATGAAATGACAGAAAGAATTTACTCGAAAGCATGCATTTAGGTGAGAGAAATTGACTTAGTACTAAACGGCCCCAGTTCTAATTTGGCAAATCCTAATTGAACCGCCCAAAAAAAGATAATATTCGAGGCAACCTATATCTGGGCTAAAGACAGAGTGATCCGCCGATCTGCGATAGTCTATAAGTAAGGCAGACGAATCAACAGATCTTTACGTTTGACTATAATCCATTAATTCCTACGGTCGAGTACCGTGCTGATTTATAGTTGTATTATCGTATATTCGCGTCTAGCCGTCAAGTCAATTAGAGCAGGGGTCCCGCAGACAATTATTTCGCCCAGGGGTAAAACTCGGTATCCCAGGCCTTGTTGGTTCCTATGGCTCCAGCGGAGCTCTTGGCGTCTCTACGACCCCCGCCAAGCACTCTCCCATTTCAAGGTATCTGGAAACCAACTCGGTGAATGGACTTTTCATTCTAAAAAGTACTACTATGGGGCGGACTTTCATACTCTCGGAGGGAGCTTAGCACTAGATAACGCCATTCAGTCCCTTGTACTTCTATTTGTGGCTAGGTTACGAATGCGAGGCTCCATCGGAGGAGACCGTCTGCAGTAGCAAGGCTTGGCAAAATTTAAGTAGGACCGATTACTAACTATTCCGTACTAGTATCAAGCTTCGGCGACGCCGAGCATATCCGAGACATTTAAGATTGACAAGCCGAAATCTTAATCGATTGCAGGCCAGCCCTCTAGATTTTGTGGGGCGTAAAAGTCAATTATTTCAGGCTACAGAGTATGCTCATTACTACTCCGTACCTACGGAGTACTCCAGGGCTTACTACTCGAAACATATGTTGGTAACTTGAATGTCTCTGTTTCATACATAGTATTCATCAACAACGCCGGGGACATTCAAAACAGGCTGTGTATATCGCCTCACCCTGGAGAGGCTTATGAAAAGTCAGTCCGGGCGATTTGTTACTTTTGCCATCTCCTTTATACCCCAGAGATCCGAGATATCTCCCAGGCCACTGGGCTCATTCTCGTCACTTTGAACACTTGGCTCTCCGCAAGTTTTGGTCCCTAGCTATCTATTCTATTGAACCAACCGTCCGATCCGCTGTTTGGCAGCCTAATTCTCTTACCGTTCAAAATGGCAAATGGAGGCCCCCAAGACCCGAAGTCAACATATGCTCGCAGCCCTGACGTGGATCCTATTTTACAAAATCGACTTGTTGGAATCGCAGACGCCTATCCTGGCAATCCCATTGTCAAATGGCTTGTCGTACCATTTGCTCGACACCCTTTCAAGTGAGATATACCTTTTCAGCGTCTGAACGAGCACCAAGCTAACTAAATTAGATCTACTCTAGCGGTCATGGTATTGCTATTTGGCCCGCTTATTACATGCAGCTTTGGCAATAATGGTGAAAAGGTTTGTGACGGAAGATTTCTAACAATGTTATCTTATGGGTCACTTGTTTTTATGATATTAATCTGTTATATGGGTTACCTTCGCAGGAGGCTCGCGAAGGAGGGGCGGTCGGGGCAGGTGGCTTAAACTCGCAACAGCTTTACAGCAATTCTAGAATTTCTCTACCTGAAATTATACGGATGACCTATACAATCGTCCCTGTGGAAACTCTTTGTGGCTTAGTCGCTTCAGTCATGTAAACCGGCCCAACCTAACTTCCTCTGTTTGATCCCGGAGAAGCAGCTTTCTGGTCATCTAATCTCACAATTTCTTATTCTCTCTCCTCTCAGTGATGAACCTGGAACGCAACCAGGTGTTGAGCTTCTAAATATGCATGATTATCAGAATCGCCCGACCTGTGGCAAGGACCAAACAACTTTGTTGTGAAAAAAACTATTCTTGGAGTTGTTATAAATATGAAGTTCCCAGTCATCACGTGAGCCCAACAAAGAATCTCGCTCCCAACCGAGCCGAGATCGATGACTTTTGGAACATATCATAACGTCAAGACTGCAGATGAGCCTCGACTATAAGCTATGGAGTCTATGTAAACAAGGGGGTATTACACCTGGGATATCTGGCCATCTTTACTTCCGAAACAAACACTTAAAGAATCGGTGATGTAGCGACGATCTCCTAGACGAAATTTATCTTCGCAGACACGCAGAAGATGTTCATCGTTTTGCTACCGAATTAAATTACATTAATAATGACGATTAATCACATTGTGTCCTTTGAAGCAATGGCCGAATCATCCAAAGTGAGGGCAAATATATTTTTTCCAAGAGCAGAGTCCCTTGATTTCGCCTTTTATCGACAGGTGGTTTGCACCTCTGTCTTCTTCTCACCCCGGACGATAAGAAAAGGATATCATCATCTAATTCTGCAGAAAAAAACTTATCTATCCAAATCTTATGCAATTTCTGTTTCTTTACTTCTTTACTTCTTAGAATAACATTTGACCCTCAGTTTCATCTCTAAGGACGGCATTTCTATCTAAACCGAATGAATTGATCCTTCTGTTTTGTCTCTTTGCCGAGGTGTCGATGGTTGGAATGGAAGTTCAATGATATTAACTAGCTGATTTTGTGAGATACAACTGTATTGAAAAGTTCAGATCTGACCTTGTGATTTGCAGATACTAAATTAGGTCAGTTTATCATTATTCGAGAGCTGTATCTGCCTACCTGTAATCAGAGACCTTCTTTGAAGTCCCAAAAGTTCAGGGGAATGACCTTGTCTACATTGATACGTCCAGATATTTTGTATATCCTTCTATACTGACTTTTCCAATCCTCTGGCTCTGTATCACAGGCTATTTCAACAGTAGAAGGTATATAAATACTAAATTACAGATTCTAGAGGTTAACTAAGCCGAGGAAATATTTAAGAATATCAAACTACCTATATATACCTTTGTCTTAGGATAGAAGCTCGCTTATCTATTAGTATACATAATCCAGGTCTGCTACAATAAACTGTTATTTATATATATATTTTAATCAGTTAAGAACTTATAAGGATATTCTATGTCCTATGTAACAAAGACATCTTGGCTTAGCTTCTCTATTAGGCTCTTCTCCATAAGTAGATAAAGGTATAAAAGCTATAATACAATCCTAATTCTAGTTATAACCAGCAGTATCTAGTTATATTTATCAAGCTCTAGGTCAGTACTATATAGACTATCTATCTAGACAAGCAGACTGCTATTAAAGTGCCTAGCTAGCCTGTAAGTAAAGATATTTGTATTCTAGATAAGATATATAACAGTTTCTAGTCTTCTATTGTAATTAGTCTGCTACTAAGCTATTTGTCACGGGATCTATCGAATTGGTAGCAAGCCCTAGCCCTATCAGGATCGAGAAAGATCCGGCCCATCCTATCGAGATATCTAATAAGATCGCGATACAGACCCGACGGAGGTTAATTCCGTCGGTATCATCGGATAATATGGGGTTGTGACGGTATTGATACTACCCTGATCCATATTCGATTCAGAATGGATCTCCGGACTCTTTGTTATATTAAACAGGCAATTGCCACTCGATTCTTTGAAGGTTCTTCAAGAATCAGTTTCATTGTCTACTATATATTACAGCTTTCAATCTCTACCAATCACCTGGTCAACTGGTCATGTTAGACCAGACAGTGGTAATAGCAACAATGTTTCTGGTCTACCCATCAGCATAAGAACAGAGTAAGACTATATAACAGGGGTGTATAGGTAATATTAAAAAAAATGTGGCAGGTTTAACCGAGCAGCCACATTATCCGTTCAGGGGCTTTAAGGTGTTTAGGTGCGGGGCTAAAGGGACTGAAGAGTAAAGCGGCAGGGGCACTTGCCTGACGAATCAAAAAGAAATAGGTAAACACAGACATACAACAGCAGGGATTCGCATGTGGTCACCCACCATACTACTAACCTGCCGGCGTGTGGCTTAAGTACGGCTGAGCGGACGGGAAGCCCTGTTCTCCACACCCTATGGTCGTATGTACTAGACACAGCTGGAAAGGGGGTTATATAGTAGAAGAATTGTTTGTAGAAACTACAAGTTTGAGTGCGTTTTGCTTCATCAGTGCCATTTGCGTGGGAATCCTAGGCTCTAGCGCTTTTATCATCCCATTTGCGGTATAACAGATTGATGCCCAAGAGTTACGCATATCACCCATCGAAGACATCGAAGAGTTTTGCTGACATAAACCTTGGAATATTTTGTGGTGTCGCCATTCCAGAGGAAAAAGAGCGTGCTAGTCATCTACATGTTGCTAGGTCCGTCAAGAGTTGAGACCGAAGGTAGGCTTTGGCCGCAAGCACGAGTGGCGCGTGGCCATTGGCCATTATTGGCATTGTGGGGATTTCGTTGCCTTTTTCACGCGTCTTTTTCGCCATTTTGGTTGGCACTACCCTTCTCCTTTCTTTTTGGTTACTGACTCGGAGCGTGGTGTTCAATGGCAAGTTCCTGTTTCCGATGAGAAGGCCTGCATAACTTAGTTTCTACTGAGTAAGGTTGCATCGGTTAAATAGAACTTTGAATTGAATTGAATCTTCTGCGCTTTCAAGTTTGTACTGCACGTCCTTAGTTAAGAGTCGATGAATTTTGTTACAGCTGCGGCCTATCACCACTCAGTGCTCTGGGGGAAGTGGCACGGTGGCACCCACTGTATGTATATTGTTGATACCGAACGCATCCGAGTCTTACAATGCCCCCAATTCAGAGAGACTCGCTCGATAAATGATCTACGCTAAAGCCTTGGCGATGGGGGCCAGGAAAGAGGCATTGAGTGAGTGCATATCCCACTGTATCGGATCTACGATTTCCGAGACTTCTCCCAGTGATGCTCTGCCTATCAGATCGCCATCTCGATCGGATGCGGATGTTCCGCCATCGGGACTCGGAGTAATGATCCTTCATGGGGCCAAAAACAAAGAAACGCCTAGTGTTCAGATAATTTGAATCCTTTTCGGGGCCGAAACCCCATGCGCTTGGGGCCGCCAGCATTGTCTGGCCGGGAATCTGCATCGGATGCTTAGGTATATGACCTCCAAGGACCCCCTCCAGCTTGAATTTGAACGCTACACATCCATGGATGTAATCAGCCAGTCCTCTTACGATCACTATGTTCTTCGGTAACTCCCTCCCATTCAATCCTGAGCAGGACATCCCCTCGCTCGCCGGCAAAGTCATTCTCGTGACCGGGGCCAACATCGGCCTGGGTAAGCAATGCGTCCTCGAATACGCCCGCCACCAGCCGTCACTGATCTGGCTAGTCGCGCGCACCCTCGACAAAGCGCAGACTGCGGCGGACGAGATCCGCCAACAGCTTCAAGTTGAGAACAAAAACACACCCCCCATCAAGCCCCTCGCCATGGACCTGTCATCACTCTCGTCCGTCACCACCGCCGCCCACACTATTGTAGCCGAGTCCTCTCGCCTTGATATTCTTATGCTGAACGCAGGCATCATGGCGGCCCCGCCAGGCCTAACGAGTGACGGCTACGAGCTTCAATTCGGCACGAACTACATCGGGCACGCTCTCTTCACAAAACTGTTACTTCCGGTCCTTAAAAAGACAGCTGCGATCCCGGACGCTGACGTGCGCATTATCTCGCTCTCGTCACACGGCCACGTCTACGCCCCCAAGGAAGGTGTACTATTCGACACCTTGCGCACCGATGCCGAGAGCTTGGGGCCTTATGGTCGTTACGGGCAGAGCAAGCTGGCGATTATTCTATGGACGCGCCAGATGGCGAGCAAGTACCCGCAATTTACGCTGGCGTCGATTCATCCGGGCGTGGTGCGGACGAATCTTATGAATAATGCGACGGGGAGCCCGTGGGTGATTAGGCTGTTGGGGATGGTTGCGAATAAGGTCGTGACGCCGGTGGATCAGGGCGTCAAGAATCAGCTGTGGGCGTCGGTGGCAAGAGAGGTGAAGAGTGGGGAGTACTATGAGCCTGTTGGGATTGGGGGGGCCGCAGACGCCAATGGGAGAGGAAGATGTGCTGGGGCTGAAGGTGTGGGAATGGACGGAGAAGGAGCTGCAGGGGTATGAGTAGGTAGTAGATAGGATAGGTATATTAATAAAGAATACGACTCCACTCTAGCACATCTTATGAGATATAGTAAGGATAAACTTGAAGTCAGACAGCCTGGAAAGATTATTGACATTACGAATTTATTAATTTTTGTTTTATCAATGGATATACAATAGTTGAAATATTGTTGAATCCTAGTTCATACTCATCCACAGTATATCACCATCTACACCATAACCAAGCCACCACCACCATACATGCTTGGATGAATATGGCCGGGTCTTGATCGAATGATCTTCAGCGCAACTTTGGGGGTCTTGGCAAACCTCAGTAGTATTGCATTGTATTTTGCATTTCATTTACTATTGTCTAGTTAACAAACAGCCATGATTCGTGAGCATATTGATAATATGAGTGTGAACTTGAGTCCATCCAATCGGACGCCTATTCTATGACCCCATGAGGCAATCGAGACTTGTTCAATCAAACACAATTCTAAATTCAAAAGATACCTAGGAACTCAAAGCCCAAGTCTCTCATACATTTTTCTATTCACATATTTATCGTGACATTCATTCCAAGTCCAGGCGGGATGGGATCTTCACAGAACGCTCTCGTAGTACGTAGTCAAAACATCCGTCTTGACGGGGCCAGCGACAGCTTTCAGTGCCTTGTGCGCTTCACATTCGGTATCGTAGTATTTCATATCATCCAGTGAGGCAAAGGTAGTCTTAACGGAGATGTTGAAGCCCTTGTTACGGGGGTCGTCGAAGGACTCGCCGGCGGCAGCGGCGAGGATGTAGGGCTTGCCGTCCTAGATGATTGCGCGTTAGATGATTTTTTTTTCTTCGGAAAGCAAAATTGCATGTGATTTGAAAAAATTGTAGTTGCAAAATAGGGCAGTATAGTACAGCGCTGTGCAGTGCAAGGGAATTCCATTCCCATTTCATACCTTGGTTGCGGTCTTCGCGAGCACCTTGTACTGCTCCAATAGGCGCTTGCGGTCCTCGGCCTTGGGGACGTTGAAAAGAGTGATGCGCTCGATCGGGGCCATGATTGTAGAGGTAGATGAGAATTGACGGAGGTGTTGAAGGGAGTGGGAAAGTAGATTGGGTGAGGCGCGGGGCATTGCAGTCTTTAAGGGCGGGTTGTGGTTGCGGCTGCGGGGAGAGTGAAAGATGGCGGGGATTGCGTCGGCTGTTTATTCATCGCTGTACCATGACTACTTAAGACCGATATACCCCGATTTTTGGCCCGGAGAAGCAGGATAGAATAATCTAGCTCCGATTAATGAGTTGGTTTTCTAATATCTTGATTATTGTCTCTTTTGCTGCTGTTGGCAATCTCTTCTCTATAAAATCGGATATAGTCATGTCCGAAGGAGTGCGGAACCTTCCTAAGAAGTGCGTCACAATTCCGCGCGGGTCTACCAATTCTGATGTTGAGCGGAAATTGTTAGAAGGATACCATATGATGAGCAATATTAGTCTAGGGAACTAACTGTATTTCATCTACTCTTTTGGATTCACTTCTCTCATCGACGTCAGACAGGAAAAACTGGTGTATTTGTCATTGTCACACTCTTGAAGGCTATAATCTATCTCCGCGAATATCCGATTCGACATGCATTGCTGAATTCTGATCAGTCCCGAGATCTAATGCTAACCGCAAAGAAAAAGAAAAAGACGAAAGAAGAAAAGACCGCATAATCACCAGATCACCAGTTACCCCGTAAAGCCTGCTCCCTCTCAAACGCCTCAAACAAACTTTTGAAATTGCCCGCCCCGAACCCATCAAATCCCTTCCGCTGAATCACCTCCAAAAACACCGTCGGTCGATCACCAACATGTTTCGCAAAGATCTGGAGTAAATACCCACGCTCGTCAAAGTCAACTAGAATATTCAATTTCTCCAAGACATCCACATCGGCCTCAAGAGACCAAGGAACGTGAGAAAGACGTTGTCTCAGATCGCTATAGTACGCCGGCGGAACGTTGAGAAACTGAACGCCGCGTTTTTGGAGATTCGTCACTGCTGTGACGATATCCTCTGTGCGAAATGCAATATGTTGGACTCCAGCACCGTGGTAGTAGTCGACGAATTCTTCGATCTGGGACTTTTTCTTGCCGGGCGCTGGCTCGTTCATTGGCATTTTGATCATCTCGTTCGACGAGGCTACCACAATCGAACGCATGGCCGAGTAATCGCTACACATATCCTGGTCGTCGACTGTCCAGTACCGGTGGAAATTCAAACACTCTTCATAATACCGCACGGCCTTGTCCACGCCTCCCCATGGCTGATTACCAACACAATGATCGATCTCGACAAAATCCACCGGAGGTAATAATTTATTGATTGGGTCTGCTTCGTCGGCCGATATGCTCCGATAACCCGGGAGAAATGGCGCCGAGGAAGAGTATTGGTCACGGTTGATTAATGAATGCACTGTGTCACCATACGTCCCGATGGTAGCAGTTGTGATCTGACCGTGTCCTTCTACCACGACGGTTCGCGGCTCTGCCTTGCGCGAGGCTCCATGCTCAATCGCCCGCTTCCAGATCTCCTCGATATTCCCCGTGACTCGGAATGCAACATCGGCGATGCCGTCCCCGTGAATGGTCAAATGTTCGTGGATCGCGGTCAATGTTGCACGGTCTTCGGCTGTGGCGCTTCGTAGGACTTTGTTCTCTGGGTGTGACGGTCCGCAAACTGGACTTGTGAGAATGAACACGGAGGCACCATTGGCAACGACGTAGCTGGTTAAGTAGGGTGATCCCGTCTCTGGTCCGCGGTAGGCGATTAACCTGAAGTTGAAGCGTGTGCTGTAGTAAGAGGCGGCTTGCTTGGCGTTGCCGACATACCATTGAACATGGTCGAAGGCGACGAATTCAGGGCCGAGGGAGGTTGGGAAGATTGCATCGTCGGGTTTGTTGGGAATGGACATCTTGCGGTGTGGGGAAGTAGTATGGTATGGTGTGGATGCGAGCTCGGGGTGAAAGATGGACCCGTCCACAATGGACGGAGAATAAGGTGGAATTGAGCTCAACAACAAAATGTGGTGCCTGAATGTCCGCAGAAGTTGGAAAAAGGAAGTGACTGTGAAAGTGAAAGTCAAAAAGTCCGCGGGTTGGCGGGGGGGGCTTTCTGCATAAGGTTTCAACACTCCGCTTCCCTTTTTCCTCTCCGCGGATAGGCGCAGCTTCGTTGAATTCATTCAAGATACAGGCTTTGGATTAAATAAAACTTGCTCGGTCTCCTTGAATCCACCCAAAAAGAGCTAGGTATTCCCTGCTATATTTCTTGCCTGTGGCTGGAAATGCAGTCCTGGCTGAACATGCTATGCCATTCATCCCTTGCATCCATGTCGTATGACATGTACAGTGAAACCACTTGTTGACCGCCCTGATCTCTGCCTTCCCAAGGGAACAAGTAGCTACCTGAGATGGAATAGAGGCCAATCTATTCCATCTCAGGTAGCTACTAGCCTCCCATTAGAAGGTGGGCAATATGTGGTTTCAAACTCTTGCAACGCCACTCAGTGGTATGAAACCTGACTTAGTCCACGCATAGCGAGCAAGACGTATCTAGGTCCCCTCATACTCAATGCAATCAATGTACTCAATTGATATGGAGCTTTGATAAGTCCAATTTCCAATATCCCACTCCATCCCAAGGAGGTGTTCGTTCGTGGATGTTTGCATCACCCGCACGGTCTGAGCCCGCGTCACTACTGCCACGTTTTGAGAGAAACAGAGAGCAGAGCAAAGAAGCAAGCTCAGCAGCCTCTTTTCCCAGCATACATTCAAGGTAAATCGATATTCCACCCAATAGAGTAATCAGATATTGTTGACGGGCTCCGGCCTGTTCTTGAAAAACACCTTGTAGCGAACAATCTCCACAACCTCCAGTTCCTCGGTATTTTCGGATGAAGACCGCTTCCGCAGAACAGCGAGTGGCTTTGGCAGCTTCTTCACCTCACCCGTCATGCGCTGGTACCGACCAACATAGAGGTACACCCGCTTCATCCACTTGGTATCATCCGGGTTCAACGGCGAGTAGTCCGGGAACATGAGTTTTCCGACCGGCGTCTCGAAGGTGGTCCCGTTGGAATTCAAAGGGGAGCCAGGGCTCGCATGTTGATCGTCTTCACTTTCGAATGTGGGTAGGTTGATCGTAGCTTGCAGCTCGAGGATTGCCAGGCCCGAGGGGGTTTGGAGGAGTTGGGGGAGAGGGTTGCTAGCTGGGAGGGAGCTTGGGTTTGAAGTCGTTGTCTCAGCGGACTTGAGGGATGTCGGGTGTAATTGAATTGAAGGCATGGTTTTCGTGTGTATGGTATTGTAGTTTGTGGTTGTCTTTTATCGCAGAAATGCTGGAGTTGCTGGAGTTGTTGAAGTTGAAGTTGAAGTTCACGCGCGACGTGGCTCGCGTTGTCCCCACATCGTGGGGTTACTCGACTTAAATGACCCCACGGATTTAATTCCTTAGTTCGAATCAGGCGGAATGTTATGGTTGTCTCAGGCATTGCTACATAGTTACAAACGTATTGAATATTATTTAAAAATATTCTACTTTGTGGTAGGTTCTCATCGATTCCCACTTTGCTAGCGATTGGCCGAAGCCAGGAGATATACGAAAAGGTCAGAGTATTCGATTTGCTTGTCAAGATATCATGGTCATCAGAATCATAAAGGCGAGTTTGAATAAAACTCGTCCGCGCTAATATACAGGAAATGTAACAAAATTCACAAAGTAGACGGGTACATCTAGTACATGTCTCATCTCACCCCATACTCGCCCCATAACAAGCGTTCTCAAGATTCTCCAACCCCCGAATAGCCTCCTCCCCAATATTACTCTCCATCCCAGCGAGACCCTGCAACTTCCCATATCGAAGATCACTCAACCCCCCCAACCGTCGATTGTAATCCCGACAAAAGCCCCTCCGCCTCGCGATCCACGTCTCCAATTTCCCGCTCAATATTCGCACAAGCAGCCTCCATCTCATCCAGCAGACTAGCAGTCGAATGAAAAAGCTCCTGATCGGTAGAGTTCTGACCAAAGAGATGAAGATCGACGTCCATTTCACGCTGCTCGTCCGCATTAGAACCTTCGACGCCGGCGGCCAGACTCGCCTTGCGGAGCTCGGCTTTTTGCCGCTCGCCTTGTTGCGTCTCTTGGTCGATGTTCTCATTTACCCGGTCCATGTCATGTTCGCGGACTTGCTGCAGTTCCCGATATAAAGTCCGGATGTGTGGGTGGCCTCGTAGGCGTTTGGGGAAGAGTTCTGTGAACTTTTGTAGGGAGAGAACTGTTGGCAGCGGGGCTGGGGAGAGCAGGAAGTTGCTCAGTATGGACTCTTCAGTGGGTGCCATTTTGGTTTCTGGATCTTGGTCTGAGATGTAGCTCTGCACCTGATAGATAGCTTCACTTTCGCTTGATCATGCGACGAGTGGTTAACGTCTTTTCGGCCTGGAGTATCGGGCGCGTCCTCCGAATGAAGCCGCGACGCGTGTCTCGCGAATTTTCGTGACGCCGATCACGTGGCTGGTATCAGGAAATTGAGCGACGGCGAGTATCCCTTTTGGATGGAGTTGGGTCAGTTGAGTAGGTCTTTTTTCAAAGAGACAATTTGCACGGCTGAGGTTGAAGTCAATTAGAATGGAGAGAAAGGTTTCGCGAACGGCGTGGGGTAAGGGAGTCTGGTCTATCCGATCATCGGCCAAGGTAGTTTGCTCATTTCAATTATGTGCCACACTAATAGTTGTCGCATGCCTAAATTTTGATATATAGCATTGGCTGACATGATGTATCGGCATCGTGAATAATTCATGCTCATCTGTAAATAACCAGGATGTTCCGAAGTTTGTCGCTAGAAGTAGGCACTAATAGTATGAACCATAGGTGTAAAGTGTCCTCGACCACAATGTATATAACATTCTCGGGCACATTGTATAATAGAGATGGACCAATTGTCCCTCTCATTAATGACTGATTGGATACGTCTAAGAGATTAGCGTATCATCTTGCACGACATTGGTCGAGAATATAGCTCCGGTACTACACCAAGGGCTCTCAGATCCAGTTCAAGAGAGCAAAAAACAGATCACTAACCCGATACTTCTACCAAGGTATGTCTGAATTTACCTCCTACTCAATCCTTTTCTAAATAATTCCCTCGGGCTTAACCTTGCCATGATCAGACTTCCTTCTTTTGTATGTCCAAGAGGAATGCCCCATCACCTCTTCCCGGGATAGCGAGGTCCTTTGCGAAACAACGATGCGCTGCGATAAAATGTACCAGTTCAATATCTGACGGCTTATTCCATGGATCTATTTCAATCATATGAATCTATAAAGTACCAAACATCAAATAAACCAAGGCTCATGGTGGTTGATCCTCGTGCAGCCCCGGCCTTAGCTTATGTCATTTGTAGCGCGGGTTCTCCAAGGGGAGAACCGCAACGCGCCCGCGCCGCCTTTTTTTTGAACCCAAGAGACTCCCCAGCCATCAGCCCTTCAGAACCCCACGACGTGATCAAAGATCAAGCTGTTCAGATATACAAGCTGCTCTGTATTGTCTCAAATAGTGCGCGGCTGAGTGTTCATTCCCACCGCATTCCAATAAAGACCCTTGGAAGTTCACCAGGACCGGGCCAGATTGCCCTCTTTCCATCGGGATATCGTCTTGCAGTCGACCATATCAGCAAATCCAAGTATAAAACTTGGCTCGATTTGCTGAAACCACGCCTCGGCTGCCTTTATTTCCGAAAGCCGAGTTCAAACGCGGCTTTGGTTGCCTTGAACCGTCGGCCACGACGACTCAGCGCATCGACACTGCTCTACCAGACGCGACACTCCCCGTGCTTTGCGTGATTGATTCTCTCTTCTTCTGTTCTCTTTGTTCCAAAAGCTTTCTCTCTCATCAAAAATCCCTATCTTCTTCAATATGCCCCCGTCTATGTACACGAAGGACGAGAAGGTCCTGTGTTTCCACCATGACATCCTCTACGATGCCAAGATCCTTGACGTGAGGCACAGAGACGGCGACAAGAAGAACCCCCCTTGAGTTCCTTGTTCACTACAAGGGCTGGAAGAATACGTGAGTCCCACCACCCACTCCCCCTCTGCCCTTCACCTGCTCTTTGAGAGACACGATCCTGCGAAATCGGATCTCGCATCAAGAACGAGGAGACGCAACCATCTTTCCATGTCTATTCTGGTCCAGATGCCCCATCAGCCTTGAATATCGCGTTGGATATTCCAAGGGAATTCCCTTCCGGTTGCCAGTCTAGCATTAAACTCAGAGAATACCGCTGACCACTTTCGCAGCTGGGATGACTGGGTTCTTGAGGATCGGCTGAGAAAGGCCACTGAAGAGAATCGTGAGCTTGCAGCTAATCTTCGTCGTGAGGTCGAAGCATCTGCTCGTCAAAAAACTGCTAAACCTAACAAAAACAAGCGTCCTCTATCTGACCGGGGTTCGGTCCGTGATAGTGAAGAGCGTGGCAGTTCAGTGCCCGGCCGCGGCAACAAGCGATCCAAGGGCGAAAATGATATTGAAAAGGTGAGTCTACTGATTCCATATATACACTATTCCCGCATCATCCGGGGCCCAAAAATTTCCTTTTCACCTCTGAACTCCCTCTCTCCCTTTTCCGTCGCATCTCCTGCATCATCCCCACCATGGCGCGCACCAAACATACAACAGGCCTGCCTGATCCCATACCCATTCCTCCGAGGCCCAGTCTCAGCGAAATTATCTCCCGCTGGCTCCATGACTCTGATTTGCAATTCACTGACCATCTCCGCGAACAGGAGGAAGCATTCCATATCCGCCCGTCCATCCGCATCGTGATGCCGGATAATCTGAAAGCCCTCATCGTCGACGACTGGGAACGCGTCACAAAGAACAACTCCGTCGTGAAACTTCCCGCCGAGAAGACCATCCGCCAGATCTTCCAGGACTGGCGTGACGAAGAGGAGCCCAAGCGCAAGGGCAACCGTATCGACATGGATGTCCTTGATGAAGTCGTCGCTGGCATGATGGAGTACTTTGACAAGATGCTCGATAAACTCCTACTCTACCGCTACGAGCGACCTCAATTCCGCATACTTCGCAAGAAAACCCAGCACGAGTCCGGTCCCGGAAATGGTCCGGTCGATGTCTATGGTGCCGAGCACCTGATTCGTTTGTTCAGTATGCCCCTCCCCCTCTATCCCTCTGTTGTATCTTGCATCGTGTGAACATTGCTAATCCCTTAAAGGCCTTCTCCCTGAACTACTCGCCCAAACCAACATGGACCTCCAGTCCACCCAGCGCCTGCGTGAAGAACTCTCGAAATTCTCTCTGTGGCTGAGCAAGAACTCGGAAAAATATTTCCGCACAGAGTACGTTCCTGTCGAAGATACCTACGAGAAATCGCCCAAAGCCGCGAAGGCAACGCGTTAAAGCATACACATGTCGAAATTAATGGGATGGGGCCGCGGAGTATGGCTTGCTGTTGAGAGTTGCGCTCGAGGGGATTTCTCAGGCGGCGGCTGTCTTCGCAATCAAGCATGTTCCTTCCCCCTTTACCTCATATTTTATCTTCTCTTCTCTTTTGTTTTTTTAATAGCTTCATTCGATATGTGAAGGTCTTTCTTCTCTCTTTCCATGTTTTTTATCCGGATAGGTTGGCTGTTTTAGCGAGTGGCTCTCTGGGAAACAATCAATCACAATTGGTGCTCACTTTCTTCAAGTGGACCGTGACTACTTCCACATTTTGTACGAGATATCTAGCTAGGTAACCGGTAGTCAAAGAAAGAAAGAAAGGTAAACAGTACCTATGCAATTTACCGAATATACTATTTCTACTGGATATCATGAACAATAACAGTTCTAGAGCAGGTAACTACTACCTACACTCCACCGACTAACATCCACCCGGACCACCCAGTGTGCATCCCTCCATTCATCCCATTTTTCCACGCAAATATGCACACACTACTAGTATATACCATACTACCACCCACTGCAAAAGAACTTGAAATCCCCCACTGCCCTCACCCTCACCCTCACCCCACCCCCAATCAAGAAACCAAATGTCGCGCATCATCAACAGCACACCGCGCCGCCCTCTTCAACTCCCCCTTCCAATCCATCTCCCTCCACCTAGTCCACGCATTTAATCCCTCCGGCGGCTGAATACTAAGCGTGTCATACCCCTGCTTGATAATCCGATGAACTTCCCGCGGAGAGAGGTTCTTCTTCTTAATCGACGGCAATGCAACGGGAATTGGTTCACCATCTGGTTTCGGACTCGGGGTCACTGTCGCTGCCACTGTCGCCGCTTGCTCGGTTCCATCAGAGTGGAAGAGGAGGGCGTAGAAGTGCGTTGAGACGGATAGCAGAGTATTGACTGCTGCAACGTGGATGCTATCCTGAGTTTGGGCGGTGGCGATTGAGGCAGCAGGTGTAGACTTAGACGGGGTTGAAGGGTAATAAAGGTCTCGGAATTTCGAAATAACGGGTCCGGTCTCGACGAGCTTGTAGAATAGATCGTCGTAGGAGGATGGGTCTGGGAGGAATGTGTCGCCTCCTGAGACGCAGAAGGCCATTAGCTCTGCGAGGGAGCTGGTTAGGGAGTGGATTTTTGGGTTGTTGGTTAGGTCGTTTGCGTAGGTTGTTAGGAAGCGCATTAGGGAGAGGAGGGTGCGCCATAGCTCGGACCAGTGGTAGTTCAGGCGGATTTTGTTGGTTGAGAGGTAGGAGAGGAGGCGGAGGGTTATGGCGATTGCTTGGCTGGGTTGGGGTGTTAGGTGGATTCATATTGAGTTGGGCAGGCGGGGCCTCGGGTGTATAGTTATAGCTGTTACTTACCAGTACAAGTTCACGTCTAGTCGTCGGCGGAGATTGTGGGTGATCGTGTCTATCATGATGTCGAAGATTACCGTGGCGAGGACACGGTCTCCGCCGACGAGAGGAAGGAAAGGTTGTCTCTGCCTGCAGATTCGGACCTTTCGCTTTCCGTCGTCGTTGCAGATGTGTTTGCATAGAGTTGGGTCTTCGACCAGAATGCGGAGGGTGAAGAGGCTCAGTTCCGCGTAGTGAGAGACTCTCGTGGATCGGTACGCATGCTGGAGGAGATAAGATGATAGGGAGAGGAAGCTCGAAAAGGGCGATTCATCGGTGTTTTTCTCCGACTTCATGTGGACCATGTGGTAGCCGAAAAGCTTGTTAGAGTTGGTGAAGTCGTATGTCGCCAATATGATGGCGGCTTCTTGAGCGGGACTACTAGATTGTGAGTTGCTTGATTCCAGATTGGAAGAGGGATGGTATCTTACAGCTCGGCAAACATTCCCTTCGCCTCTTCGGCGGTTGGGGGGTTCGCCTTGTTGTGTGTACCAGGAGTCAAAGCCCGGAGTCCAAAGAAAATCAGAGTATTTGTCAAGGACCAGCCTTCGGGGATGTCATCTTGCACGGCAATATAGCCATTGCGAAGGCCACCACATGCCAAACCGACACCTTTGGCAATTTTTTGGATACTCGCCTCGTTGACGAAATCGTCCAAGCGCAGCTGGTAGGGGTTCTGGAATTCAAACTTGTTATAGTTTGCCAGAAGCCCCAACAGAAGGAATGGATCGAACACTTCTAGAGCGGTTTCGGAGTCGTTGACATACTGCAGACGATTAACATATATTGCATGATATGTAGCAGTGCTTCATGTAGCATACCTTCATCATGGACGGGAAGAGGTCCCTATGGGTGAAATAGGAGACGAGGCTTGTCTTGTAGGCGCCACTGGTCATGGCAATGGCCACTCGAACGGCCTTCCGCCGCACCTCGACTAGTCGGATACCTAGGTCAGCTTTCTGTCTATCGAGTCAATTTAACCCTTGAGGGGAACCTACAGCTTGAGCCATTGCGAATGATGTTGTCCAGGGCGGTCACAAACTCTGAAATGACCCGATCGACCTCATCGAGTCCAGCCAGAACAGTGATTACATCCGAGCTGGGGTTCGTGTATTTCTTGCTCAAAATACTTGTCAAGAAAATGGTCAAGGTCTGGAAGTAATGTCAGCGATCTAACAGGAGCAGATCAACGGTGCGGCTGGACACTCACATCCAATGCATAGGCATCGCTGGGGGAAGTATTAGAAGCCGCCTCACGGATAGCCCGCAAGAATATATTTCTTGTCTGGGTCTGTAAGGCTGAAATTAGCGCTGTGCACGGGTCCAACGATCGGATCGAAGCAAGGTACTAACCTGCAAGCCCAAGGTCTCATCGGGGCTCAACCCATCCAGTAGAGCATGCAATTGGACAGAGTCGGGTGGTAGAAGAAAGAACTCTCTCCAAAAGCCCTCTGAGGGCTCTTCGGCCTCATCGGCAGGCTGGTGCAGACATATTGATATCAGCGTTGGGCGGAATCAAGGCTCACGTGGAGGGGCATACTTTGAAAAGCGTCTCATAAAGCTGGACGACCTTGGGCTGGAAGGTCTCCGGTCGACTCTGCTGGGTGAGGGGCGAGGCCTCCATAGTCGAGAAATGATCTGCACCAGCAAACAATTAATCAAATTGGATCACTGATGTTGGCCTTAGTTCTTTGAAGAGTTGTGTCGAGTCCGAGCAGCTTGGCACCAGCCACTTTGTCAGCGGATCCAGCCACATGTCCTTTAGGTGTAGGCGAATGATCCTACTGGATTAGGCTGGGAAGCTCTTAAGAAGAAGAGTAATGTGAATGTTATATTTTCTGTTTGGGGTCATTTCTTGATAGATCCCCTCGCTATGCTGACAATGGTAGTATGTATCCTATAGTATAAGTATACTTGCAAGTATAGCTGGCTGTTTAGTAGTTAGTGCTGTGTTCTGTGCTTGCCTTCTTCCGAGTGTCGGGGGATCCGCTCCAGCTCGAATGACTCAGCTGCCGATAGTCGGCTATGTGTTCATCGAAATGCATTACCATGTTGATCAAACAATCCGGATTGAATAATTATATCATAAACAATACTGAAAAGAAAGGACTATATTTAGACAATTAAAGTCAACACCTGCCGACCCTGCTGACCTTATTCATCTCATCAATAATCCCTGACTCACGCCATCACCGCGTGGCGCCACCAGGTGTCTTCAAATACCTCAACGCTGATTGGCCCCAGTCCGGGTCATGCAACCTTAGTCATCTAAGCGACCCCCGAGGGTGACCGTAGAACTCCTCAGAAGTCCAGTTGTTGTTCACCCACAACTTTCTTCTCCCTTCCCATCTTACCACAACATTGTCTCGAGCCAGCATTCCTATGCGTACATAACCGCCTCTATTGTCTCTCTCGACTCTTCGATCCCTTCTCTCTCCAACATCATGAGTTTTTGCACCAACATGCAGCGCCCAGTGACATCATCCGCCACTCTCCTCCGATGGCTCAAACCCTCGGGGCAGCGCTGCAACGCTCTGCGCTCCTTCTCTTCCTATGGAAACGTTCACCAGTCCTCTAAGCGCGATATGCAAACCGCCACGGCCTATCGCCCACACACCCTGCCTTCATCTTTCCCGATGCCTCGGAGCACAGGCGGTCCAGCCGAGGGCTCAATCTCAGCAGACTTCCCCTTCCCATCAGAATCCGCCCAGAAGTCTTCTCAATCAGAATACTCTCGATCAAACCTACGAGAGGCCGAGGCTCAGAAGCCCAAGCCCGCCACCACCGCACCTCCGAAGACTTCCCCGAAACCCCGTCGACCACTCCGGGCTCGCAAGGCCGCCATGAAGTTGACCCCCATCGCTACAGAGCAGCTTCGCAAGTTAATGGCGCAGCCTGAGCCAAAGTTCATTCGAGTGGGTGTGAAGAACCGCGGTTGCTCCGGTCTCGCCTATCACCTGGAGTACGTGGAGAAGCCGGGAAAGTTCGACGAAATCGTGGAACAAGACGGTGTCAAGGTTTTGATCGATAGCAAGGCTCTATTCAGTATCATTGGCAGTGAAATGGACTGGCATGAAGATAAACTGAGCAGGAGATTCGTTTTCCGCAACCCCAACATCAGTGAGTTTTCCCCGGGAAAGACCAACACCACACACAACAAGCTTTCAGGAGCCCACTCCGCCTTAGTCATTGCAATACTAACAACGTCTTACAGAGGAGGAATGCGGCTGTGGAGAATCCTTCATGGTTTAAATGCTCCCTTCAAAACGATTTCATATTCGATAACTTTCTCTCGGCGTCTCCCTTCGGTGCATCGGTCGGCGTTTTCTTTTTATCTATATGGTTTCCCATGGTCGTGGCCGCTCTTTTGGTCGAGTACATACGCTTGATATCCAGTCGATACGTTCTTCTTTGCTTTTTTTTTCCTTTGTCGTTTTATACCGATATCACCCCGTTCGATATTCCCCGGGTACGGGTTAAATCTGTGCTTTATACAGCTCTCATAGAGCCCGGCTGAATTGCTTTTCCGTCGCTATTGATTATCATTTGGCCGGAATTAGCTTTTCAGATGATGTGACACTAAATACTTGTACCATGGTATAGACTAGTCCAATGGACATGATTATGATTTGGAATGATACTCCTTCCCACTAAGTAGCCATTGTCTAAACTGAGGCTAGTTTCACACTTGCCAGTACTTGGATCAGTGGCATGACTCCAGGTACCTGAGTAGTATGACAATATACCTACTAGTTCCTACCTAGCAATTGCATTCAGCAAGATATGCAGAAACGCCTTCCAATCCAGGCACCAGAGCAACTAATGGGTATTCAGCAGGCAATGCTGAATATACCACATTCTACCAACAGCAAAATATAATTAATTAATCGAGAATACTAGAATATCTTTGAACTGAACCTCTTCCGATTCCTCTTATTTACAGCCAACTACGTCACATGATGGACTGGCGGCCTCGGCCAGCCTAACGCCATTACCGTTAGAGCCTCTCCGCAACATACAACCCGAAACCCCATCCCATCTAAGCTCTACAACAACCCCAATGAAACAAAACTAAACAGACAAACTCGCACCCATGGCCCTGCCAACCTCCCTCGCCCCAAGCGAGGGACCAAATACCCTAAACCCACCCGACGCCCTCCTCCTAACCATCCGCTTCTCCGCCTCAATACCCGACCTCCCCCTCGACATCCAAACCCCAACGCAAACAACAGGCGCCGGCCTAAAACAACTCATAAGAGCCGATCTCCCACAAAATCTATCATCCCACAGACTCCGCCTTATCTACGCTGGCCGCGGTCTAGACGACCAAAGCGCGCTCTCAGCATCTCTCAAACTACCGCCTTCGCCAGCGCGCTCGCCACGCCCCGCAGAAGACTACTCGGACCAACAGCAACAGCAACAGCAACAGCAGCACGCCAGTAGCAATTCCCGGGATCCAAGCAGTAGTCGCAATGCAATCGACAAGGGCAAACAAGCCGTCCGAGATTCTAGACCTAGAATCTACATCCACTGCTCAATTGGAGATATTGCCCTTTCGGACTCCGATCTCGAGGCTGAGGCTGCTATTGCTTCGACGACGCTCTTACAAAAACAGAAGGATGAATTGATGAAACTCGGGCCTAGACATGGGTCTTCGCTATTTCCTTCTACCGGTGGACCAGGGGGCTTGGATGGCTCAGGCTCACAGCAAGCTAGTTCTGCTGCTTCCGCAGCAACAGCACCGCCGACGACAACCACACCCGCCCCACGCGGTTTCGACCGTCTCCTTTCAGCAGGATTCACAGCATCAGAAGTAACGGCGCTGCGATCGCAGTTTTTGGCCGTGCAGTCTGTGACCCGGACGCCGGATACGATGCCTTCTGGCGAGGAGTTGCGGGATTTAGAAGATCGGTGGATGGATGAGGGGAGTACGAGTGCCAATATTGGAGGTGGGGATGGGGCTGGTGGTGGTGGTGCTGTCGGGGGAGGGGGTGGATTTGGCGGAGATGATGATGGTGGGTTGGGGACTGGGTCTAGGAGTGCGTGGGATGATATGCTTTGGGGCGCGGTTATGGGGTTCTTTTGGCCGGTTGGTTGTGCGATGTGGTTGAGGAGGGAAGAGGGCGTTTGGAGTTGGAGGAAGGGTGTCGCTGTCTTTGTCGGAGTGGTTATGAATGCCGCTTTTGGGGCGGCGAGGATTATAGGTTGATTGATTGTGTTTCTGATTTACTAAGGCAGTATGTATGATGTTTTGATGGTTTGCTGTTTGGCCTTTTGCGATATACCCCTTTCAAGTTTTTGGCATACTATATTGATTCTCATGGATATAAACTACTACCTACGCCTGTGGCAATATTTGCTGCTCATGACGTCTGAAACAGAACACTTGTATGGCTATATTGTCGTTCGTTGTGCTTTTTTATGTGGCTCTACCAGGCTGTAGGGAAACTGGTCTTTGCATAATATCCAATATTCAATTACAAGGTTCAACGTATATGAACCATACAAGGCATAGAAAGCCTTGGATACTGCGAGAAAAGGCTGTAGCATACATTATCCATGAAGAGGAAACAGAGAAAAGGAAAAATCCCAAGCTGAGAAACGCCATAAAACCCCACCGCTAATGGAACTTGCTATAAATGACGGCGACAATAAGAAGAACAAGGACCGTAATGATAGCAATGGTGATTATCCGATTCGTAGCCATCCTGTTAGAGTTTAGTCAGATTGGCATTTCAAACAACCCCCAGAGCCATGGGGCGGGAGAAAATAAATAAAGAAGGGGGATCATTACCTACGGGCCATGCCCCTCAAAGTCTTAATGCTAGTATCAACGTAGCCTTCACTCTGGTGCAGGTTATCGCGCGTATGCTGAATCGTCTGTCGCTGGACGTATAGATCGCCCAGGACACCGCGCCCAATATCTTCCGTCTCCAACGCCATGCGCTGACTATCCTGCAGTCGGGCAGAGCTGCGCTCTAGTCGGTCGGTTCCGGAGAGAAGTTGCTGGCGCTGCTCGACTTGCTCGTCTTGGGGATCGTCGGTGTATCGGTCGCCGAAGAGTGCGTTGCGATCGTCGGTGAGTTCCTTCATCTTGCGCTTTATTTCGTCGATGTCGGTTGAGTAATTGCGGAAGCGCTGGTTCACTTTTGACCGGACTTCTGAGGGAATGTTTTGCTTTTCCATGCGCATTTGATCAAGCTGTTTTGTGGTTTATTTGGTTAGTGGTTTGCTTCGTTCTCGAGAATCTAGTTGCCTGAAGATGGTGATGCGGGGTTGAGGCCGGAGATAGTCTATCTGCAGCCGTACTGGAAGGACTCACCAATTCTGTTGCCTCGTCTAATACCTGTTCCGCTTGGCGAATTGCATTTTTGCGCTCCTCGCCGCTGGCCTCGGTGATCTGGTCCAGTTTCTGGTTCAGATCAGCTTGTACAAGCTTCAGTTCGTTCTCGTAGCTGCCGAACATCTCGGAGCCCGCATCAGTGTCCAGAGGATTCGACATCTTGGAGATTATGTCCTAGAGGGAATGTGCTTCGGAAGAGAGAGTGTCTGTTGCGACGGTTTGAAGCGATGATGCTGTTCAACCGCAGGCTCCACTGTTATCTGGGGGTTGAGCTATTCCGCTGGGGCGAGTGGCGATCGTTCAAAGGTCTCGACCGGATTCGTATATTGTGAATGCGAGGATAACTTCGCTTAGCCTGTAGGTGAATGCTTCACTGTCGCCGAATGTTGATACAAGAGAGAATGTGATGAGGCAATGTACCGGAGGCTGGGGGATACCGAATGATGAAGGTCCCATCCACGTGATCTTCGCCGAGGCCGGGGTGAGCAGTCGGTGGGGTACGGATACGAGTACCTAAACCCTGGAAGACAATAATTATAAGAAAGTGCAAATTGTTGAGAAGATTGAGCTGTACTGGTGAAAGCCCGATTCGGCATTCTCAATCATCTACTGGGCGTCATCGTGCCTTTCTTAGAATGTTCCTGCAGGCACACAGCGGATCAGATCAGCAGACACAGACACACCCACATGGTACCTGACAGCTCTACTCGGACACCACCATTGGAGGTCAAATAAATCAGGTAACATCAGATAGCATTAGCATAAAATTCGAGGCCTACGCAAGAAAGATTCGCCTTTTCAATACACAAAAAGAATACCCCCATGGTATACATGACAAATCATGGAACTCCCTTCTTTTCCCTTTGTCCAATATGCTCCAACTGTCCAGGTCGTCTAGAGAAGGAATTTGCTGGCATCCTGTTGGACGATCGCAGCACTACGCTTCGCATCCAGGAACAGATCTTCACACTCAGCAACATCGGCCACCTCGATTCCACCAGGTCGCCCGTTGATGCGAGCAAGAATGCTGGCTGGGGTCAACAGTTGCAACGCGTACCGCAGAGAAACCTTGCTACCGTGCTCGGCAACCTTGTCCAGCGCAGGTTCGGTAATGTTAAGACCCTCCGTCTTCGCACGAAGTCGGATGATAGTCTTGATTTCTTCGGGGGCGTAGGGGTTGGTGGGAATGATCAGAAGGCGGGCAAGCAGGTCGGGGGGGGATACCGTGGGCGGCGCTGATATCGTCGGTGCCGCGGATAACAGTGTGACCACGGTTGGAGGCAAGAATGACAATAGGGGAGATGGTGGACTCCAGGGCGCGGTTCAGATATGTGAAGCACTCGATATCGAGCATGTGGACCTCATCAATGAAGAGCACACCAGGGACAAGCTCAGCCACACCCTGGTCGATATATCGGTTGACCACCTTGTTGATCTCTTGTCGCAGCTTGTCTGTGATCTCGGTCTTCTTGGGCTTCATCAGTTGGCCCATCATGCTCATAACATCCTGTCCACCTTGTGGCCGGGCGTTGGCCATGTCCAGATCGTGGAGTGTGACATCTTGCACGATCTCCTTCTTCTTGTGAACCTCGCCCTTGGGAACGGGCACATACTCCTCCGCCTCCAGATCGAACTCGGTAGCATAGGCATCGGAACGACCAACGCGCTTGCACGCACCGGTGTTGGCTTCGATATAGATGACATCTCCGACGGTGACGCGCTCCTTCTGAATAGCCTCGTAGATGCTGGGGTCCAGACGAAGCTTCTTAGTGCCCTTAGCAGACTTCAATCCAATTATCAGGTGGCTGATGGTGCGGCCGTAGCCACCCAGTGGGTTCTCGGTCTCCTCGGGGGTGAGCTCGGTCACTTCACCCTCATAGACCTCCTTGGTTTCGCGAACGCGCAATCCTAGACCGTGTTAGCCCAAGATACCCTCAATCTGCCGGTCTCCCGGATATATCCTATCAATCGCGTCACGTACCAATTGCCCTTCGGAAGTTCTCCATCAAAGCCTCTGTCTTCTTGACCTCCGCAGAGTAGATTTCGCTACCGACGATCGGGCAGAAAGGAACCTTTGTTCCCAGCTCCTGTGATACAGCAAGAGCAAGTGCAGTCTTTCCGGTACCGGGGCCACCAGCAAGCAGAACTGCTCGGCCAGCCATCTTCTTAGCCTTGATCAGGTCGACTACCACGCCGCATGCCTGTCAAATGGAAGGTCTACCGTCAGCTCTGGTTTCGATCCAGAATCGTAAGATAATAGGTTCACTCACCTCTCGGGCAGATGCTTGCCCAACGAATCCATCACCTGTAATCTCCGAAGTGCCATCAGAGCGCAAGCCCAAACCGCGGATATGGGTGTGCGCTGCGGTCCGGTTCTCGCGCGAGTTGCCCTTGACTTCACTGATCTGGACCATGATTGTAGAATGTGGCTTCGTAGCCACCGGTGTGGAAGGGGGAGGAGGACGAGGGTCAATGGGGACGAGGAAGAAGAATCGAAAGTAAAGATGAGCTTGTAAGAGATAAAAGAACCGGGTAATGCGATGATGGGGGCTCTCCGTCTCCGTGGTATCTCTTTGCTTCGTGAAATTCGCGAGCAAGGGATCTGCGCAGCCACTCACGGCGTCGCGCTGAAGGCGGTCAACACCTCCAATTTCTTCTATCCGCGCCAAACCAGCTTCCCTTCCCGTTGAATTGTGATATTGTGATACTCACCAACTGCTGTCGCCCTACACTCTCAATGGCAGCTGTTCACTCTCGATCCGCCATGGCGGCTCCTTTTTCTCTTTCCTCGGCCTTTCGAAGCCTCTCCCTTTCGACTCCGAAGCGTTCCTTCTCCACCACATTGGCTCCCATGGGCAACAAGCCTCTCGCCGAGAATATCCCACCCTACCCTTATGGCGCCAGGCAATGGTACAAGCAGGCCGACACCGGTCTCTACGGTGGCGCCATGATTCGTTTTGGTAACAAGATTTCAGACGGTCGCAACAAGGGCAAGACGCGCCGTAGCTGGAAGCCCAACGTCCGCCGCAAGAAGATGTACAGCGAGGCCCTCGACCAACACCTATTCATCAAGTTGACCCGCAAAGCGCTCCGCACAATTGAAAAGGAAGGCAGTCTCGACAAGTACCTTCTAGGCAATGGACCCAGCCGCATCAGGGAGCTCGGCATGTTCGGATGGAATCTCCGATACCAGATTATGCAAACCCCCAAGATCCAAGAACAATTCCAAGAAGAACGACAGAAGCTAGGACTCTCCGAGCCAAAGTCCTTTGAAGAGTGGATTAAGGAGAGGGAGCACGAGGTTGAAGCGAAGATTCAAGAACGACTCAATATCAAGAAGGTCACGACACCGCGCCGGAAGGGCCAGGCCGATCCCCAGAGGATTGCTCAGCGATCTTTGGAGTGATTGTATCGTTTATTGATTTGATTGAGATACCTCGGTGTCTTTTGTTTTTGTTTTTTTTTTGGTTGGTATCCTGCATTGGTCAGGATGCTTTGGACAAGCCCTCCTCCTAGTGTACCATTATCGCAACGAACCCGTTGACGCGATTGAGCATCTCTTTTACGCCAAGTCACCCAGCAATGTTTCTCTGCTAGCACCATGATAACGGGAGACTCAGCTGGGTTTTTACTGGGCTTGCATATTAAATTTTCTGTATTTATACTCCAATCACATCTACATTGTTACAATCTGAGTTGTTTGTGGCTATTCTTCGAATTCTACAGGTATTCAAGTTGCTTGTGTGTAATAAAGTCGATTTTATAATGACATTGAAAGATTGGTAAACAATCCTGGAGGCGCCACACGCCCAGTGGAAAATGTAGTATGGAGGTACTCTTCACTACAACAGTGCACCATATATATA